CTTCTTTGCTGATTTCGACTTTGTCATCACATACCGCCCTGGTACCCAGCAACACCAAGCTGACGCCCTCTCTTGTCGCTCTGAATACGAGCTAAGGGAGGGGGAAGAAGCATTCCGCTCCCAGGAAACCACGATCCTCACCCCTGACCATCTCTGCCTGGCCGCCACTTATCTGACCCCACTGGACTCCTCGCTCCTTGACCAAATCAAAGCTGCCCTGGCATCCGATGTGTTTGCGCAAACCATCCGGCGACAGCTTAGGGCCCCCATTGCCCAGCAATCTCAAGAAGACCAAGAACGGATAAAGCGATTCTCCAAGGAAAATGGGGTTCTGCTGTACAACAACCTTGTCTACGTCCCCACCAACAAGCTCCGTGCTGAGATCTGCCGGGACATGCATGACACGCGTTTGGCAGGACACTACGGCATGTCAAAGACCCTGGAGCTCATCTCACGCAACTACTGGTGGCCTAGCCAGTGGCGTTTTGTCAAGTCCTACATCAGGTCCTGCGACGTATGTGCTCAAGCCAAGACCAGCAGACACAAGCCCTACGGTCTCCTCCAACCCCTGCAGGTCCCTGACCGCCCCTGGGGGTCAATTTCCATGGACTTCATCACGGATCTACCCGCCAGTGATGGGGTTGATTCTGTGCTCGTTGTCATCTGCCGGTTCACCAAGATGGCGCACTTTGTACCGTGCAGGAAAACTGCCACCGCTGAGTCAACTGCAGATCTGATCTGGCACCATGTCATCCGGCTCCATGGACTCCCCGACGATATCGTATCTGACCGTGGCCCACAGTTCAACTCCCACTTCTGGAAACGTCTCTTCGCTCTCCTGGGAACCAAGATCAACCTCTCATCGGCGTTCCATCCCCAGAGCGATGGACAAACCGAGCGGACCAATCAGATTCTTGAGCAATACCTTCGCTGCTTTTGCAACTATCAACAAGATAACTGGAAGGAACTCTTGTCTTCTGCTGAGTTCTCTTACAATAACACCATCCACTCCGCCACCCAGACAACCCCCTTCTACGCCAACTATGGGTTCCATCCTCGATTCAGTCTGGCTTCCGCCACCACAACCGAATCCCTTAATCCTGCAGCCGAAGCTCGTGCCAACCATCTCAAGGAAATCCATGAACAGCTTGCCACTGAGCTCAAGGAGGCCCAAGGACGCATGAAGCGCTTTGCCGATGCTAAGAGGGCACCTGGCCCAGACATGAAACCCGGGGACAGTGTCTGGCTCTTACAGCGGAATCTCAAGACTCTCCGACCTTCCCAGAAACTTGATCACCGTCAGATTGGCCCCTTCACAATCACGGAGAAGATCAACTCGGTCACATATCGCCTCAAGCTTCCCCCATCCTACAAAATTCACAACGTCTTCCATGTCTCCCTTCTTGAACCACGTTTCACCATTCCGGAGCGAACTGAGCCAGAACCCACCCCACCAGAAGAAGTCAAAGGACAGGAGGAATGGATTGTGGAAGACATTCTTGACTCCCGTATTCGACGCACGCAGCTTCAGTACCTCATCAAGTGGCAGGGTTGGCCAAGCTCGGAGAACACATGGGAGCCAGTGGAACACCTTGCCCGATGTCAAGAGCTTGTTGCCCAGTTCCACCAAAAGTACCCCGACAAACCCCGGCCAAAGCCTGCCAACATCAAAACAACATCCGGACGCCGTGGCTAAAGGAGGGGGTGATGTTATGGACGACGCGTCCATACCATGCGCTTACCTCATGACAGCATCCCAACAGTCAGTCAATGTCAATTCCCTGTCAAAACCTGACATCTGCCAAACCTCGCAGCCGCACGCAGCCGCGCTACCCCACACCTGCCACTGCCTTCATTTCTCCACGCAGCCGCACGTAGCCACACCTCCCAACACTCGGCGCTTACAAACCCTTCTCCATACTTCCCCACGTACCCGCCCACAGCCTCAGCATAGCCACCCCATCCCCAGTCTTCTGTTTCTATGCTTCCCCACCCTTGGCGCTTCTCTTGGCTTCCCTCTCATTCCGTACCCTTCTGCTTCCCCACGCTTCCCCAGCCTTCCCAGAAAAACATAAATAGCCGCCTCCCCTGAGCTCCCCACTTCCTGATCCCCCAGCAGATCAACACCAGTTCTTCCTAGTCTTGTTCTAGTTCTTGTTTCGGTCTGAATACCTGTCAACAACCTGCACCACAAGTCGCCTCTATTTCCACCGGCTCCGCCCATTCATAACAGGTATACCATAAAGACCGGTGAGGTGATGTGCCCGGGCAGGAGATTCGGGCCGTGGGCGCGCATTTCGTCGGTACAGTCCTCGATGATCCCCTTCGCGAGACAGTCGTCAAGTTTGAGTTGTAGTTGATTGCGCTCGGTCGTTGAGAGGTGGTACTCGCCGACGTAGCGTCGCATTTGTTGGGGGGATTGAGCCCATTTGGTTTTCACGCCGTGCGCGACGATGTTCAGGATTTCGTCGTTGATGGAGAAACTCTTCCAGTGTCAGGAAAAGTGCTTTAGTCGCCCGCCGGGAGGTATAGTGGGATGCGGGTGCGGAAACAACCACTCCATCCACTGCGTCCGTATCGTCGCGTTGCTTTGTTCTACTTGTTCTAGGAGCGGGAGTAGCCAGAGGAAGTCGTCGCGCGACACCCACGGTCGGCTGGCGGAATTGAACACCATCCCTCGTTGAGGTGTGGCCCGCTGACCCAGCGGGTCCATTGTGTGCGCCATTGAAGAATGCGCAGCTCGTTTGGGAATGGTAATTGTGCGAGAGGGATTAGCCTTGGGGTCGGTGTATCCGGTATATCCGGCGTATCCGGTATATCCGGTGTAGTCGGGGCATCCGTCGTACCCGGCGTCGCCGTTGAGCATCCCTCTACTGTTTTTCCCGTTTTGCGTCGGGTGAATTGTGTCGTTGATGACTGTGGGACCCGCCGCGGCCGCCGTCGCGGCCTCGATAGCCTTGTCCGCGAGTACCACCTTGATATCCGCTGCTGCGTGGGCTGCTGCGGAACCCTCCCCGTTGGTTTGATGACCTGCGGTCGACGTAGGAGGAATTGCCCCGGGGCCGCTGACTGCTGCGCGTACCGGGGGGACCAAAAAGCTTCTGGGGTCGAAGAGATTTCATTGCCTGGAGGGAAGCGACAAGTTCCTGCATCTGATCGAACTCGCCGAAGAGCTCCTGCTTCCTGTTTGTGCCGAATGCGCATCGTTTGTGAATGGAGTCGACGGTGGTAGCGGTGAAGCCCGCTGCTTCAAGCGCGGCCTTTTGGGCGTCGCGGATGGTCTTGGTCAGTGTTTCGCGTGCAATCAGGGTAGTGGCCTCGCAGACCGACATGGTTTGTTGGACGATGGAGACAAGTTGTTCCTGCGTCATCCCCGGCGCGGCTGATTGACTGAGTAGGGAGAGGATGGGGGCGTGCTCCTTGAAGGCCCGTAGGTGGCGGTGAACGAGGGGAGCGTGTTTCGCCTTCGCCTTCTTAAAAGCCTCCTTCTCAGCGGCGGAGCAATGCGCGAGGAGGACATTGTCTGTGGGCGTGCCGGGATTCATGTTGATGGAGTAGGCGTCCAACACGTCAACTTTGGGAATGCGACGTTGAAGTTCCTTCTCAGCCTCCTCCTGCGTCGAGACGGATACGACACCTTCGTCGCGGAGGATATCAGCAAGGTGCATGTTGAGCAGGATCACTGACCGGCTGGTTGGGAGGCGCACGCGGGTGTCAGCGTCGGACTCGGAGTCGGAATGGTGCCCACCTTTGCTGCTTTCGGCAGTGTTGTCCTCATCATCCCCCGGGGCAAGCGGGAGGTGACGACGTTTAGTTTTGGGTTTCTCGGCCGCTTGAATGTCGCGGAGTGAGGGGAGCGGCTGACTCATTGCAATGAACACCGGCTGGGTGTCCGGTTTAGGATCCCACATGGTTTTTGAAGCCGGGGGCGAGGGGGGAGTTCACCGGGCTTCAGCGCGAGGACGACGGGGGCCTTTTTGGTGTGAATGGTGTCCAGACGGTGGTGTTTGGGCACGCCAGGTTCGGCCATCTCGGCATGTGTATGCTTGCGGCGCTCTCTAACCAAAGCGAGCGCGGCGTGGTGACACTCGATAAGCCTTTCCCGTTTTCGTCCGAGGGCGGCGATGATGGCAGCCTGGTTGTCTCGCTCGATAGAGGCAACGACCTGCTCGGCGTGAGCGAGACTCTCTTCCCATTCCGCAATGTCATCATCTGTGGGGTTTGCGGGAAGGTTCGGAATGCGGCAAAGAATGGTTCGCTCAGGGGATTGAGCGTTGTCCTTCTCGTGGTTTTCAGACCCCTCCCCGTTGCGGAAGTGGGACTGGGACGGCGTGCCATTGTCATGCTGAGAGTCGTTGTCATGCTGAGAGTCGTTGTCGTACTGAGAGTCGTTTTTGTCCATGGTGATGATGCCGCTGGCGTATACACAAGTGTGGGTCTGTGTCTTACCCCGGGGAGGAGGGCGAACGTGAGTTCAAGGTCTCCTTGTTGTGCGACCTAATGCGCTGGGTGAAAACCCAAACCGGTCGCCTCTCGTTCAGAGCGGCGCCCAGTAATTCCCTTTTCCGTTCTATAGACGGAAATCACCATGGAACCCAGATTTCAACGTACCTGTGGCAAGAGCGATGAATTAGGGCAGTGTTGATGCACAATGAGAGTGCAATGTTGTGAACGGAGTGTGCGCTTAGCCTGTTTTCGTTCTAGGATCTGTGCACTCGAGTGAAAAAGAGATGAAGGGAAAGGGAGCTAGGGTTATCTGTTATTTATTCCTTCGAGAAGAAAAATAGAGAAGCTTACCAAGCAACCTCCGAATGGAGTCCATTCACGCACACACGAGGGTTAGGGTTAGGGTTAGGGTTTAGGGTTAGGGTTACCACGGGTTAGGTTACCCCTAACCTAACCCTAACCCTAATAAATATATTGCTGTCAGTGTCCATATGTCTGCCCCCTGTGACTCTCTGCGACGCGACCGGCGACTGATGCCGTGATTGAGGGTGTCAATGTTACCTCCCGTGGTTAGCACAGTAACGTAGGAAACCACCCTGCTGAGAGCCCCCACCGAACTGTCCATAACAACCGCACCGTCTCACTCGAAGACACTCACTCGACGTGCAATCGCCTCTTAAGGCCGCTCTCGCAAAAATGTCATATCGAGAAATGAGATGTAAGCTCCCAAACTCCCAAGATGTCCATCACCCACGTCGCGTCTGCCCACCCTGGTCGCAAGCTTATTGACACCTTCCAACCCAACAAACATCCAGCATTCACAGAAAAGATGCGATCACTAGGCTACCCCAAGCTCATATCCATGGAATCCTTCCGCTTGCCCAACTTTGACATGCTGGCTGATATTCTCCTGTGGCTGGTGAAGAGGTGTGGCTTTCTACCTATGCCCTTTATGTGACCTTTCCCGGCACTCATGTTTTCTGTGATTCACCCACCCCCAGCTACGACCCATCAGCAGAAGTCCACGAAGACGTCGACACAGAGCAGGACCGCATCATCTTTATCAAATCCATTGCCCAACTCATGGCTCCGAAAGCGCATCTAAGACTCAACACGAGGAAATTGTACATGGCGGATGGGACCGCGGTTAGGGAGTTGTTGAAGATTGCCAATGTGCTTTATCAGGCTGTTGTGGTGAAGTCGGGGGGTGGTGGTGATGAGGTGGGTTGAGACGAAGTGAGGCGTGGCGAGGCTTGTCTGCAACGAGTGAAGCGAGTTCGGGAGTCCGCGAGGACGAGCAGAGCGAACGGCTGCGGGAGCGAAGCGAGCGCGAGCAGAGCGAGTTCCTTGCGCCGCAGGCGCAATACCCCTAACCACGGTCTTAGCGAGCCTCAGCGAGCGTTAGATCTTTTGCGAGCGGAGCGGCCCGGTCAACCATCGAACCATCCAACCATCCAACCAACGACGCGATACGCCCGTCACTGCCGTGCTCAGTTCCACTTGTGGATGACAAGCGATTTGCGCGGTGAGCTAACGATTCGCTGATCATAGGACCTAGGCCGCGTACTCCCACTGGACATCTCGAGCAAAGTCGGGCAACTCAAGACCTGCCGCGTGCTAGCAACCGAAATCACTGAACGCGGCGCCAAACTCTACGACTCGCTCGGGAAGGAAATCGAACTCAAGGTACGTACCTTCCGTCACTCATCCGCCCACCATGCCCCACTCACCCTTCCCATTGATTTAGGACGTCCGCGCAACAGTAATCTCCCGCCCCTTCGAGCTCAAAGCCATGGAATCCACCGTGACCACCTCCCTCACGAAACTCAAAGAACAGATCTCCGCCACGGCGCAGGCCCTGGATAACCTCGCGGCTGATGAAGGGAGTCTGGTCGCCAAGATTGAGAAGAAGAAGGTCGAGCTGGAACGGGCGCAGAAACGGTTGGCGAGTTTGCAGAGTGTTAGGTATGTGTGCGGGATGTCTCACCGTCCTTTGCGTGAATGTGATTCGGATCGCGTGACTTTGTGATGTATGGTTAAATTTCAAATGCAGACCGGCATACATGGACGAATATGAACGCATCGAAAAAGACCTCACGAAGCTGTACCAAACCTACATGGAGAAATTCCGCAACCTCACCTTCCTCGAACAGCAGTTGGACGAGTATACACGGCTCGAGCAGGATAAATTCGAGGTCCGTCTGATAACCTCATCCTTGCCCTCCTCCCCTCTTGCCTGTATCATCTCTCACAAAGCCGACATATCCTCTTTTGATTCTTCACACAGCAAACAGAAGAATCCCTCCGCCAAATGCAATCCCGCCTCCACGAAGAAGAAATGCGCCTCCTCCGCGGCGAAAAAGAGCTGCGCGGCTCTCTCATTTCCTCCTCTCTCATCGGGTCCGACGTGCGTGGGAGTGGTAGCGGTGGTGGGGGAATCGGGGGGAGGTTGGCGAGACCTAAAGGTATGTTCCAAAAATAAATATGGCGGGATTTTGTGACTGTGGGTTGTGTGTTGATTGGGGAAAATGTGTTATGATTTCTAGGTGCAAGCCACCGCTCCCAATCCTTCCGCACCCTCGACGGCACCTCCTCCTCCGTCGACCTCGAGTTCCAGAACGAGGAGGGCGCGTCCGTCTCAGGCTCCGCATCGCCCGGCGAGTTTCAATCCAACGATGGCGAGTCGGATCTTGACGGTGATGATGATGACGAGGGGCGGGGATTGGGCGGGGATGAGGAGGAGGAGGACGAGGAGGATGAGAGTGGGGATGGAGAGGAGGATGAGGGCAGCTTTGTGTTTGGTGAGGACGAGGAGGGGGAGGAGGAGGGGGATGATATTGATTTTTAGAGATGGGGGAAGATACCGCGGTATAGACTGTTTGGGATCTAGATTTTTGGGATATGATGCTCTGGAACGTTGCCTTTTGGAGGTTCTCTTGTTGGAAACATCGTGTACAGGTTTTGGAGGAGTGGTATCACATTATGGCGCAGAGTGAGGCCTTTACACAAATATACAATACAATACGCCCTTATTGATCATTGCCTTCGAAACGTCAAACTTACGATGGACATTGAGGACATGGAAATGTCCACCGCAATCGCCTGAACAGTGAAGATGCTAGGTTCGTACCGTACAGTCAGGTAGCAAAAAGCTGTCTCTCCTCGAGATCAAGTCAGTGCGCCGCCGAGTCGCCGACGCGTCCTCTCCGCCTTGTGGAACGGTCATTGACTTCAATTAGAAGGAGAGACAGCTTTTTGCACTACAGACCTATCATGCACTACGGATGCTTCAGAATAATCTAGTCGGTGCAACACAGATGGACAGAACCTTGGAAGGGCAACGTTCTCTCGCTGCCCGTTTTACGGGCCCCACCATATCACAGCCCTATCCTTCTCAGCACTAACAAACGCCTTCGAGTTCCACGCAACTCCACATACAGCAGATCTGCAGCGCAATACAAATCATAAGCAAACCGGTACAAAACGCTACTCAACAAAAGACCTTTATGGGAATATCAAAATGAACATGCACCCACCTATGTTCCTTCAAAACCTTCTCAATCCGTCCATCACTGTGCCAAATGAATACCGCGCCGTCCTGTGACCCGGACGCAATGTGGCGGCCGTCGGGACTGAAGCATGATCGGGACCAGTTCATTCCCGGTCGGAAAGCGTCGTTTCTAGTGGATGCGCAAGCGTTATTTGGAGGAAAGGAATTGAGGTCCCGAGGGTTGAGGATCTCACGAGATGGTCTTCAGGACTTGATAGGTGTTTAGATCTATCAGCTTCAGCGTGTTGTCCCGGGATGTCGTCAAGAGCACGTTTTCAGCTACGGTATCACAGTCAGTGTCAATCTAACGGTCGTTGCAGTGATACATATAGCCATTCTTGAACTTACTTGGATGAATGGCCACGCTCGTCACCTGCCCGTAATGAATCCCGGACAGCTCTCTAATCAATGACCCGGATCGCGAGTCCCAAATACGGACATTATGATCCAGGTGACCACTGGCTATTGTCGTTCTGTGTGTGCGCGCTTTGGTGAGTGATGTCCCATGCACGTTCGCATACCGCGGTCTCCAGATTTCATACCCGTCTCCGTTGAGCAGACACAAGTCGTTGCAGCTGGACAGTGTGAAGATGGTGCTAGTGCCTGTGATGAATGTCAGCAAAGTATGGCAGAGCACAAGAGCTCTGAGTGCAGATGCGTACAAAAGCCTCTGTTTAGGTCCCATATCTTGATGGTTCTATCGTGCGAGCCCGATATCTGTTGGTGGTTCCCCCAGGTGAGCGCACTTTCAACACACGATTCGCATGCTTTCTCGTGCGACACCCACCACGCGGCCAGAGTCTGTAAACTTCGCAGCAAACACTTTTCCGATGTGTCCAGTGAGGGTGTGCTGCAAGGAAGGCGATTCGAGCAAATGACAGGTGCTCATCGTTGAATTTCATGTGCCAGACTACCTTCAGCCTCGCCGTTGCGACGTTCCAAAGCTTCACGGAGTTATCGTTGCTGGTACCCATGACCAGCTCCCCGGAATTGTCGAAAGTCAGTGACATGATGGCTTGCGTCGCGCCAGACAACGTTGATTTGAGGGCGCCTAAACGGATGATAATAAGACCTCCGATCAAGCTTCAGGAAAGGCATAGTAGAGTTGAAGGTTTACCAGTTTTCACATCGAACAAAAGAACCTTTCGGTCATTGCTTCCTGTAGCGACAATGCTGCCGTCGCCATTGATTTGCACGCAGTTGATCTCTGAATCGTGTGCTTGCTGTATCGTACAACAGGTTTAGCGAAAGAAGACACTAGACAGCTGACAGGGCGGTAAAATCAGACATGAGCCTACCATTCTCCGCACAAGCTTTGCCGGAATGTGATTGGTTACGGTGGGCAGTGCCGCAGGGCTGTGAAGTAGGTTTAATGACAAAGGCGATGCCCCGTCCATCGGTAAGGTTCGGGCGACTCACAATGCATCAAACTTCATGTCAGCCGAAGAAAGCTGCCTGGGGCTCGCCGCTTTGGACTTTAACGCACTGAAAACCCTCAAGGTGAGCCCGGACCACAAACGGCAACGCCAAAACCGGCATCAGTGCGCCTTACATTTCAACATATTCATTCGCCTCATTCATCCGCGCCGCCTGCTCTTGCTTAAGCACGATCCATCGTTCGATAAGGGTCCCGTTTTCCGCCTCCAACGATTTCACCCGTTTCTCCTTCTCGGACAGCTGTTCTTCCCGTTGTACGAGCTCTAACTGATGTGTTGCTAGCTCGTCTTTCAGGATCTGTAAAATACTATCAGTCACGGTGCGACTACTGAGATCTTGGGCTGCGATGGCTTACCTGGATAACGTGATCCTTCTCCTTTATCAGCTCCTGAACGTCTCTCAGACGGGCTGAGACGGTGTTCAGGTTTGTGGTGACGGCCCGGTTTCTGCATGTCCTAGATCAGCCGTCGCTCTTCCTCCAACCCCAGCAGTTCGCCCAAGTACGTACGCCTCTTCAAGCGCAGAAACGCTTCCGTCGGCCTTCTGCATAGCCTCCATGAGTTCCAACATTTTCTGCGCGTTCTGTCCCTGTGTCTTGTACAGATCCGCCCGTTCGTCCTTCAGCTCTTTGATCTGAGTTTCCAAGTTGGCCACTTGGCCTGCCAGTTCGCCGTGGTTGCTGCAAAAACATTAGCAGGCAGCTCTCGGAGACTTTTTCAAGGACCAGAATCCGTCAACAGAGTAACCGGCTCACCCATGCTCTGCAGAACCAGGTGACCCCTGGCCATTCTTCGCCGCTAACGACAGAGCGTGGAGATCGTTTTGCAATGACGCTACATTCTGCACCGCCAAGTTATCTGCGGAATTATGTCAGACTACAAGATTTCTATTAAAGTGATAACCCTAATACGTACGGGCGGCGATCAGGGTTACGAAAGCATCTCTCTCCCTTGCGTCTCGATCTGTCAGCCTTTTCAGGACGAGGTCTCGCCAAAGGGGTAGCGCCGCCGTCGTCATCTTGCTCAACGAAATGCACACAACGGTATGTAGGGTTTGGCAACACAGTGACTTCCGCGTCAAATGGAGCGCGCCAATATTCCGATCGCGTGTGCGTTTCCAGGCGGTCCTCTTTTTCCCCTCGCACCTCGGCTCGCAACTCTGCTCGCAACTCGTCTTGAAAAAGGTCTCCACAGCACGGACCATCATCCCCCGCTCGCAAAATATCAGAAGCCACAAGCGGCACCCCCAGCACTCGTCGAAAACAAACGACAGACTCGTAAGCCCTGCGATCAAACCGCATTTCGGCCCAAACCTATTCCAGCAATGAACACATCTTTCCGCGTGATCAAGCGCTCTCTGCAAAGAGAAGCAGCACTCTTCCACGCCCGTCCATCCACCTTCTCCCAAACCTTCTCCCACCCCACCATATTTCGCCGCACCACCGCCCGGTCGTCACCATTCTTGGCTAGCCGGACATATTCCACCGCACCGACGGAAGAAGCACCCAAGGACGCTGCTGCAGGTGCGGAACAAACCGCGGAGAAGACGACAAAGGAGGAAGGCCCTGCGGCTAACGAGCCGAAGACAATAACGGAGTCGGAGCTGAAGGCTGCGCTCGCGGAGAAGGAGAAGCAAATTGCTGGACTACAGGTAATGCCCGGCCGCTCTGTGCAAGGACCGAACTTCAAGAGCGCATGTCTAACCTATGCCATCTTCCCTCTAGGATGTCTACCGCCGCGCATTAGCTGACGCCGAAAACGTCCGCCAACGCACCCGCAAAGAAGTCGCCGACACCAAAGAATACGCAATCACCAAATTCGCAAAAGACCTCCTCTCCGTTGCCGACGTCCTCGACCTGGCCCTGAAAGCCGTGCCCCAGGCGCAACTGGAAGAGAACGCAGCCTTGAAGAACCTCTACACGGGAGTTGACATGACCCGCTCAAATCTGCAGGCGACGTTCAAGCGGTTTAGCATTGAGGTGTTCAACCCGCAGGGGGAGGTGTTTGACCCTAACTTCCATGAGGCGCTTTTCCAGGCTCCTATCCCGGATAAGGAGCCGAACACGGTGTTTGAGGTGGCCAAGATCGGATACAAGCTTGGAAACAGGTGCTTGCGGCCGGCGCAGGTTGGCGTTGTGCAGGCGAGGGAATAAAGCAGCGACCCGAGCCGATGTTACCCACCCCACCATCAATATCATCGTCCGTCACGGACCTGCATCCCTCGTTATCACCGCCGCGGCAACCACGCATCTTACTGAAAGCGATTCGAATACGAGCCCCCGATTTAATATTATTATAGCGCGAAACCAGGGCCTTTTCGCCCCCGCGAGCGAGCTCATTATTCCGCATTCTGCCACACCCCTGTAGTATAGACCAGCATTAGACGCCACATGCATCCTCGGCATCCTACGTCTGGCTTATGTGTACATATGCATTACCGCGGAGGTTGAATCACAGCTGATATAAACTTAGACCTCGAAAAGACGTGTAGGCATAATGACGACGGTGTGAGTTCGTATCTATTGACCTCCGAATGCAAGAGACAACGTGGATGATATATACAAAAGGGGGATGGTATAGCTATGACAATAGCGTATGGCATAGCCCGTGTCTGCCAGACACGTCATCCCCAACACGAATGTTACAACAAATGGAGATGGTGATCTATCCATACCAGCGCCCGCTTTGCGCCACGAAATTAGACTTCTCTCGGGTGGGTATACACGACGATGTGATGTTGTACGCTTCAATGAGGTCCTGAATGAAAGAGGGGGTTGGTGATTAGCAAGGTATACGATTGGCGTGGACGCACGAGAAGGGAGCGGAGACTCACCCGCCAGGTTGGCATATCTATGTCGACCACTGCTTGATAGCGTTGGGCGTCTCCACCGTTTTCATCGCTTGGTGGGTCTGCTATGTCTGTGAGTTGGGGGGGAATAAGGTTGGTGCGGGATCCACATTCTCCATCGCGGCGTTTCCATCCGTCCCCGTGATCATAGCACGCCCACTCCTTTTTCAATATGAAACCAAAAACGCACCCAGCATAAGCTCCCCATCATCCTCATCCTCATGCACCTGCACCTTCCCATCGCGGATCAGGAAACTGACATAAAACAGGTTCTCGACCGTCTGACCGAACGATTCCGGGTTGACGATGAACTCAAAGAACGGGACGGTGCCGAGATCTTGGAGGACCATGTAGATCTCTTTGACGAGGGCCGTTGTTTCGTTTTCTTGTTTTTGGAAATCTTTTTCGCCGAGCTTTGTGTGGGGAAATGGGGGATGTTAAGTCATGGGTTGGTAATACGCTCTGAGCACGATACGCACCTGTTGGGGCTTTTGCAGATCCTCCTTGTTCTTCACCAGCCTGGCGGCTTTTCGTCGCTGAGTCCGTACAGTCTGCTCAACCGCTAATGGCCCTAACCTGCAGCATCCGAAACAACCATCAGCCGTCATTCCTGAGCCGGCCCCTCTTTACCGAAACATCCAGCTCGTACATGAAATCGATGGTCGGCACCCGTCGTAAACACATCGTCGCCGCCTTCCCCAACGCCGACCAATCCAATCTCGACAACCCGGCCCCTGATCCACCTCGGACATCCGCTTCCTCCTCGTCGTCATCCTCAACTTCGTCCTCATTCTCCGCTATCGTCTGCGCGTTGCCATTCATGGTTATGACTACCTTCCCTAGCCAGTCATCGATGTTGAAGGTGCCGCCATCTAGTCGCATTCGCTGTGCTTTTTGGACGGCGAGGTCTGCTGCTGCTACTAGCACTTTTGAGTCTAGTGTCGCTTCGTGTGTTGTGAATACTACATGGGAAAGATAGGTTTTGCGTTAAGCATGAAGCGGACAAGGTTTGCAAGACGACGGTGCATATATCTGTTCACATACTCACCTTGTTGAAAGAGCTGCCCAGCGCGACCAACCGTATCTATCAGTTGTTGCGCCGTAATCTCACTTCTATTTGCTTCAGGTAACAAGATAATCGAAAGCCCGATCAATACGACAGTCCCCTCGCAGTCGATCGCCTCTTAATTGACTCCCTTCTCATCCGCCGCCCCAAGACTTACATTCCGTAATCGACAACAACTCCCTATACTCCGCCCTAATAACTCTCCTCTGCTCTTCCGTCTGCTGACTATTAAAAAAATCCTTCCCCCCCAACATCTCCAACGCCTGCTCCGTCTCTCCCATCGCCTGCGAGTCTTCCTCCTCGTCAAAGTCCTCCTCCATTTGCTGGTCGTCTTCGTATGAGTCGGGCTGTCCGCGTGATCTGTGTGTGCTTTGCCGACGACTGCTGCTGGACCCTGTGCCGCGCGAACTGGAGGCTCCTGAACGACGCATGGCGCCGCCGAGCATTTCCGGGTGGGTTTGGAGAGATGGGTCGAGGAGAGCTTCGAGTTTTGAGTCGGGAGGGATTGGCAGGATTTTGGAGCCGAATTTGCGGGGCCGACTTGGTGGGTTCCAGATCCGACATCGCAGTCCTTTCTTTCGGACGAGGGGTTCGGACGAAGGACGCTTGATCACGTGCCCCACCAGGGACTCGTAACGACTTCAACCGACGCCGACTACATTACAACCAGTTGGACTGCCACCACCATCTGGGAAGGCTGGCCAATGGGAAGGCCACGGAGGGTTCCCGTGGGCCAATGGGACGTGTGGCCAACCCCGCGAAATAACCTCAGTTAGGGTTACGTGCGCGGGTTGTCAGACAGCCCATTGGATGACAGCCTTCCGACGCGTTTGTCACCTCGCTGCTTGAAATGTCTGAACACTCGCCTTCCTCTGCGCAAAACGCGTGGGGTGCAGGCAGAGCAGACATATACCGGCCAAGCCAGAGCAGACCCTCGAGGCCTCCCTATTCATCCATTCCCCCAATACGTCGCCCAAAAATGACAGCAACAAGAGAAGAATACCTCTCCATTGTCGCCGCCGAAGAAACCGAGCTGTTCATCATCTCCCTCGTCGACCGCATCGTCGCCAAATCGCAGGACGTGCTCTTTGAACGCCATATCGAGAGCCAAGTCCTGCCGTACGCAGTCCAGTTTGCAAAAGCGGCGTTGGATGAGTTGGTTGAGTGGGAGTTTTTCAAGGGCGATGATGGCGGGATTGAGGAGGAGACTTGGAGGCCCGATGATGGTGGGTCGGACAAAGTGGGCGAGTTTCAGCGATGGATGTGCCTACTCACATCTGGTTACCGCATACAGAACCAGAACCGGCAATAATTGACTCCTGGGCCCCCGGCGCAATACCCGTCCGCAAATCCATTAGCGCCACCCCTACAACCACCCAGGACACTTCATCCGCCGTCAGACACACCACCACTCTTGCACCGCACTCACCCGGCGGCATCACATCTCTCTCAAAGCAAAGCAGCGCAGCAAGTCTAGTGGATAAAGCAGTCTCCCCCGCCGACCCTCTGCGATGGGGGGAAATTGCGAATGAACAGATTCCAACGGCGAGACGGCGAACGATGGGGTCGACTGCTGGGTCTGGGCTTGGTGCGACGTCTGCTACGTTTAGATCCTCAAACGCGTCGGTGATTTCGGCAGGCGGGAGGGAGAAGCGACATGCGGTGGGTTTCTGGTTTGCGCATCAGAGTCAGCGAGGCTGCATAGCGGACGTGGGGGTTGTGATTGGGAGACGGTTTTGATCAAGTCAGAATTTCTCCTTTCCAAACACGCAGGGCTCAGGAGCAGACCTGAAATCCACCGCATCATCTGCATCAGTTGGCGGCCGGCGACGAGAGTCTTCAGCAAATCGGCACCGAGGAGCACCGTTACCGCCAGTCACATCAGGACCGGTCCAGGTGACTGACCCGAGTATAATGAATGTAATGAAGAAGAAGCCTGGAGCTACTACCCGCACGGGGCAAGGGTACGTAACAGATGACTTCACGCATCATGCATGGCCGGGCCTAATACCAAGATGTCATATAGAGCACGAGTAAAAATCTCCCCAGCCGCATCATCCCCCTCACCAGCCGCGGAAATCCATCCTCTGGCCTCGCGCGGCGAGGAGAGCGGTCACTCACAACGGCATCACGAAACATCGCGGGACATCAACAAGAGAGGAGGAACGTTAGGGAATATTAGGGGGGCGCAAACACCACAACAGCTGAGACAACGCCCGCAGGGAGAACAACCGGCGCGGCGGCCTAGACCTCCTGGGGTGGGCGAGCTGAAGGGATCCAAACAGATGGGAGATCAGGGAGTGCGGTCAAAGAGTGGAAGCACGGTCAAACTGCTGGATAGTGGGGTGTCCACCGGGCATGGGTTTGTAGACGATGCCACGATACCTGCCTCATCCGTACGTTAAACCCCATTACGCCCTCATCGTACGCTTTTCCTAACCGCCTCTCCCGCAACATCAGCACGCAAACCAGCTCCCAACCCCCACACCACCCACCGGCAACCCAACATCCGACCCACTTAAGCTCGTACTAGCGCGCGCGCGCCCGGTGGTGCGTAAGGTGGACTCACAGCCGCCGTTGCCGGGGATTGGCGAGCGGAGGAGTAGTAGGACTTCGGCGGAGGATGGGTCGGGGACGCGGGGGGTTGAGGTGTAGGAGATCTTCAAGGCGTGTGGGGCATGGTGATGGAAAGATGATACTTTTGGTTGTACATTTTGGATGACGGGACTTTGGGTTGGGCGGGGATGGGACTTGCATGTATAGTGTATAACACTATACGTAATGAATATCATGGAGGATACCTACATATTCACAAGGTCTTGCCCTTCCAGATCAAGTTAATGCATCTTTGGACATCAGTCGCTAAGTCACAGCATATGAGGTGTTGGTCCCAGAGCCCAGCTGTTGGTCCCAGAGCCCTTGAAGATGGACGGTTACCCCGCCGGAGCTTGGAGGGCCCACTGACGCCGATGAACGGAAGTTCAGGTTCAAGCGGACGGTAGATGACGGTTGTGATCTTATTGGAGGCTACTGAGGCTCTATTAAGTCCCTCGCAAAACAACCATTTGGAAGTACGCGTCTTCTAGCCATAATGCAATGCATCTCACAAAAGCGCTACACGATCCTCCGCCAACAAACAGGAGAACTCGGGACACACCCTATGCAGCTACAGGCTTTGGCCTTCGAACCTGAGTGGCCTGCGATGACGCTCCTCCACCGCCCGCCGCCTGATTGGCACCTCCCGCTGCACCCCTAGGGACCGACGTGTCCCTCTTCGGTATCGACGCAGCCGGCGCCACCACAATCCTCTTGGGTCGCTGCGCGTGTGGGTGGACGTGTTTAGAGACGGGATGCTGATGATGGGAGTGGATGGGTTGCATGGCATCCACCGCTTCTGTGGCGAGCTCGCTGGCGATGCTCATGGTGCTGTTGGCGATGGGACCGGGGAGGCGGCCCCCTGCATGTGCACTGCGTGATGGAGCGGCTAGATTCCCACTCGGCTTGATTGATGTCCCTATGCCGTCGATCTTGACGGTGGGACTCAGGTAGTCAGTGATAGCCTATTTAGAGAAGGGTGAAGACGGTTAATCCATAGGCTCAATGAAATCGCGTTCCACAGACATCGACAACACTTTCATACACACCCCCGCTCGCGGTAAACACTGCCCAAAGGCCTCCATAAGCAGCTGCTCTTTCCCAATCGCCACAGCCCAATCCGCCTCACTAACTCTCCCATCCCTATCCTCATCCAACTTCTTCAGCACCAAATCCACCAAATCCTTCACACCGTCCTCGTCCTCCTCCTGGCCCCTAACCAAGCAGTTGCGCAACATCTGGTACATTTCCTCCTTGCTCACGTAACGGTCGCCGTTGAGATCGTACACCCGGAAACAGAACTTGCTCCGCTCCTCTAGCCGCCCTTTGAGGAAGACTGACATGCCTTTGATGAACTCGTCATAGGAGATGTAGTTGTCTGCGTCTGTGTCGAAGGTCCTGAACACTGTTGCCCATAGAAGTTACATGAACTAGGGATGTTAGCTTCCCTCTTCCATGTCCCTCGTCCCACCAAACATGAAAAACTTCAAACCTGCTACACCCACCTCTATCCATCAAAAGCGAATCATCGACCCCAAACACATCAGCAAGCAAATCGCGGAACTTCGCTCGGTCAATCTTCCCCGTCGCCAGCGCCGCGAGCGGGTCTCGGTCCGCGCCGCCGAATGCTGTGTTGGTCGGCACGGGGAGGAGGTCGATGAAGCGGCGTTGGAGGACTTCGATTTCGGAGCGGGTGACTTTTTCGGTGGTGGTGGTGGATAGAGTGAAGGTGATGTAGATGTTAGCAACAAAACTAATCGATGCTCCCGTTCATGCGGCTCCCGGAGAGCCAATGGCGATAATATCCTGGAGAGGGCGTCTACCTCCACCCTTTTCCCTCCTCCCCTGTCGAATGCGTCTGCGTTTCATCACACGACCTCCATTGAATCCGGAACTTACAGACAGAATTCTTAGCCGGATCCTCGGGAGCGGCACGTGCGGCCATCGTGCCTGTCGTGGTGGCGTTCGCAGGAAAGGCGGAGAGTTGGATTGGAGAGGTGTGTGTATGACGTTGCGATCAACCCGCTCTCGATTGGATGTGTGCGTCGGTGGATGTGCGTCGGTGGATGTGTGTGTCTGCGGGTGCGGAGTAATGAGATAAGAGACTAGGACCAACCCCAAAAACAGACGCTGCACAGAAGTCACAGCAGTGCATCTAGAGCATCTCACTTCAACCGGTTTACCGCCTGTCTACCGTGCTGCTCCCAATTCTCTCACCTCAGCCTCGGCCTAAGATTTTTCTCTAGCGGGTCCCTCTCGCCGCCTTCAGGTAGCTTCCCATGTGCATTCGAAGCTCAGGAGTAGGACACTGGACTACGGGAACACAATGATGTACGTTATATGATTCAGGGAAGCTGAATACGGACACATAAGCTTCATACGTATCAAGCGTAAGTTACTCTATGGCTTTTGCTTCTGTAAACTCGTTGGTTGTTAGGCCATGTGTTTTGTTGATACGGATTGTCGGAGATATTCCAGAACAGACTCTAAACGCAATTGCGAGCCCGCTCCGCAACCTTAAACGCGTGTGTCATAGCTACTGGAGAACACGCTGAGTGTGACTTAGGTGTTAGGGTTATTCAACCCTAACCGTAAACTATTCCGTGCGGAAAGCAGTAATTCTGCGTGGAAGGCTAGGGAGTGGCGTGGCACCCGGCCATCCACATCACAAAACATCGCCTCTGCTTCATCGCTAACCTACATCAAATGCAAACAACCAACCGATCGGGGGTATCTACCACTCTATCATAGGCGATATGAACTCATCCAAAAATGTCACAATAAAAAGGCGAAAAGAAAAGGCTAGAAGAGCTTCCGCGCCACTTTGGCTCCAGGCACGCCCCCCATTTCGAAATCGTCATCTGAAATGGTAACGGTTGAGTATCAACGACAATGGTGAAAAGCGAGCCCTGCAACAATCTTACCGGGAAAGTCAGGTGCTTTTCGCTTGATGCCTGGTCTCGCAGCGGCTTCAGCGTCGTCCGGCGCAACAGCTTTATGTTGGGCGCCAGCCCCACCGACGTCTCGGGGTAGTTTGTTTGGTGGCGTTGGCCGAGGTTGGTTGCGAAAGTAAAAGTGCTTCAACGCCTGATGAAATCAGAAGCTCAGCAAATTTAGCACGGTCAAGAAGGCAAAAAAGAGTCCGCGGACATACCTGCTCCGCGGTGGGTCTTTTGAGCGGATCGTACACCAACAGGTTCTCCAGAAACGTTAGAGCATCAGGTGATGCGGCAGTGAACGTCGCATGTAAGGGATTCTTTGGCATCGCTTTGAATTCATGATAGTCCGGAAGCTGAGTCATGCCCTGCTCATTGCCATATTGATGAATCAAATGACTCCATTTCCCACGTAAGATCACCGGGTGTGCTGTAGTCCTACCGGCCACTCTGACTCAGTCGGCGTCCCTAGGGCGCGGAAAATGACCTGGAGCTACGCAATGTCGGATTCGGCTGCCATGAAGGGAACCCGCAACATGAGCTCTGCAAAAATACAGCCCACAGCCCACATGTCGATGGCATAACCATAATGCTTAGCTCCAAGGAGAAGCTCCGGGGACCTGTACCACCTGTCAAGGATTAAAAGATAAGCCTTCCGTCCAAGCAACTGCATCCACGTCGGCAGTACCATGCTCACCTTGTCACCACCATCGAAGTCATTGCCCGGTGCGGATTTCCATAATCACGGGCCATACCAAAATCGGCTAGTTTGAGCTGCCCGTCACTGGCCAGCAGTAAATTATTTGGCTTCAAATCCTGGAGACGCGAGACCCTGATGAGCCTATGAAAGTTTGCGACGTTTCCATTGCCAATGCACTTACCCGATGGAGAATGAAGTTGTTGTGACAGTGATGTAGACCTCGGAGAGTCATCAGCATCCAGCTTTTGATATCGCCAGCGCTGAGGGTTACAGCCTTGTTCTTGATGATCTTTTCCAAGTCGGCGTCCAGGTACTCGAGAACAAGATTGAGATTCGTCTTGTGAGAATACACGTCTATCAGCTGGGGGGAGGTAGGGATCGGTGAGTGCGTGATATGCAACATCAAGGGGCCTTTGCCCTCGCCAAAACGCACCTCGACAACGTTGGGATGTTTCAGCTCCTGCAATGCTTTGACTTCCCGGATGGCGGACATGTCCAGTCCATCTTTGAAAAGACCGGCCTTTATCTTTTTCATGGCTATCCTCCGTTTGCCTTCCGCTGGTGCAGCGCGTCAGTCCATGGCTTCATGTGCCCGGCGCACACGGTCATGGTGGAGGTCATGCTGCCCACCTTGCACGCCCACTTTCTTGTCCCGCAACAAGTGGTCTCTTTCACCTGTATCATCGCCTTCCAAATCTTTCTCGACTGCTGCTGGTTCCGCTGGAATGGCCCAGCCAAGATAGACCACGGCATAGGTTCCTTCTCCTACTTTCTTGTCTTTCACGAAGTGTGACCATTGTGAGCTGGAGGTGGTTGAACGATGAGTCCTCGCGAGCACTGTTATCGTCGCCATGTCTAGATGTCTGCCTCGCGAATTTTACTACAGTAGTTCGTTTTGCGAAAGAAAGCGTTATCCAGCGCTCGTTTGAACTTGGTGGAAAGCAGTTTGCGGCACAGACCCTCTATAAGTCCCCGGTGTTCGCAAACAAACACGCCGCTCGTCACTGACTGATCGAAAGGCAACTCCCCTTCCGGGCCCTGCCTGGCCTTGGGGAAAAACTGACCGAGACGCGCTTGGGACTGCTGGGGAGCTGGCTGGGAGGGCTGGGAGGCTAACTGTAAAGTTATTGGGCACGGAGGGTTGTGATTGGCTGTGCACCTCTAAACTGGTTATTGCGCGCGGGGTTCCCTCGTAACCCTAACTAGAAGTTATTGTGCGCAGAGAGCTGTGATTGGCTGCTACTCGCGCATCTAACCCTAACTGTAAGTTATTGCGCGCAGAGGGCTGTGATTGGCTGTAACTCGTCGGTGACGAAAAGGCTCCAAGTTGAGGACCATCTATATACTGATCGAAAACACACCCGACTCTTCCCGCTGTCAGCTCGCACTGCAAGAACAATCCCAATACCCCTCGCTCCTACATTCAGGAACGCCAAACGTAAGTACCAGGGTCCCTCGGGACTAGGTTCTCGGTCGCTTCTAGATTCCCGGGGAAGGGAAGTCCTCCTCGCAGCGGGATCAGACCGAAGTGCTGTGCTAGATTTGCATTTATTCCGCTCGCCCGCAAGATGTCTGGATTCTCACTATTGCTTCCGTTTCTCATAGGTCATGTCCGCACGCCTCATTTGCACAGCTCCTCAGCTGTCCGTCGCAACGCTCATTAGGCCGAGTGTGCGCTCTACCCACCTCATTCCCGGCGCGGGTATGTTTTGCATGGGAACTTCTCAGGATGGAAAACGCATGGGGGGGAGGGCAGGGATGACGATGTCGCCAACACACTGCCATCAACGCTTGTTCTCCTTATGGACGTGTCCCGGTTCCGGATTTTGACAATCCTTACTGACCGAGGCCACCTCTATTAGGGAGCATTCGTCTTCTCCGAACATCCAATGTTGCGAGGGCAGAGACTGCTGTACCAAGGAATGAGACCGTGGGAGCAGCAGCGCCTGCCAACCGTAAGTGTATTGCGCCCGCAGCCGTGGAAATGAAACACTGCCGCCTGCACGTATACTGACATCGCTTGCCCATATCTGGTTCCCACCTGACAGCGGCCACGACGAGTAAGTGCACATCTTCTAGCATACGACACCCGCCTTTCTCGATTCAAACTGACCATATTCGCAAAACTTCTAGCTCAAAGCGGCGAACCCAAAAACAAAATGCACGGTGCCTACCACTGGGACTTCGAGCGCGCTCTCTCGATAGCATCTATTCCCGTCGTTGTCGCCCCCTTCATCGTCGGCTCACACCCGTTGGTCGACCTCGCACTCGGAGTCGTCATTCCACTCCACTCCCACGTCGGATTCGACGCCTGCATCACTGATTACTTTCCCAAGCACCGTGAACCCGTTATGAACAGGATCTTCAAAGCGGCTCTTTATGGCGTGACCGGGTTGAGTCTGTATGGGTGCTACCAGTTCAACACAAACGACATCGGGATCACAGAATTCTTCAAAAGGCTCTGGGTGGGCAAGCACACCGCTTAAGCATGCGGCTGTGCATTATATCATGGATGTGGATTGTATGTTGGGAGTGGGCAAAATAAAATACGTAAAAAAACGACGAGACAGTGATTATTTCCCGCTGCATCGCTAGTTCCATCCCGTCCATTCTAGCGAGAAAGAAACGAGCTCGTCTTTCTCATCATCCCACGAACATAGCGCGAACCGCTTTTTCACGGCTGTCCCCAGCCGGCCGAACATGACCGCGTCGAGCGGGCTATATAAGGTCTTCATCGGTACCACGGCCACGATAAAATGTGCGTGGAACCTCAGAATGTCGCCTGAAGGGATCCCGGTTCGTTCAGTAACATTTAGAGACAAAGCGTATACAATCCGTACAACACATACCAGGGTATAGCAAGTAATCTCCTCCGAATTTACTGCCACTCGTGATGAAGAAACCTTTCTCCCACAAGGCGCAGAAAACCTTACAATGCCGTTCCTCCTGCGGTGTCCGCGGGTATGTCCACAATTCGCGGTCCAGAGTACTTGATTGCGATGATTTGACGGAAAACCAGGGCAGGAATTGAGAAGACGTTGGGATCGTAATAGGTAAAGGCGGATTGAGTGGAAGTGGTAGGGCTGGGTCTACTGCCGTCTCAATTGATGCGGTGGCATCCACACCCCTCGGAGGTGTGTGTGAGGGCGATTGTGCACCTGGAAGCTCCGCATCTGGAGCAAATAAGCTGCTCAACGATTCTCCTTCCGCCGCATTCTCCTCGGGTACAATACTGCCTCTCTCGGATCTCAGCCCCATCATGTTCATCAGTGTGCTCAATTCCGTCATTGGCGTGATGGCCCTCGTAGCAGAGGGAGATTGCTCGTCTTCATCATCGTCGTCACCGTGCATTACTGGTGATTTGAGCGCCATGGATTTCAGCTTGAGACTCAATTCTGTCATTGGCGTTAACAGTTCTGATGCTGTTTCCTCGCTTACAGACGATGTGTTGAGACGGGATGGGACGCGTAACGGGGGCGGTTGAGAGGGTGGGTTCTTCGGCTGAGTTGTGTCTGGGTGGGCGGCAGGAATGACAGAATCCACCTTGGCCGAGAAAGTGACGGATTTCTTTCGTTCCCCCCTCGACCCAATTGACTCTGGCTCACTGGGATCCGTAGAAGTCGACATCCCAATTTCCTCTTTCTTTTTCTTTCCCGGCTTTGTGCCCGCTTTCGTCCGCGCTGCGGCTCTTTTTGATTTGCGCATTATGTCGGCCACTCTCCTCCTCTCCTCCAGGTACGTATTCATCGCTTCTTCTCGCTTTCTCGCCAGCGCCTGTATATCCTCCTTCTTCGGTATGCCATGACCACCAGGCGACGCTGCAAGTTTTATTAGACCTACACGTCAATCAAAAACTTAGTCTTTCCATGCAAGCTTAAGCAGCTTTCTCCATAAGATACGCACCATTCCGCAACAGCACCGTCACCTCCTCATCCATCAACAACAAGGGCAGTCCAAAGAAAGTGTTCTGCAGCGGCATCCTCGGCAGTGTACCGACCAGCGCACCAAGGACATGGTATCGAGTACGCAACGTCAACGCGGCTACTCGAAAGGGGGGCGTAACGTAAGTCTTGACGCATCGTGCGAAACGTGAGCAGTGGGCTTTAGGGAAAGGACTGAACGAACGTACTGTCGGCGTCCCAGACGTATCCCCGGTCGTTGGATATGTACACAGTTGGAAGGTCGGGAAGCGGCACCGTCGAGGGTTTGGGCAGATCGGGCGAGGTCAGGGGGGCGGCCATCTTGGGTACCGGCGGACGTCCGGGAGGGCCTCAGCAACAGGGTGCGGCGGTGCTGCCAGTGGTGAACGTTGGCTAGAGCTCAGCTTGAGGGTCGTTTGTTGATCACACTCACGAAGTACTCTACATATACCAGCGAAGTCGTCCGAAAGGCAACTTGCGCAAAGGAGGAAAACGCATCCACAGGTTGCAATCAAATGCCGGTTGCTGAGCCTGCTGAGCTCTCTGCTGCTTTCTGGCTTTCAGAAAAACATGGACTCATTCCAGGGCTTCCCGCAAATCCTGTCCATCTTCTACGCCGAGTTCCACCCAACACAAGGCCCCAGGGTCACCTTCCAGGTTCCCGAGAACTTCATCACGTCAGCGGCAGCCGCGGGAGTCGGGGCCTTCGGGGCAGCCAACGGGATTGCCGGTGGTGGTGGTGGTGGGGCTGCAAACAGTGGGACAGCAGGAACCGATTGGGCCGATGACGGAGCACCCCCCGTCGGGCAAGGCAGCAGTAACATGCAAACCTCAACCCTATCCCTGCTCCACTCCTCCTCCTCTCCAACCCTCCTCTCCCCCTCCCGTCAACCCGATCGCTCCACCTCCCCCTTCCGCCTCGCCTCTACCACGCCCATCACCCCCACAACAACCCTGCCCCCAACCCTCGACTTTGACTCCATCTCCGAATACATCATCCCCAAACCCGCCCTCTGCAACCGTCTCGTCACCCTCTCCACCCCGCACTACCAGATCCTCTCACACCCCGTGAGCATCACCAACGCGAAATACGAGCGCAACGCACTCCTTTTCAATCTCGGTTTCGTGTTTGAGAAGAACGCACCGACGCGGGTGTATGAGCAGATTGTGAGGAAGCTGGCGAGGATATTGATGGGTGCTGAGGTGCAGTTTGGGTTCTTGAGGAATGAGGTGACGAAGAAGGAAGCGTTGGGGAATATCATTGAGCAGATTTATGATGATTTGAATTCGTATGCGGAGTGTCAGATTCCCTTAAGTATGTTTGTGGGTCGGTGGATCGGGGACTCGCAAAAGGTAACCTACATACTAATCCCCCTACTTATTAGACGAATCAAACATGATAAACCTCAAACTCTTCCCGGCCTACCCCAACCCCCCACCAGTTCACGATTACCAAGTCCCAGTGCTGATCGTCAACCTGGAGCGGATGATGGACAAGCACTGGGATATGACGATTCAGCGGGTGATTCCGCGGATCAATGGGATCCATAGCGTGAAGCGGATAAGTGAGAATGCGGATGTGGATTGTGGGTTGGTTAGGATTGCTGTGCAGCATTTATTGTAGGTGGCGTTGGCGTTCATATGTTGTGGGGGTGGGGGGCCATCGTGGCTTTGCCTAACTTTCCTTGGCAGATATTACGGATGCGTCAAGATGGTCGATATCTTCCAGGTAAACCACACACGCGTTTTCATCCCTATCCATCCGGCAGCCCCATTGATACTCTCCCCCCACCCCCCACCCGCACAGTTCTCCAACATCTACGGCATCCGCCCCACCCTAACCCACCTCCTCCGCTCCCCCACCCTCCAATCCGAACTATCCACCTTTGTCACCCGCCCCGGCAAACCCGCCCCGGCCTTCGCGCTCTTGTTCTCGCTGTACTGTGCGCTGAAACCGGGGACGACGGTGGGGGAGTGGATGGAGGATAATAATGTGGGCGGGTTAAATGTTGATGTGCGGTACGTATGCGGGTGTGTGTTGGTGGGTGGGGTGGAGATGGGGCGGGGGGGCGATGCTGATGCTGCTTTTCTGCTGGTGATGTAGTAAGCTAAATATGGATTTCTTATTTGGGATTGGCAGACGGTTCTTCATGTACGGCGTGATCAAAGAATTCGTGTACAGGATCCATAAATACCCATTCTGGGTCGCCGACTCTTCCACCACTCCCCCCACCGCCGCCCCCACCTCAACATCGAAGCAGGGAACATCATCTCACCCATCCTCTACTGCAGGTCTTGCAGCTAACAGGGGCGGCGAGGACGACGCGGCCTCGACAGGGACAGGGGGCAGTTCCAACGCGCCTCCGTCGTCCCATCACACCCACCCGATGAATCACAGCACTATCAACAACAATAGCACCACCGCGACGAACCGGGCCCTCCGCCCCTTCCTCGACGGAACACGCCACTACGACGAGCTGTGCACGCTGTTTGGATGCTCGGTCAGGGAACTGGACGAGGTGCTCGGGATGGGCGCGCACGGCGAGGGGGTGCGGTTCATATGGAAGTGAACTGGGGCAGATTACAGATTACGAAACCGGGGGCCACAAACGGCGCCCGCCCGGCGCTTTTTTTTCTTTTCGTTTCAAACGGGTTCGAAAACAAACCCCCCGGGATGAACCCCACCCCCACCCACCGAGAATGGACGGACTTGATATCCCAACCCACTTTGCGGTTTTATCGCGTGGGGTGTTTGAGAGAATACCCCCCGCGGGGTGGATGAGACTACACCCCACTGTGCCCGCCTCCCCTACGCACCCACGAGGCGGATCAAGCCGCGGTGCTGTGCCCCCCATGGTGGTAAATACGATCCATTCTTGGAGATATTGACCATGAGAAATAAAGCACGCACACCTTTAGCGGGGAAGGGGGGAACAGACAGTCGGTGAGTTGAGCGTGGGGGGCGGGGTGGTCGAAGGAGGGAGATTGTAGTTCACCGGGATTTCGGGAGGCGGGCGTAGCTTGTTTTTTTTTTCGGACGTACTGGCTGGTTTTTTTTTGGATAGGGGGGTAGGGTATTTCCTACCCGGGTTGCCTGTTTCTGGGGAATGGCCGTGACGGGGGTTATGTATTTATGTGAGTTCTGCTTGTTGGGCGGGTTTGTATGTACTGTACTGTACATGTGTATTGTATGCGAACAGAAACGTGAAAAGGGCGGCTGGTTGGACGACAACGATGCAAGTCAGAAACCCCCCCCTCAAAAGCATTGCACGAATTTTTGGCTCAAAAAATGCGAGTATTATGAAATGAAAATAAAGGTGTAGGCCATCGTGCGAAAATAGATGAGGGTGGGGGTTTAGCCACTCTAGCAGAGAAAAAGGGGGGGGACACAAAACCATATTACTGTAAATCTAGGGCAGCTAATCCGAAGGACGCTATCTATGAATGAACCCTACGCCGTAAAAGTTGAGAGTCCATGGGTACGCCAAGAAAAATAGTCCACGACACTATCCGTGACTGAGTTCGTTCACAAGAAGCCGGAAAGGTGAAAGGGGTACGTGAAGTGTTGCGAGGGGTGTGCGCGGAATTGTTTGAAATAAAGGTGGGTGATGATGTTTGGAGTAAAGGGGTTTTTCAGACTTTCTTGAGGAAACTGTTTCGGAACGATTTGGACAGCGATTTCTTCTTATCCGCCTTTTCCCCGTCAGCCGTCGTCGTCGTCGCGGTCGCGGTCGTCGCAGTGGTGCGGGCAGTCACGTCCGTCGCAACCGTGTTCACAGTCATCGTTGACGCGCCCATGCTCGCCTCTCCCAACGGCGAAGCGGTTCCCAAAACCCCCCGGGAATCCTTCGACCTCAAACTGGCCCTCCCACTCCCCCTCTCACTCCCATGGGGAGTCAGGCTCCTCTCCCTCCGTTCCTCCTCAGTCTCGACCCCGCTCTCCGTCTTCCCCACTACGAAATCCACGCCGGGGTGGATACCCTCCCCCGTTGGTCCGGGGAGATCCGCTTTATGCGCTTCAAGGTCCGAGACCAACCGTGAATGGCCCGGGTCGTTGCCGATGAGTTTGATCTGGAAGGCGCGGGTGTAGGTTAATGTGTGCGCGTTGGAGACCTCGTAGAATTCACCATCGATCATGGCGTGGAATCTAGAGTTTGGGTTGAATTCGATGGTGTATGGGGACGCAAACTGGCCGACGCGTTGGAGGTGTTTGCGGCCGAAGCTGAATTGTTTGCGGAAGTAGGATCTCAGAGATGCGATTCCAAAGACTTCCAACTTGCCGTCGTAGGCCGTGTGGGGTGTCCAGTGTTCGATATCTGTGGGTCCGCGTTGATCACGGATGATGGAGCGGGACATCTCCGCGACGCCCCAGAGGTCGACATGGCGGCCCCACATTCCCGGGATGTTGGCGATGACCAATTCAATGGGTTCATGTGTGACGCGGAGCTTCTTGGGGCCGGTGAGGTCGTAGGTGTGTCCGTCGGCGGTGAGGGATTTGATGGAATCGGTGATGGGGGGTGCGCCGTGGAGGAGGACGCCGATGGATTGGCGGGCGTATTCCATGGCGTTCATGACGCGGGAGCCGCGGCGGTGTTCTTCGAAGCCGACGCCGACGCGGCCTTGGAGGCCCAGGGAGGAGTAGTTTGACATTTTGCGTTTGAGGTGGGTTATCTTTTTCTTGCCGGCTTCGCGGATCCAACCGCCAGAGTGGGTGGTCATTTCGACTTCCCAGATGTCGAGGAGGGTTTTGTACCCGTTTAAGCGGTCGGTGACGATCTTGTTGAGGCCATCGAGGTGATGCCCAGCGACATCTTTACCGGAGACGAAGCGGCCCCACCCGAGGACCTGCGAGAGGTCGTTGCCCGTGCCAAAGGGGATGACGCTGAACAGGATACGCTCGTCGTTAGAGACGTCGATGCCCATCGAGATGAGGCCCTCGACGACGCCCATGAGGGTTCCGTCGCCCCCACCGGACCAGACGTGGACCTCTTTGATCATGGGGTGTTTCTTGAGGACGAGGTTGAGCAGACGGAGACCGGCGGAACGTTCTTTTTCGTCGAGGAAATCGTAGACTTGGACTTGGACGTGGGGGTTGTCGCGCATTCGGTAGTGCTGCACGTTCATGTGCACGAGAGGTGAGCCTTGCTGGTTGCCTGAGCGCGGGTTGGAGAAGATGAAGACGTAGTGGGTGGGGAGCACGACGATAGCCTCATGCAGATCGTCGGCGGATGTGATCACGGACGCAGCCTGGGATTCGGCGGTGAGTTTGGGGTCGTTGTGGCCGCTTTGCACTTTTACGGATGTGGTGCGGGCCGCGCCAGGGTAGGAGGAGTCGTTCTCGGGTCGCTTGGATGTGTGGGAGGATGGCAGTGGGTCGTCTTTTGCGGCGGGAGCGACGGAGAGGATGCCGTGTGGGTGTTGGGCGCTGGAGTTGAGGAGGGCACGGAGTTCGGGGTCGTCGACGAGTTTCTGCTGTGCTGCGACGTTTGTAACCGCGGTGGATTTTTCGATGGTCGGGCGGCGGGCCAGGTTTACGGGTGGGGCTACTAGCGTCTCCAGGTCGGAGGTGTCTACGGACGCTTCTGCGGTGTCCTGGGAGGGGGTCTGGACGGCTGTGTCGATTGCAAGAGTATGGACGCCGTTGGAGGTAGTGCCGACAGCCTTTTCCTCAGTGAGATGGGGAGCCAGGGGGAGGCCGAAGGAGGAGGAAGTCGAGGCACTGTCTCCATTTTGAGAGTGCTCGACTCCATCGGTGTGGCCTTCGTGGGTTGCTGCTGTTGAGGAGGTGCCGTTCTGCTGTGCTGTTGCACTCACCGACGAGGGTGTCGTCAGGTGGGAAACAGCGGCGTTGAGGAGCGAGACAGCGGCGTTGGCAGCCATGTTGTCGCGGGGGGGTTGGTGCCTATGGTGGGAATGGGTGCGGGCGCGGGAGTGGAGGAAGGCCTTTCGTTCCTGTTCTGTTCTTTCCTGGGAACTTTCCAGACAGCGAAGGGAGTGGGGGGGGGAGTTTGCAGCGGGAGTTTTAAAAGTCTCTTGCGTTTGGGTGGGTGGGAAAGGGGTGGGGGTGCTTGCCACTTGGGCGCTGCTGCTGCTGAGACGGACGCGCAGAGAGCCATTATTGATGCGCAAACGCCCACAACTCCCCCCTCCCGGCGCAGAGAGGGAGAGAGAGAGAGAGAGAGAGCGGCTTTAGGGTCTCTCTCTCGTCGGAGTAACAGGGGAGGAACCATGAACGCCCAAAGAGGAACGAGGAGGGGGACCGTCTCGAGATCGAAGCAACACCCAGAGACGATGGGGAAAAGCCAAAAAGCCTCCAGATCCATCCAGATCCACGCTAAATTCATAAAAGGAGAGAGCCGCCTGCCTCCAGGGGCTCTTGAACCTTCCCTCATCACAACTCAGATGACATCTGCTCTGAGAAGAAACCATGCCCCTCCACGCTCACTGATCATCATGTGCAAAATGCAAAATGGCAAAGTGCGTGGGGGACGCCGCGAAAAAAACGAGGGTTGGGGTTTCCGAGGTGTTTAACAGTCTGGGAATGAGAAGAGACGCGTTCCATCAGTCGAATCTTTCAATCATCAGCCCCGCTTCCCTTATGACGAAGCTATTAGCCCAAGTGGCCCGCCGCCCAACCACGGAATCACGGATGAGATCAGAGAGCCCCCCCAGAGTGGCCCCAAATTGACATGTGCCATTCCTAAAATCAAAAGCCCCGATATAACCGTGCCTGGCTTTCCACGTGACACTCTTCCCACACAACCCCGCGTCAACGAAACTTCCCCCGTTTCCCCTCTCCACCCGTTTCCGCAAGCTTCACCTTGCGGATAATATAAGCGCAAGTCTTATCTGCACTCGCAAATCCCATGCCGGCCGTCGCCGTCGCCGCGACACCTGTTTCCGTCGAACCGTTCGTGTCCGTGGCGGAACGCCGAGACCTACTCCGTGACTGCGGGTTCTATGTGGACCGGTTTCACAACGACACCCTCGGGCTGATACCCCATGACTTCGAAGTCGCCCCTTACAACACAATAGACAAGTCAGTCTCCGCGCTGCTCGCTAATGAGATCCGCCCTAACCCTAACCCACAACAAGGGGAACACGTTTGAAGCAACTGCGAGAGACGATGACGGTAGTGGTAGTGAAGATGACAAGGCTGATGGGCGAGCTGTGGACTGTCTTGAGATGGAAGGCGGATCTACGCCAATGGAAGGACAAAGCGGAAGCGGGGGTATGGGAGAGGTGGGCGCATTGGGGAGTTTGGATGCTTTCCGGCACCAAGGTCATCGTTCGCTTGCTGTTGCTGCCGACGAGACCGAGAGGCGGGCTTGGTCGGCAGGTGGCGGCGGTCGGAAGGGTGGACTTCCAAGAACTACGTTTGTCCCCCTTTTCGGTTTGGCGCAGGACGAGTTTCATGACGCCACCACAGGCCCTTCGAAATCAAGCCACGATCGTATGCAAGCCTACGAGGACTTGGTAAAGTCTCTCGAGCCCCCAAGACTAATCCGACCATTGCTTTCGACCGTTATCGTACTGCACTTGGAACTATGTACTCTCTGGCCTTGACATGCGCGGAACACGAGTGGGGACTCCACGGTGAACGCGAGAACACCACCGGCCTCACGGTTGCATCGCCCATAAACGCAACCGCTGTAGCTCCATCGGAATGTATGTACTCCGCACAAGAAGCCAGCTACACACATGAACCCGCCATAAGGACTCATCATACACTTAGTGTTGTACGAGCGCTCGTTCCTTGTCTCGCCTCAGGCTGCGGCTTCCCCGGGAGGCCGGTTGCCCGGATCCCACTTGACCGTCATACGACTTTCGCGTATGTACAGCCTTCGCGTGCTCTGTTGACACCTGGCATTAATGAATTGGTGACTGCACAGCAAGCGCAGAGGGTGGCACCCTCAAACAGGGTGGAGGCCTATATTGCCTCCGCCTCCACCTTCCACCCGAACCACTAATGCGCGCGTTAGACTTTCGACATGAACAACTGAGAAATCCCGATTACCGCGCGATCTTCCGTAGTCTGCTCCAAAGGAACGATAATGAGGACGATGACGCCCAAATAAAGGGACTCGCGTGGCCGGGGCGTGGAGTGGTGACGCAAAGCATGCGTGGAAAACCACTGTACAGTCAATTAGCAAAAAGCTGTCTCTCCTCGAGAGTAAGTCAGTGCCGCCGACGCGTCTCTCCGCCTTGCAGAACGGTCATTGACTTCAATTACAAGGAGAGACCGCTTTTTGCTACCTGACTGTACACATGACCCTGTCCATTTCAATGCAGCTGCCGTGTCGCGACTCGGGAAATGGGGCGCACATCGATGGCGCGAAAAAGCGCACGAAGGGGTAGCCTCGATTGTCGCTGATCCAGTGGAATGGCGGGGTGGCTTGTGCCAAGACTGGGAAAGTCTGGGTGAGGGAGAGGGGACGATGTTGTAGAACTTTTGCGAGACGTTATCGGATGCGAGCCTTCACAAGCTGATCAGCCTGCCAGCGCTGCCACAAGCTTGTCATCGAACGCGTTCACAGTCAGGTTCAGACATCCCCCGACCGGAAAGCAGTCCGAAAGCTATGGATTTCGATGTAAAGATTCATTCGCCTCAATACGCCCCGTCATCCTACAGCTCCGTCTATCGCTACATTGAACTATAAACGGCCTACGCCGCGCGCTAATGAGAAATTCATATTGTAATGTCCATCCGGCACCCTCCCTCCCACCCTGGCAGTATCTTCTGAAACCCCCTTGCATAGCAGATGTTCAACATGTGCCTTTGCGAACCGTCACTTGACAAGCCCCGACCGCTGCCTATCTATAAACTCATGCAGCACCTTATCAGCCGCTTGTCCCGACGTGAGGAGTCCTTCATACACCTGGGGTTCCAGGGTGTTTATCATCTGCCGGACGGGTTTGTCGGTTTTCAACCTAGATATCCCGACGTCAAACGAGTCAGTCAACGCCGCCGTCTTCTTGGTGGGCTTTTGTTACAGACCTCCACATCAACTCATCGTTGATCTGCCGCCACATCCAGTGCGTTCGTTGTGAACCGCGTCGCTTGTACAGCTCCCCTGCTGACTGTGACGGAACGATTGCAAGAGTTGCTAGTGAGAAGTTGCTCTCCAGTAGCCCGAAAAGTGGATCCTGTACATACCTCGCTGGCATCATAGAATCGCTTCATCGTCTCCCACGTTTCCGGAATGTTCTTGCCTCGGTGTGACGACACCGGCAGGACCTGATAGAACCCAGTTATACATATGCGCGACGTCACCCCCGCGTTCTTCATTCGGCATCGGTACCGCGCCGCACCTCCGGTCGCCACCCTTCCCAATTCCGCGTAACAAACTTAAGCGCACTAAGATACTCCATAACCGCGACTCTGGAAGCAGGCTCCAAATCGCCATCGCTCTTGTTGACCAGGATCAGATCCGAGAGCTCCACGATTCCCTTTTTCATCCCCTGCAGCTCGTCCCCTCCTCCTGGCGCGACGAGCAGTGTGAAGAAATCCGTCATCTCTGAGACCCTTGTGTGAGACGGTGAGTGGCCTGTTCCTCTATTGTTGAGTCTGTGCGCCACGTTGCTCACTGGCTTACATGGTCTCTGATTGTCCGACGCCAACCGTCTCGACCAATATGATATCATAACCTCCAGCTGTTAAAGAATGGTAGTCAGTGAAGGTTTCATCTGATATATGGGATTCCGGGTGGCCCACATACCTTCACACAGAAGAATGGCTTCATTGGTGTTCCTTGCTACGCCCCCTAGCGTGCATGAAGACGGCGATGGCCGGATGTACGCCATGTCATGCCGCGACAAGTCGGGCATGCGGGTTTTGTCTCCTGTTCGTCAGATGCAACGCTTTGAGCCACTGCGCAACAGGAAATGACTCTCCTCCATGCGCCAGCGCTTTTACCTAAGATGGATCCACCCGTACGGGAGGATGAAGGGTCCACAGCCTATGCAGAAAGAAGAGTGGCGGGTTGGAAATCATCCCTGCTTCCGCAGCCGGCGTTCGGCACGTGTAACATACCAAAACTGCGACTTTGTGACCCTGCGATATGAGGTATAATCCAAACGTCTCTATGAAGGAGCTCTTTCCCACCCCGGGACTCCCTGCAACGGCCAAGAGTAAGCTCGCACGTCTGCCCCCATTCACCATCTCTCCACCTCCTAAACCCCACCTGACAGCCCTATCCGAAAAGTAGTCGGCAACCCCGACCCCTTCCCACCCCTCGCCCTCTTCCCCAGCTCCAATACCATCGCAAGCAGCCTCTGCGCCTCCTGCTTATGGTCGGCCCGGGACGACTCCACGAGTGTGATGGCTTTCGCGAGCGCGTGCCGATTGCCTTTGACGAGGCCGTCGAAGAGGACGGGGGCGCTGTTGGCGGTGCTGATATGGCGGCAGCGCGGGGTGGAGCGCGAGGGCAGGCGGAAGAGGTGGCGGGAGTGTTGCCACCGCATGGTTGGTTGGTATTTTCCTGTGTCTGGTGGTTGTAACTTGGACGAGATGTGGGTTGAATCTGGAGGTGAGAAAGGGCAAGAGGGAGGAACGACCTCGTGACAATCGCCGCCTGTCTGGCATGAGGTCTGGCATCGCCGACAAGGAATGTCCAGTATATATACAACAAGCCGCAGAACGGTTACCTCGGTTACCGCCCACCGCTCTCAGCCTGATAAATAGCGTCAGCCATCCTATTGTCCGCTATTGACTTCTCTAAAGTCCCGCTCTCGAGTCAATGCCTCCATTTCGGGAGCTCGAAGCAGGCACATGCCGTCTGGCCGACTTGACCCCTCAAGTATGGGATAATGAGTGGTGGTCCAAACGTTATGAACCTTCGAAAGAGGTCACTCATTACAGTTTTTTTGAATACGGGCAGGACGTAAACCACATTCCGTACTTCGTCGCCCAGTACGATGATCTTGACCTTGCCGTGCAGGTCCTGTCCGAGAGACTGCCTGTTGAGCAGGTATGAAGGTTTCGCCCCTCCTTGGATTCCAGGCCAGGGCTCCAGCCTTGAATGGCGGTATCGATCGGCAGAGGATAACGGTCGGATTTTTTTGTTTTCCCCCCGCCCCGTAGGTAGCGCTGATAGCCAGTTACTTCCGCGCGGCCGCGGCGGATGCGGGAAACGTGTGGGAATGGGCAAGGGGAAGTGGCGTGGATGTAAGCTACCCGAATTCCGATTTTGGAAATAGGGGGATGGGAGGGTTTGCATCAGAAACCTGACCACTTCTGGTCTTTTTTTGTTTGCGAAGGATCAGGTGTCCGTTGACGAGTTTCACCGGGGAACCTCGACGCAGCGGATCATGTACGCAGCACGCTATATGCCCCTCGTCAAATGCTAGCATGTGTGTATAGTAGCTCATGCTGTTACATCCCTAGCTACACCCTCCGGACCCTCCTCGCCATCGAACGTCTGCATGAATCTCCCGCCCCCACCGCTGCGAAAGATGCAATGCACATAGACCCTTCCCCCGCTGCGCCCCCACCCGCGATACTGCGAGACGAGAAAGCCGGAGAGGAGATGGTCGCTATCTTGTTTGTATGTTGGCGGAGACGGGTCGAGGGGGTGGGATTGGAGGTGGGTGTTCCTTCGGGGGGGGGATGCATGCTGGCGATTGTGATTCGATCCCTGGGGGGGTTGACATATGGATTCTGGTGCTAGAGGTTGGTGAGCGCGTTGCTCCATTTCCCGTCGCCGGCGAAGCATGTTGGGTGGCTTGTGGGGAATGCGCCGGGGTTATACATGAAGGTACGGGAGGAGCGCATCCGTCAGGTGTACCGATAGGAAGTATTGTTGACGAAGGGGCCCGTGTATCGCAGATCGTGCATTCGATACTCGACGTATTGAACGGCGCCAAAGTCGCGAGACTCTCGTCGCCCGCTAGGTGAGAAATCGTACCCCTTTCGTACGGGCAGTTGAATGCGGGATGCTGATCGATCTAACGTGTGTTGGATGCACACAGCGACAGCCTCCTCGCCCTGGCGCGTCTCGCACCCCACCACGCCAGCTCGATCCGCGCGCTGCTGACGACCCGACGTGTGCTGCCAGCGGTGTGTCTGCAGTTGACGCTGGATTATTGTCGGGATGAGGTGGGGATACCCTCGGGTATTACGTATACCGGAGTCGCTTCTTACTTTTTTTTTGGTATTGATTTGATGCCCCGTAGCTCGCGTACCTGAACGCAACGTTCTCCCACCACCCAACCCACCCTCCGTTCCTCCCCATAGCACAGCGCGACAATCCCGCCCTCGTGACGCAGCTCGCTAGGCTATCGCGGTCCATCTTCTCATCCCTCGTATGTTCCACCCTTTCCCCCCCGCATCTTCTCGTTTCCTCGTCGTCTCCTCACAAACACATTCACAAAACAGGCTAGTCACGCAACCCTCCCATCAAAAGACATCTGCATCCGTCTCCGCGCCCTGTGCGGCCTCGTGGGCATGTGCGGGACCAAAATCACCCCGGAAGACGTCGAGCTGATCGTGGCGGTCGTGCACGCGACGGATGAGGAGTCGTGCGCAAAGCTGTGTTTGGGGTTTCTGTTGGTTGCTGCTGATCAGTTTATGCGGATCTCACATGTAAGTTTTTCTACTCTCTCTCTTCAACCCCTCATCTCTCTTGGTGAATCCAACATGGGGTTTTTTTGTTTGGGTTTCTCTCGTAGACAATCTTCACCAAAACCCTCTACCACCTCATCTCCCTACCGACCTCCTCGCTTTCCCTCATGGTCGTCGTCTTCCTGCACACGGGCCAACTACCCGAAATCTCGCGCCTGCTGCTCACCTCGCTCGGGATCCCCGTGACGATGCCGCGGGAGGCGTTCACGCAGTTGCGCGCGCAGCATATGGTTCCGGAGGAGCGGCTTGCGCGACGCGCGTTGGTTGTGCCGAGGAGGGAACCGAACAGAGGACCGGGGGATGGGTTGGATGAGTTGAGCGTGACGGTGGTGTACCATCTCCTGAAGGCGGGGGTGTTTGTGAGAACAGGCGTGGATGTCGCGGCGTGGGTTCTAGGCAGGGTTCAGGCGTGTGAGGAGGGAGACGGTGGCGTGCATCCGCTTGTGCCGGGGATTGTGGAGATCTATGTTGAGAGGTGGGTGTCGGTGGCTCATATATTTTTCACGGATGCCCGTACCCGGCTGAGATATGTCATCCTTTTTTTGGGTCGTGTGAACAGCATAGCGAGCCATCCGGGGATCATAACCCCCATACCCGAGATGGAGTTACGGAAGCTGTTCGCTGGCGTGGATGTCAAGGTCCAGTTACGCCATGTCGTTGCGTTGCTGTATGTGTTGCTGTACGAGAAGATGCGCAGGGAGGCGCGGGCGCGTGCTGCTGCCGGGTTTGGAGGGAATCCGGACCCCCTCATCGGTAAGTCGGACTATCTATGGCCCACAACCTGTCTGTCGTGGCATGTACTACGCAACTGACATCCCCGTTCTTCCCCACAGAATACAACCTCCCCAACCTCCCGCACCTCCGCATCCTGCAACACTCAGAACAGCTGAAATCTCCAGTCTTGCACTCCCAGCTCGCGGGCCTACTCGCCGCCCAACGCCCCGAACTGCTCACCGTCACGGGTCTCATCCACGCTGAGGATGTCCATGACGCGGTGCCGCCGGTGGGCGTACGGATGGCGGAACTGGGTCGCAGTGTCGCGGGCGCCGTCCCAACACCCGTCGTGATCAACACCGACCTTGTGGACGCCCTCATACGAGCGGAAAACACCGACGCGCTGTGTGAACTCATGGATATCGTGGACGCGTTACAGACCCCCGACGTCGTGGCGTGGGGTAAGGTCCTCATTCACACTCTTTTGCCGCGGCTGTTAGCCGCCACCGACGTGGCGAATCACCCAGAAACATGGGTTAAGGACCCGAGAGTCGTAGCATCCCTCCAGCGCGTCTGGAACGCCTTCTTCGCCGCCGAGCCCGGGCCCGCGTGTGTCGCGACCGTTAACGCGCTCCTGCCCTCAAAAGCCATCCCAAACTCAACCAACGATTTGAAACCACACAACATCCGCCCACGGCAGTACACAGAACACGACCTCACCACCGACCCGCTGCTGCTTTTCAAGGTGGACCGCCGCGCGTGGTGGGGCGAGACGACGGGTGCGGTGTTGGCGAGGACCGTCGAGTGGGTCGTCGGGGCGGCGCGGACGCGGGGTCTGAAATCGTTCGCCGACGCTTCGAATTCCCCAACGAGCACCAACGGGAGAACGAACCCGGGAACCGTGTTTACCCCCGCGCATCTGGATACGCTGGTCAAGTTGCAGGAGAGCGCTGTCGTGCAGATGCTGGTGGAGGTGTGTGGCGGGATCCGTGGGCACCTGACGAATTCCGATAGCGGGGATGCAGCGGACACGGACGTGGAAGCGCGGATAGAGACGCTGCAACGACCGGTCATGGCCTTCATCCACCAACTGTTCATCCACGACGTGACGTATGTCCGGCTGGTGCATTGGCAGATGTATGACCAGGCGTGGGTGAGGGATTTGGTGCGGGGGGTTGAGAGTATGCGTATGTATCCCTGCTTGGGGTGCTGTGAACCCTTTCGTTGTTTTGCACACGTTCGACGTGGGTCCCCTAATGTCTGTTCCTTGTTTTTGGAAACAGATGTCTGTTTCGACTTTATACCGGACTTCATCCGCGCCGCCTCCGCTGAGACGGCCACCAGCGTGACCACCGCACGACAACCAGATTTGGCGCGGCAGCTGTTTGCGATACAGCTTGCGGGGTGGTTGGGGGAGAAGTATCCGATTGAGACAAGGTGAGTTTGGTAGGGCCCGGTAAAGGCGTTCCTGATTGACTCATATTCCCATATCCACATATTCCCTAATTCACTTGACTTGCCCGTATACTAGCCTAACGCTCACAAAAACCCTCATCCTCCCGACCCTAACCCACATCCTGCACCCCCTCGCCACCTTCATAACCCGCATCAAAACCGACCCCACCCCCACCGACATCCCGCTTCCACCCATCGACCCGCGCGCAACATCAGCCATCCCCGTCCTAGTCAACATCGCCCGCGGGTTCCCGACGCTCGTAGGCGACGTGGGCGGGGTGTTGGAGAGTGTGCGGCTGAACGGGGATGTCGGGGAGCGACTTGGATTGCATTTGCATTTCCCGGGTCCCCCCACCACCCCCGCACCGTCACGGCGCCCTAAACGGCATGCGCGCAAACGGATTTATCACCCCTACCAACAACCCACCCCCCCAACAGGATCAAACGCCGCGGTAGCGGTGACACGCACACAACTCCCGCTCAGCCGGATCCTCAGAGCGCACCTGGTGAAAGTGCAGGCGGCTGTGGAGGAGGCGTGGACGGCGATCACGGGCGAGGGCGGGGTGTTGAGGATGGGTGAGGAGGGGCTGAATAAGAGTTTGATGTAGAGGTGGGGGACCGTCACCACGTGCTTGGTGGTGGAGGCTTTCCAACCACAATGAAATGGATGGGCCTCGCTTTTTGGAGAGGGAAGGTTTAAAAGGAACACGCGTTTTACACTGGTCGCGGCGTTATTCTGCGGCGTATTGGTTGATGTTGTGGGTCTCTCTCCATACAGTATACGTGGCCCCCGCCCTCCCTTTTTCTGCCCCCGTTTCCCGTCATAGCCCACCGTGCGCATCCCGCCCCACCATTCCATATCTACCCGTGGTAAAGAAACGCATTCCCCGATAAATTACAAAACATATCCATCTCCAAAAAAGAACGCTCAGCTATGGTTTCCCAGTACATCAAAGTCGGGTGAAATGATGCCTTATACATCGCCCTGCGATATAAGATAAATCTAATCCCCCGCATCGCCGTCGCCACCCCGTTCATGCAACTCAAACTCCCCCCACTGTCCCTGCGTACCGATGGCGGAGGTGGGGGTCGGCGTGCCCATAAGCGGCGACAAAGCGTCCTAATAAAACAGCCCCGGTCAATCACCATCATCCATCACCAGTAAACCACAACACAGACTTACCCCACTGACCCCACCGGCCACCGCCTTCCCAGCCTTGCGATCCCCGCCGCGAACAACCCACTCCCTCTCCACCCTGAAAAACACCCACACCCACCGCCGCAAGATCTCCAACACTTTCAGACATATGTCGATCGCTACCAGTGTTTCTTTGGCCGTTCGGTCCGTATCCCCCCCGCTGCTTACATCACCACCACCCCCCGCGCTCGGGTCGAGGACGCTCGCGTCGACGACTTTGCGGAGGAGCGCGATCCGCACGATCCACGAGAACCGCAGGACGGCGTCGATGGCGATCGCGGCGTAGTAGAGGTACGGGGAGGGGAAGTGGAGCGTTGGCCGGAGGAGGCGGTGGGTGGATTTGCGGCGGGAGGAGGGGGAAGAGGAAACAGGGGTGGAGAGGTTCCCAAGGTTCCCAAGGTGCCAGTCCATGATGATGTCCCAGTAGAGTGTGAAGAGGGAGTTGAGGGTTGCGAAGAGGATCCTATTGCAAGACAATGTTAGGTGTAATGAACCTATAAGTTTTTCATGGGGAGGGGGGTTCCATGTCTGGGATGAAGGAACAACCCACATTTCAAGGATGATAGCCGCCCCGACAACCAAAACGATGGAACTTACCAAACACCCACAGCCCAATCCAACTTCTCCTTCCTCCCCCTCCCCTCCGCCGCCCCTCCATCCGCACTATCCCCACCACCGCCATGAACCTGACCCTCAATCCAATTGATCGTAAACCCCGCGACAATGACCGGTATCGCGGAGACGTATTTGGCTGCGTTGGCGAGGTGGCGGGCACGGATGCTTGATGGAGAGGAGGTTTGAGTGGATGTGTGGGACAAGTGGGACGAGTGGTGAAGCGGCGTCTGGGTGTATTCGGCGAGACATTGGCGGAGGCGGAGGAGGTGTGGGATGCTGCGGGTGGAGGGGAGAAGTAGAATATTTCAGTAAACCGAAATATGCACAGGCGCAAAAAGGGTATGTCCGAGAGCATGGATAGAAACGACACAAACATACCAGATCAGAAACGGCTGCACGAAATCTCCCACCCCGACCGTGGTACGATGTACGACGGCAACAGCAGCAGATTCATCAGTGACGAGATCCGTAAACACGATCTTCAGATCCCCCATCGAGCGCGAGAACGAGGTCAGGATATCCGCGAGGATGACGTCGCAGAAGGGGACGGGGGTTGAAAGCGTTCCCAAGACTGTGCGTTTCAATGATCTGTTGAGATTTATGGTTCAATCAAAACAATTCCTCGGGCGCTTCTTTTTGCTCGCTCAGAAAGGACGATTGTTCGCTGTGTCGCTCACGGTTGAAGACAGGGGCTCGCTTCGCTCGCCTAGATGCGCCTGAGGCGCCGAACTCGCTTCGCTCGCACGTCCTGCGTTCGTCCTCGCGAGCGCCCCGTATTCCAGTGGACTCGCTGTCGCTCGCCTTCTCCTCTGTATCGCTCGCCAACGTACCGCAAAAACCTTTCCCTCTCCTCCCCCCACCCCCAGCCCCCCGGCATAACCACCATCCCCACCAGCATCACATACGTGCACGCGGGCACGATCTCAGCCGCCTCCTCACCCCTCCCACTTTCCAGCACCCTAAAACACCACAAACTCGCCAACGTCACACCCGTAAACACGCCGGCGAGGCCATACATCGCCCTTGGATTCACATCCCGATGCTCGTGATCGTGATGACTCCCGTCGTCGAGCAGTTTCCCAACGTGTATTCCGCTGAGGATGAGTCCGTGGACATTTGTCGCCCAGCACCATAGCCCGAGGTCGATCAGCAGGAGGAAGCGGAAGTAGGGCGGGAGGGTGATGAATAGCGTTAGCGCGGGGGGGCCGACTGTTGTGAGGAGGAGGTAAGTTGTTATGGCGAGGAGGAGGAGGAGGAGCAGGCGGGGTTGTGGCATTGATGAAGAGGATGGTGATGAGCTTGTGGAGGTCATGCTGCGGCGGGAGGGTGAGCGGCGGCGGGAGTCTTGCTGGCTGTGGGGGAGGGGCATGGGGCGCGCAGCGGGGATGGGAGAGGCGGCTACGACGGCAGACCTGGGAGAGGGACCACGGACGCCGCCTGCGGACGATGGGACGGACGGACGGGCTGATTGAGTTCTGCTGCTCTGTCGCTGCCTTGCGCGTGGGGGCTCAACTGCGAGAGCGAGGCTTTCCCTTGCGGCTTCAACCACTCCATATATACTGTACTAACCCCCCCCCCCCCTGTCCCCAGAACAACCTCCCCACTCGATGCCGCCGAAGAAGCAAGCCTACTTCTACGACTCCGGCGGCGAGGAGGACGAAGAGGACGGGAGGAACAACATCGGGGAGCCGAAGGAGACTGCCGTCGCACCCGCTGCTGTTGTGTTCGACCAGGCACATACCGACTCTCACTCTCCCAACCAGCACGCAGAGACAACAACATTACCCCAGGAGGAGGAGCATATTCCAGAGGCGCCGGCAGTGAAGAAAACCCACCCCTTCTCAACGCGCAACGTCCGGTAATGCACCCAGTCATCTCAGTCCATCTTCCTAACAAAACTCACCTCTCCCGCAGCTACATCCTCCTCCCACCGCACACCCTGCTCCCTCTGCACCTCTACATCCGCGCCCGCCACCTCCCCTGGTTCGACGACGCCATCTTCCACGAACTCCTCGCAGCACTCACGCGCGTCCTCCCCAAAAAACTGGCCGTCGAAGCCCTGGCCAGGAAAGAACGCGAGCAAGGCCTGGCGGACGTGTATCGATCCCCTGGGGTGTTCCAGATGGCTTATTGCTTAAGGGCGGGGGAGGTGCGATATTCGGTCCTGAGTAAGGTTAGTATGAAGAAATATGGGCAATGGTGGGGTGAAGGGAAGGAGGGTTGATTTGGGGGTGTTCTTGATTGATTAGGACGCAGCATCGACGCAATATACATCCTACCGCCTGCACGAGCAGACGCTGACGGTGATTGTGGAGCCGCATGACGTGAATGAGGTGGATGCGGGGCCGCCGGACTTTTTGGGATTTGATTATCGGAGTAATATGCGGATTAGTGATTTTTTTGGGCCGCTTAAGGCGAGGGGTGGTGGTGGTAGGGGTAGTGGTGGCGGTGGTGGGGTTGGAGAAGGATCAGGAGGAGGGGGAAATGTGGAGGAGGTTACAGAGGTTACAAGCGGGTATTTCAAGTAAGGGTAGGGATGGAAATAAGGCAGTATCATGAGCTAGGGCCGCGGAGTCAGAGTGTTCTAACGCATAAGGAATCACTGAGGCTATAAGACCAGGCGCATGTAGCAGTACGTAGCGTTTCTGTGAGTGGCCTGTATCATGTACCATGTACATACTAGACATATGGTTGGATTTTTTATTCTTATTTTTAGGGTAAGCGTCTTGTTTTGTTTTAGGTTGTATAGATTTTCGCTTAGCGGGATTACTTGGTGTAGTGGCGTGTAGGCGGTTTGGCTCTAGCCTCGTAGGTCGAATGGGTTTTTGCGTAGGTGGTCTTTCTCTAGAGTAGGACGCACAGTAGGGTGGTCTATGGCGAAGGATGCGAATGCCTTGTTGATGGCGAGGGACGCGAGGTCTTCTGTGCGCGCAGTTGCCTGGGAACTCCAACTCAGACTCCAACTCCGTAGACGATTCTCCCAACAAGGCGCTTTTCGACGTTGAATGACGAGCACACAGAACAGAATGAGGGCCATACAACGCAGCCTCCCTGCCAAAGCGACCACATGCCTCTACCGGAGGTGTGCCTTCCGAGCAGTGCCTTCGAGGCCATTCGCTTCCGTCGCTCCAGGTATATGCACTTCCTGCCTGAACTATCCCCCTAAACCGCCCATGGCTCACTCCTTGAACCCAACCAGACATCGGACTCTGGCCACCACGCACGGCCCCAGCAACGTCAACCTTCCAAAACCTCTGGAATGGACTGCTATCGGCGGTCGCGCAACCTGACGACCCGGCGACTGTGTACCGGAAGAAGTATGCCGAGAAACTCAAGCGGGTTGCCGAGAGGTACGTCCTTCGAAGATCCCCCCGTCAGCTTTCATATCACAACAACGTTACTGACGGTTATTCTTACAGCGAAGGAGCCGCCACCGTCGACGAACTCCTCCAAAAGCGCAAATCTCCCCCAACCCCGCCCCCATCCCCATCACAACCGCCCACCAAAAAATCTAAACCTACAACAGCAGCACCAGCAAAACGAAAAGGCGACCTCCCACCGCACGTCAAAACCCTCGACCAGATCGTCAACATTGAGAAACTGGCGCAGGAGGACGGGAAGGTCATTGGCGATATTTGGAACAAGTTCCATGCTGCACGCAAGTGTTTGAGTGGGAGTATGACTGGGGGCTTTTATGAGAAGTTGATGAAGAGGGGAAGGGAGTTTCCGTTGGTATGTTGGTGTTGAGGTGGGATAGTGTCGGTGATGTGAGGGAACTGACGGGGTGTATGTTTGGTTCCCAGTTCATACTCCCCCTCCCACGAAACCAAGGCTACGAATTCTTCATGCTCCAATTCTCTGGGCACCAAGTCTTCTTCACCCCCCTTCTCGGTAAGCGGCCTCCCTCACTTCCCCCCCACTCCCCACTCACCACTCTCTCCTAACCCCCCCGCCCCCCCCCCCCCTTCCAGAATACAAAACCCACCGCGAAAACGCACGCCCGCACCTCATCCTCACCCACTACACCGACCTGTCCCCCACCAAGGACGTCGTGCTCATGGTCGGCGAGCTCGGCGACCCGGACCGCACGGTTTTGACACTCCCCGAGGCGCAGAATTTGGTGTATCAGATGCAGATGTACTATGTGACGGGGGGGGAGGAGGTGAGGGGGTTGGTGGAGCGGTTCCATAGGGAGCCGGAGGGGTTTGATTATCAGAGGTTGATTGCGGCACTTGAGAGTTTGGGGTCGGCTTAGGCAGGCTTTGGTGAGGTTTTTAAGGAGATGGGATGGTGGGGCTGCGGGGGGTTCCGCTTCGCTTTTGAGAAGAAGATGGGCTGGTAGGGTTATGGTATGTCGGTCTCCGATGCGAAGTTGTATCTAGACAAGGAAGTGTGGCAAACATTAGAGCTTAGAGAAGCCCGTGAAGGAGTGCTGGCTCGGACATAGGAAGATGAAGCGAAGACGGAAGTGTTTTGGATTGTACAGTATAAGGTAGGCTGCTCGCAGTACCACCCGTGTACTCGCAGTCATGCCAAGTTCAGGAGAGAACTTCCAGCAAAACGCCTTCGACGCGACGGGATGGCCTTCCTGCCCTTCGGACAACGAGAACGCGCCCGTCCCGTCTCCCGTCTTCCCCGCCGACACTCTCTCAGGACATAGGAACCACACACACTATTGACCCGCTACAACACTCAACCATGATGGCATCCAGGATATCGCCCTCAAACTTACAGGCTTTCAACAACGAGCTGGTCATAAGTATGTGTGTGGGTGACGTGTGGAGAGAGGTGCTTTGCGGCTTTCTGCGTCAGTGAGGGCGCTTTGTGACTTTGCTTGCAGAGGAACGCTCTCTGGTTTTGAGGGTCCTCTTCTATGTCGCAGATCTCCATTTGCGCACCAATTGACCACAACGGGTTTCCTTGTCCCTATTCCTGACACCATTGACAGAGCTGGAGAGGTTAAGGGAAGCGCGGGAACAGATAGGTTCGTGAAAACCCGCTCCAGACAGAGTCTGCCTGAGGCAATGCGTGTTCCAAACCATGTACTGACGAATACAATAATGCAGGTAGCGAGATAGTCAAGGAGGAAAGTCGGAAAGATGACCTGGATCAGCAAATACATGAATTGGGCGCGCAGCTTGAAAGGACGATGCAGTCGTTGACGAGGGTGAGGGAAACGACGACGGCAGGAGTCATGCACCGCTGGCGTTTTGCGTGGGCTCATCGATGGACATCTCTTTTGCAGAAATATGCGTTGAGTGAGGAGTATGATCGGCTTATACATGTATGAAGAAGGGAAATCGCTTGCAGAGGCAGATGGAGACGGAAACCTGACGCGGAGTCTCTTTTTCCATGCCCTATAGGAGACCGAAGTGGCGTATTCGAAGGTATGCATCGCATCATGGGATACTAGACCTCTCTTGGGCTTCTGACCCTTTTCTGTGGAAACAACTCGCAGATCGTGGAATCGTCACAGAGTCTGTTGCAGAAGCTGGAACGGGAGTCGGAGACGATTGCTTCCAGATGTGGGCGGGGATGAATGCTGCGCGATGTTGTCCTTCAACATTCTCATCTACTTGGACATCACTTTCGCGAAGCATGGCGTCGTGCGTGCCCTCCTGATGCGCGGCGACCGAGCGTTTCAACGCATTTAGGGACAACGGCATTTGTTCAATGCCACATGATTAGAGTAGTCAGGACGAGCCCTTGAAAGTATCGGCAGAGCCTAGCGAGCCTCGCCAGGCATATCCCTGAGATGTTATATACGTGCTGCAGGCGAGGTATTGTGAGAAGTATTTTCTCATTCGAAAGATCGTATATTTACAACATGATATCACACAACTCTCCTATTAAATCACAACCTCAGCAATGTTCCCAAGCGTGCGTTTTACATGATTCCCAAAAAAAATTCGTATAAAGATGTTTTAGAATCGAGGTCCATTCCGCTCGTTTCTCCGCGCCCCACTAACTAGTGGCACACAACAAAGCCACTCCCCGCATGATCCAATAGTCTGGGTTCTGCGTCGTCTTCAGCTCGATATCAAAGACGTAGTTCTGGTCCGTCCTTCTTGGTCTCCTGTACACCGGGCATCGGTACATCCTCGGGTCGCCTTCATCCGTCGAGTTGGTCGCCGAGACGTGGACAACCGGCATCGCTTGGTAAATAACCTTTGGCTGCGACTCAGTCAACCGGATATTCTTGCGGTCCCACGCGGCACCCTCAATGAACAATCCGTGGATATACACGCCTTCGGCCGGCGGCGCCGCAATATCCTCCTTCATCTGCTTCATCACCTCGGGCGCCAGCTTGACATTATCCAGCGCCCACCCATTATGCAACCGCGTAATCTCCTGCCGGATCGCCGTCAGGAACCCCTGCGGGTTAAAGAACCCCGACAGCCAAAACACCAGCGGCCGCCCATCGTACAACCACGTCTGGAACTGCGCGATCCGTGTCAGCAGTTCGGAGTACCACAATCCTAGCGTCGACCCCTGCCACGAGATCTTGATCCACGCCGTCGGGACCCTTGCATCGTACAGCGCGTCCAGCGCCTCCTGCAGTTGTGCCGAAACGATAATCGTTCCGTCAATCGCGAGCTTCAAATCACTCAACGTCGACCGCACCGCGGAAATCACGTTCTGCATCCGGTCAACCTCCTGTCCGAGGAAGATATTCAGCGGTTTAGGCCCGCCTTGCTTCGCGATACACGCTTTCGTCTTGTTCTTATCGAAATCTTCCGCTAATTTGCTCAGCAGATCGTTCGCGATCCTCTTCACGACCTCCTCACGCGTCTCGCCCGACCCGCCGCCGCTGTCCTTGGGCTGGATCGACATGATGGTGTCGAGCATTTGTTGCGATTCTTTGGTCTGTGAGGAGATGTCCGCGTTCGGGTGCAGGCCGAAGACGTCGGGCGTGTCGAGGAGCGGCAGGTTTTCGATTGAGGAGCGGTACTCTTCGACGGATTTGAGGTGCGGGATGGTGTAGCCTTTGAAGAACGCGAAGGTGTCGGCGAACATGTGGTCGCCGAACCAGACTTTTCCGTAGGTTGTTAGGAGGCGGCTGATTGGAGTAGATGAATCAGTAAACCGGTCTATGAAAGAAGATAAAGTCATGCAAACGCACACAGGGTACTCACCGATCGAAATCATCCGTGACTCGCCCACCATAGTGCACTTCACAGAACATGTATCGTGCCGTCGTCCACGATATCGGCGCCTTCGGAGCCAACTCATCCACATGATTCTGCACAAATTGCACACTAGCCGCCAAATCACTCTGATTGAACTCATACGGGATGTTCCACCCGAGCGGTCCAAACTTCCTCCGCTCCTGCACAATCGAATGCAAGAACGCCAAGCCATACAGCAGCGGCTTGTACTGCGGCCGTGGCGACATGTCCAGCATATCCTGCGTATACCACGCGTACGTGCGCTTCAACCCGGCCTTGACACCCTGCGGCGGCTCGTTGGTGAACTTGATCGACATCTGCAGGAACGTGATTGGGAACTTGGCGCTGACGTCCGTCGTGATCCATAATCGGAACTTGTCGTGCACGTTCTCCGTCTCGAGGATCAGGCTTAGCAGCTCGTCCATGAACGGGATACCCAGGTGACAGTTCTGCAGCAACGCCCACCCGCCGTTGGTCATGAACGCCGAGAGCAGTTTGCGCGCGTGCACTTCTTGCCCTTGTCCCATCGAGATCGCTTTGATGTCGATTTTGTACTTCTTGGACAGGTTCTCGATATCCGCGGACGGGTCGGATCCCGTGGAGAGGAGACAGATCATGGGCGTGCGGTTATCGGACTCGTTCAGCAGGGCGTCGAGGTCGAGAATCTGCGACTCGGCGAAGCGCTGCGACATCGATTCCGCAATGTACTGTTTGGCGATCATGATGGTCCTGTCGAGACACCACGATCGGACGAGCAGCAGACGACGGAACGCATCCAGCGTGTTGTGGTACCCACTCGGCAGCAACTCGTTCTCCGGCGAGTCCTTCTCATACCACGACCGCCATGCCTTCTCGTTCTTCCCGATCTGGTTCAGTAGATCGTTGAACCCGGGCATCTTGGACAGCGCGACCAGGTTCAGCCAGGTCATGTCCGGGATCCAGTTGAACGGCTTCTTGACCACCGCGTTGATATCTAGCGCGGCGCCTCCTTTGATCAAGCACCGGAACTCGTCGTGCGACAGCTTGTTCATGCTGATGTCGATCTTGATGGCTAGCAGCAGCACGAACAAGACTTTGTGGATCTCGTATAGGCCGCGCGCGATGTAGCTGAACGCGCGGAAGGTGCAGTACTCGATGATGTTCTGGATGCGTTTGGACGGGATCGGCGACGGTGCGGACTTTTCCATACTCTCGTCGAAGAGCTGCAGGAATTGCTTGAGCGAGGTTTGGTACATGACGTTCACCATGCTCATCTCGGCGATCAGGAAGTAGATGATGGACCCCCGGGAGGCGACGGGGCGGTACTCCTCACGCGCGGTTCCGATCTTCTTTTGCGTCTCGGCCGCGACGACCAGCTTCTCGTTCACCTCCTCCGCTGTCGTCTTTGTCACCGCCAGCACCTCGATCAGCGACTCGTCGTCGACCAGCGACCCTTGCGTGGACGTAAGCCGCTCGAGCAAGTTGTCTTCGAGCTGCTTCATCTTCCGCTTGTTGGAGTTGACGTCCTCCATCAGCTTCGCCCGTTCCGTCTCCAGCTCCTGCTTCTCGCGCATAATCACACGACCCAGCAGCTGTTCCTCCAACCCCTTATGCGTGACCGTGAAATCAATCACGGAACATTTCGCGTACAGCTCAGGCGACCAGTTCGGGTTCGGCAGCTTGGTTGTGATGTACAGGTAGAACCCGTCGCTCCAATCCAGCTCCTTGTCTCCGAACGCCACCTTGAAGGACCGACCGGCTTTCATCAAGTTCTTCTCAAGGATGTTGTCAAGCGTAGGGTCCAGCGCCTCTTCGACATCCTCGATCAACAGCGGCCGGCCCTGAGACACCGCGTCCTCGATGTGCGATCGGAAGTATTTGTTGGTGAGGGATGTGACGAGGAGTTTGTTCTTTTCTTCCTTGTTCTTGATCCACACTTTGGCCTGGTTCTGCGGGTCGATGAGGAGCGGGTATCGCGACCCCTTGACGACCACGATACCGTTCTGCGTTGACAGCTCGTCCGTGGGCAAGCCCTGGATGTTCCATTCGCCAATCATCGTCGGCTCGACCAGCAAGCTGATGATGTCCAGATCCTCACTGTGCGGGATCTTGCGTTTGGTAAGTTCCTTTGTCCAGTCGTTGAGCAGTTGCGCGCGGAAGGTTTGGTTGAAGGGACCACAGTAGGACAGGAATGCGGTGGCGAGGATGATATCGCCGACGAGTCGTCCGATGCGTTCGCCAAACTCTTTACTCTGGATGGTCCATCGGTTTTTCTCGCCTTTCAGTCCGCTGATCAACGCAGTAGCGGCGTTCATCTTCCGCTTGCAGTTGTCGGCGTCGGCCTGCAATGCCTGTTTCGTGCCCACGGCCTGGTTGTATTTCTCCTTGAACACGTCCAACTCCGCCTGTTTCTCGTCCAACTGCGCTTGCGCTTGGTTCAAGTCCGCCATGGCGAGGTTGAGCTTGAACTCTTGCACGATCAGGTTGGCCTTCAAGGGGATGACTTTCTTGTTGACGCCAAAGTAGAACGCCATCGCTTTCACCCACGATGTGAGACCGGCGACATCGGCGGACACCTTCTTGGCTCCCTCCAAGTTGAAATCCGGCATGTCCAGCAGCGGCTCGAGCAGCTCCGTGGTCTCCTCGTTGATCTCATCTTTCCCAAAGTTCACGAGCGAGGACAAAAAGTCGGACTGCGACATCAGTTTCAAGGCTTCACTCCACGACGGCTTCGCGCACGGACGGTCCGGGTCCTGCTGCACGGGGTCGACGCGCCGCTTCTGGAGGAGCAGCACACCGTCCATGATCCGCATGACCAAATGCGGTGGTTTTGCCAGTTTACGCACGGTCGAGATATGCGCCGGCTGGATGGAGTTCAAGGCGTTGTTGGCTTCCTCCAGCGCGGGCTTGGCGGCCTCTAGCTGGGACTCGGCGTACTCTTTATCGGCCCGGATGGCGTTGGCGATGCCCTCGGATTTGGTCTTGACTTTCAGCACCGCGTCCTTGACTTTCTCGGCGGCGACTGTACTGCTGGTCACTTCCGCGAGCACGGTGTCGGCGGCTTTCGACGCTACCGCGAGGTCTTTCTCCTTTACCACCAGCTCCTCTTGCAGCTGTGCGACGGACTTGGACGCTTCGAGAAGCTTGGCGAGACCGAGGTTCATACGGTCTGCTAATCCACCGACTTCCGTCCTCTTTGCCGTGTACAGTTTTTTGTACGAGTCGAGGAAGGACAGGTACGATTTGGGCGTGACATGTGTCCTGCGGCGGAACTGCGTAAAGTAATTGTTGCAAGCCTCCGCGACGAGATCGTGCACAAACGCCATGTGATACACCACGTCCTTCTTGACCTGCTCCGTGCTGACGATGTCCACCTCGCCCAGGAACTTGTCGGCCACGGCTCGCAATGCCTCTGCAGGCCATCGCGTGAACCAGTCCATCGTGCACCCGGAAACCAGACCGGGGAATTTGAGCGATCGGTTACGGAACTTGTCGCCCACGGGTGAGAAACATAACACGACGTGCAGGTTGGCTTTCACGCGGTCGATGAAGAACTGCCATAGATTTTCCAAAGTGTCCGGGACGGCTGGCCGGGCCTTCTTCATCGGCACACGCAAATCGCCCGTGATTCCAATGATCTCGTCCTTGGGGAACAAGTTGGTGATTTCTCCGGACGTCAGGATGTTGTTGATGTATCCCAGGAAGGCTTCTTCCTTGACCTCGTTATCCGTAAAGATGAACGTCACAGATTTGCCCTGCGCGCCAGCGAGCTTGTACATGAACTTGAAGTCTTCCATTAAGTTCTGGATACCGTAGTTCTTCGAAATGGCGATTTGGAAAACTTGAGACTTTGCAATGAACGCCGCCAGTTTCGTGAGGGACTGCTTGCCGGATCCTCCTACACCGACCAACAGCGCGTTTCCGCGCGGCGTGCGGATGATACGCGAGATACGCACGATGTGCTTCATCGCGTCCTCGAACAGTACGAGATCCATCTTGGATCCACGGATGGTCTCGTTGTACTGCTTCATGTACTCCTGGATCCGCTCGCGCAAGACTTCGAACGATGGGATCTTCTCGTACAGCTTGCAGGCGTCCAGATCGATCTCGACGTCCGGGTCGTCGCTTTCTGGCGGCTCGCGGAGGAAATCAACCCAGTACGATTTGGTTGCTAGTGCGGTTCCGAACTCGTCGCCCATCTCCTTGGTGACAAGGTTGGTAAGGGTCTTACTGAACCAATCAATATCCTCGCCCGTGACGAAACGATCGGGCAACACGCGCGAACACTCGTGTTCCCACAGATGAAGCAACAACTTTTGGGTGTTGACCACTTCGGCTTTCGAGTTGAGCATGCCCTCCACGATGCGCGACAGATCACGCAAGTTGAAGATGTAGTGGAATTTGGCAGGCGTGGGCAGCATTTTAGCTTTCGTGAGCTGCCACAATCGGCGGGTAAGTGCAGGGATGCGCGGGATCATGGCGATGACCTCCTCAGAAAACTGCCGCGCGGCGCTGAAGTGACCCTCCAGCATCGTGCCGAAAATCTTGTCCACGGACGTGTCGGACGGAATCGTGCAGTTAATCACCAAGAACTGGCGCTTCAACCGACTGGGGATATCGTTTCTTCCTCCTCCCGGATGCATCATCGCGCCCAAGAACTGCAGATCCACGATCGCGGTCCAGTCCCCTGGGCGATCAAGCGAGTAGAAACCCTGGTACTCCATCAACTGCCGCACAATCTCGCCCGTGACTTGGTCTCCCCATTCGTTGATCTCAGGCATGTTAACGTCGTCGATAAACAGCAGCATCTTCTTTCCGGCTGGGGGACCGTACGTCGAACCCATGCGCTTGTCGAGGTAACTTTCGATCGTGCGTTGGAAGATCATGGGTGTCGTGGCAGATGAAAACGAGAGGTTCTTCGACATGTGCGTGTCCGGGTTGAGCTTCTGCAGGTATTTGCGGATGGTGACCGTCTTGGCGGTACCGGGCTCTCCGATAAGCAGTACGGACTTGCCCTGCTTGGATACTGTGTCGATGAGGAACTCCGTACGCACGTTGTCGACCGTGGGGATGATGATCGACGAGAACTCCGGGGTATGGTCCTGTGGGTACAACCATCCCGGCACCCGCTCCTTCCAGTGACACCACTGACCAGCCTCGTCCACGAAGTACTCGTAGAAGGTATCCAGTGTGTTCGGGTCGAGTGGAGGGTACTTCAGCTCGGGGCAGTTGGTCAGCATAAAGCTTTGCAGCTTCTTCCGCTCATCGAGTTCCAGTAGAGCTCCCAATGACCAGAACATGCAGAAGACATACAAGCGCTCGAGATGGTCGGCGGCGATCTGGGATTTGTTGGCCTCCACCTTTGGAATTAGCCCTTGCAAAAGGGTGGTGCAGTTCGCAACGAACGACACTTTCGCGATCAGCATCTTGGGGTGTAGTTCCACGTTCAGATACTGACTACACGGTCCGAACGTAGATGTAAAGAGCGGCTCAAGAACAGAAACTTCCGATGCTGGCCGAGACTTGAACCACGATTGCAGCACAATATCCCAGGTGAGTGCCGTAACACCGATGTAGATCATACCACAGCGCGAAACAGTAGCGGGGGAAGCGTTTCGCAAACTGTGCACCTCGAAGGTCAGCTTACACGCTGCCGACATGGGAATACGGTCTCCGTTGGCGAGAGTCAGACATTTGTTATCGTCCAATACAGAGTTCAAATTCTCAATCCACACGGCATCGACAGGTCCATCGAGCACGATCCAGATCGTCTCGCCTTTCTTTTTCAGCGTCTTACGCCATAGCGATGAGAAAATACCGTCCGTCCAGTCGTTGGTGGCGACGTCTAACCGACCAAACATTTGGTAATCTGTGATGGCCTTGGGGTTCATACGCAACTCCTTGTGGGGATCTCCGCAGGCCGTCATGGCTTTGAGTAGAGCGTTGATACACTTGGTCTTGCCCGTGCCCGTCGGACCCAAGACCATGATGCCGTGACGCACACGAGCCGTCTCATATAGCTGAATGACCTTCAACGTCCATGGCGGGTGGTTGATGAGGTGCGCATCCTGAAGCTGTTGATCAATAGCGTTCTCCATGCTCGGGTAAGTCGCCTTCTTGGCGGTCAATCCAGGGAACAAGTCGTTGACCAAACTCAAGAACAAGGCCTCATCTTCGTCAACGAGCTTGGACAAGTTCATATCACGCAATACTCGCATGATAATCAAGTTCTCGGAATCCTCGGGGTTGCCACGCTTGGCGGCACCGCACGTACGCAAGACGGACAGAATGTTCCGCAAACCGAAATCGTAGTGAACTTGTTTCGATAGCTGCTCCTCGCAAAGCCGGTACAGCACGAAGAACTTTTTGGCCAGCACGATGTTGTTGAGGAAACCGCATCCGGCGAGCTTGACACGCATGATGATCTGTCGATCAGGCACCATCATAGCGACGTATCGGAAATGCACCTTCAGGTTCTCGGGCAGCTCGACACGCCCGGCGTAACCAGGGTTCATGGTGATGAACATTCCGACTTCGGGGTTCAGTTCGACCGTGTCACCGTCCGTGAAAATGAACGATGTTTTGCGCTCTTTACGCGCGGAGAACACGCATCCGATTTGCTGAGCGGCGACGGACAACACGGGCAGCTCAATACGATTGAACTCGTCGAAACATCCCCAACATCCACTTTGCGCGAGACCTTTGAAGATCCTCCCGAGACCACGGTAGTCCATTTGGTCGGAGCAGTTGAAGACGACGACCCACTTGCCCAAGTTTTTGCCCAAATCCTTGACGGACTCGGTCTTGCCCGTTCCGGCGGGTCCAGCGGGCGAACCTCCAAGAGACATTCCGATAGCTTGCGCTAGCGTGATATAACAACGATCCGTCAATGGTGTGATGACAAGACGATCGGTACATCCGAGGTACTCGCACTGGTACTTGAAGTCGAAATTGGTAATGGATGCTACACAGCAATCTTTGGTTTCTTGCCAGTAGAACCGCGCCTGCTTGAGCCACTCGAAGTCTTCGGCAGACTTGACGTGCGACTTGAAGAGCTTCTCGAACACATCTCGATGGTGGACTTGGATGGTGATGAGTGTTTCGTACTTTGTACGGTCCATCTTTGAGAGATCACGAGTGGTCACTTCGATCAACGTGTTGAGAATCTCGGTGATCTTCTGGTTGGTGGCTGCCATCTTCTTCTTATCGGTCTTCGACGCTTGCAGAGCCTCCTCGCACATCTGTGTCCATTGGATCTGACAACACAGCAACCCGATTTGCGCGGGGTACTCATCCATAAACTTTTGTAGTGGCACATCGTTGACACGTGTAGCAGCCTCCCGAATAATATCGTTGATTGTAGTCTGCATGCTCTTCAGTAGCGTTCCGAGCCACATCTCAACGTTTCCAGCCGCCAGCATCGGCCGGCTGAGCGGCACGCGCTCTCCCTCGGAACTCTCCAACGCCAAGATCTTGTCGTAATCCTTCTCGTGGAACTGGACCTTGTCAATGTTCTCGAAGACGCTTTTGAGGTGCGCTTGGATGGTATGCGAGTCACTCGCCTGACCGAGGATTTCCAGGAGCGCAGGGTCAGAAACGAAGAAGAAACGCGGGAAGATGGCGCGTTTGGATTCAAGATATCCAGAAAGCGACTTCTGACACAGCTCGAGCTGCTCAGTCAGGTGCGGCAGCAAGTTGGCGATTGTCTCGTCCAACACGCAGCATTGGATCACGTTGGGATGCTCGTTTGCCAATCCCATGATCTTCACCCAGCTCTTGTCGATGTTGCTGAACCGCTTCGCTTCCTTGGGCATCTGCTTGGCGATGTCTCCCCCGACGAATACGGCTTCGAGGTAGATCCACAGATTTTGCACCGCGAGCCAGTTCTCGATAACTTCGGACGCCGTGGATAGGTTGTGCACCCAGGTTTGGATGACCGGCTTGAACGGGGCGTTGTACCGGTTACTCATCAGCGAAGCAAGCGTCATCAGCCCGTCTTCCATCTGCGAGATGATCTCCGACGTCGCAGCCGGCTTCAGAATCAAATTTCCACGGTTCTTGAACTGCGCCAGAATGAAGGCCTTGTCCTCCCATTCCGTGACTACCTGCTTCAGCTTGACCTCGATGTCCGCCTCTTTGACCGCGGCCGTGCAGATATCCTCAATGTCTTCCCGGTTCTCGTTCAGCGGCGCGTCGAGCAAGTTTTTGAGGTAAAACTGCTCAGGATCCAACTCGAATGTCGTGCTCGTCACTCCCTGGATGCGATCCCAGTGCCGCCTTTGCATGGCCTTATTGCTCATCATCTCCAGCAGCGGCACAATAGCGGTCAAGTTATCCACCGTCTTCTTCAACTCCAAGAACGCGTCCCAATCCTTCAGCGCCTTCGGCAGCTTCTTGATCTTGTTCTGGAACTCGTTCATGTCGTCGTTGATGACTTCCAGTTTCAGCTCGCTCCACAGCGTCTCGTTGTAGTGCTGCCGCTTCTCCAACACATCGTTGTACAGTCCGTACAGGTTCTGCAGCAGGCGCAGCTCCTTCTTGATGCGCACCAGGGTCGGGAACGGTGTCACGGGCAGAGAAAACAGCTCCTCGCCCGCGGAGTACGTCTCCCACTTCCGATTGAGCTCGTCGAACGAGCGTTGGAACACGTTCAGCCGCTCTGTTGCCGTCTTGGGCGCGATGGAGTTGACCATTGGCCCATTCAGCGTGTATTCGTTGGTAAAGTCGTTAACGTCCTGCGTGAACTTCTGCACCGCGCTGATCAGATCGGCCCTGAACACCGGCTGGATCTTGGACAGATGGGCTTGCACATCAATTACGAGCTGCTTCAGCTTCTTCCAGCTGTATCGCAGCGAATCAACCATCTCCGTCTCCTCCTTCGACACAGTCACGTTGTGCTTCGTGAGCAGCAGGTAGGCTTCCTCGATCGGCGCGACCCGCATGTCGATGTCGACCTCCGTCTCCCGGATCTCGCTGAGGGTCTGCACGGCCATGCGCAGATCGTCGATGTCGGAGATCTTCCGACTAAGCCGCATGGTCTTGTTTTCCATGTACTCCATGAGCTGCTCCATGTCCGTCTTGACCTTCCGGTTCAGGTTCAGACCATACTGCTGTTTCCACTCCTTGGTCTCAGCTAGCAGCGCCAGTTTCAGTGGTTCGGACGAGACGAGGAGCAAACCGATTTGCGTGGAATTGGGGATCTCGTTGATCTCCTTCTCGATCCCTTCGTACCGGTTGATCTCGGATTCGAAATCGGAGATGGTTGGGTTAGAGTTGAGGAAGTTCTGGATCGTCTCGGTTTTGTCGTCTTTCCATAGGAAATCGTACTTGCCCGATGCCTCGCGGTGCGTCTCGATTTCCTTCCGCATCGAGTTGACAGTCGAGCTTAGCGTCGTCAGCGCCTTGAACACATCCTTGTTGTTGGCGACCTGGGCCGTGTCCTCCGGCGAGCGAGGCGTGGTGTGCTCATACCCGTCTGTCGGCGAAAGGAACGTCTTCCAGTTCAACGTCAGCTTCTTGGCAATTTCCACAATCATGCCGCCGGCTTTGTTGATCGCCGTTTGGATGTCCTCGAGCTTGGGTTGCAAGACGACATTAGGGATGTTGAGAACCAACTCGGCGCGAAAGAACGGCTTCTGATGCACGCTCCGGTTGAACTGAATTCCGGTGTATGTCCCTAACCGTGATCGAAGCAAATCAAGCGAGCCCTTGGTGCACTGCACGAGGGCCTCGATGTTCTGGTAATTGAAGTAGAAATACACCGCCTCATGTGCAAGTTTCAACTCGGGGCCGATGGGTGTAGTGACGCCTTTGGTCAGCTCGTCGATGATGTCGCGGGTAGCGCTCTCGATCAGATTTGAGCGGTTGTTGATCAAACCAACAACGACACCGCAACGCTCCTCCGTCTTCTCGAGGAAGGTGTCGACCGTCCATTGCTCGTTCTCCGAGGGTACTTCGCAGATGGAGAGTTCCGCGATGCGCTTGACGCCATGGTCGATGCGCACTTCGATGATGTCCAACACTTTATCGACTAATTCTTCCAGCTTGCCCAGCTGGGCGTTGTTTTTGCCGAGATACTCGTCCAGGTTCAGTGACGTCCACGTGTACGCTGTTAACCCGGGCTGCAGACATCTATCCAGCTCCTCAATATGCGGGACCAATGCCCTGCGCAAGACATTCGAGACCTTGTCCAGCACCCTCTTCTTCGTCTGCAGGATCGACACGAGCCCGCTGTACAGGCCCTTGTAGTACATCTCCTTCAGACACACATTACGGATAGACTCCGGCACCTCGAGCCCCAACCGCTGCATATGCTTCGTCTCCTTGATCAGCTGCAAGATCTGCGGGTCGAAATTGACATACAGGTTCCCATCGGCGTCCGCAACCAGCAACGTCGCCTGCAACCCGGTCTTGGCCTCATCGACGACATTGTACCACGACCGGTACCACAACAACTCGAACTCGATCAGCGCGCGCGCGAGCTTGTTGTAATTACGGATATGCTTCTTGGCGTCCGCGGATTCAAGCACGGAGGTATTTTCCTTAAACTGCCGCATGGGCGATTCGATGCGACGGTAGAGCTGCCGCGCCCACTCGATGGCCCCGCTGACCGGTGGAGTGTTCCGCGGGATCGGTGGGTTCTCTTTTTGCTTAGTGTACAGCTTGCGCACGCCTTCGAGGTCCCGGCGCGTGTAGTGGGCAAAGACTTGGTTGTATTTGGACTCGAGGTTGAGCGCCATGTCTTTGATCTGGGAGAACTTGGAGAGGAGGGAGAGCGCGGCTTCGGTGTTGTTGATCCGCTCGAAGGAGGCGTCGATGAATTGTTGGAGCGTGGACTCGAGGTCCGATATTTGCTTCTTGAAGGTGTTGTAGTCGGTGTCGTACTCCTATACATCACAATACGAAAGATATGTCATCAGCGCCCAATTCTACAACATCGACATCAAAACCGGTAGACGACGTACCATCTTCCTATGATCCAAAATATCATATCCCTTCCTCTGCAACTGAATCAGCACATTGGAAAAGCGCTTAATGATCCCGTCCATGCCCTCGACACCAAGATGTTCCAGCAGCGAGAACTTTTCGATGATGGAGAACATGTCGGTGACCTTCTGGATGCGTTTGCAGAAGGCGTCGAATTTGCCGAAAATGTACATTTCCGAGAAGTCGAATTGTTTCTCGGAGGGTGTTTCGGATAGTTTGCGCTGATTGCGGTGAATGAAAGTCAATATGAATTCTGGCAAGGTTTGTACAAAGAAGACAGAAACTATACCTTAATCTCATGGAAAACCCTCTGATAAGCCTCATTCAACCGACAACAATCGCCCAGCTTCTGTACCAGCACCTTGCGGTCCTGGTCCCACAGCTTCGTGCCATCACGGTAGATGTACTCCTTGCAGCTCGTGATCATCTGGTTGGTGATCTTGACGAACAGGCTGGTCATGCGCTCGGAGGTGTTGTAGTAGCGCGAAATGGAGTAGATCATCTTGATGGCGTTGATCAGACCCGGGATGGCGGGGATCATGGAGATCGGGTCCGAGCGGTAGAGTGGCTCGCAGAAGCGGTCCAGGGTGTAAAGGTATTTGACGTTGTCCTGAATGTCAGATAAGGGAGTTAGAGGGTGAGTGTGATGAAGAAGGCAACAACAGCAAATGGAGGTAGAAAGATTGGCCAACAAGAAAACCTACCTTGCTCTCATTAGCAGCATCCGTAACGCGATCCCCAACCTCCTTCCAGCTCTTCAACAACCCTTTGCTCATTTTGCACGCATGCAAAATACCAACGACCTTCTTGCAGACGGGACTGCGGAGCTGGTCAGTGATGCTGTTGAATTTCACCATTCGAGCTTTCCAATGCGCCAGCTCGGCGTTAGGCCCAATATCATCGGCCTCCTTGCGCATTTGCTCGGATTCGGCGAGGACTGCGTCGATTTGTTTGAGCCATTCTGTCACGAGGGCTGTAGAGGAAGAGAGATGAGTAAATATAGCCATTGGCCATGAACTTTGGGATTATTGTAAACTCACCCTCCAAAGACGAGATGACCTCCGGGTTATGTGCGGCATTAGCGTAATCATTGGGCTTCTTGTACGCATCCAGATCGACCGTACATTCATGCAGGTGCACACTGTCTCCCAGATTCAGCATCGCAACGTCAAGATCATTCACAAATTTCTCAAGTACTTCCATGAAAGCCTTGATGCTCTCATCCTTATCAGCCGCAGGCGCCGACATATTTTGCGGAGTGAGCACACCCCAATTTTCTTGCGCCTTTAGTGCAGGGAGGAGCACGTGCCGGACGGTCGTTGTGAGGGATGGCAAGAGCGCCGGCGTCAAGATCCCGAACGAAATGTCGGTGAACATGTTGGCGGGTGTGATCGCCTTAGTGGATGTGCGGAGGAAGAAACACCCGGTGCCGGTGAGAACCTCACGGTTCCCGCTGGTGACGATAAGTTGGGGTGTGCGGGATGCGGGGTTGAGTGCAGCGCCAGTGACACCCGGTGGTGCCCGAGCCGGGGTGGTTTCCGTGCCGGAGCCATTCTGCCAGAAGAACAGCACGCGTTTACTTCCGCCTTCGGCAAAAAAGTCGTTAAGCAGGTCGACTTTAGTGCCCAAAAGCAGACTGTTTTCAAGAGTAGCGGGTTTTTCGTCGATGATAGCGGCGAATTTCTCCAGTAGATAGCGGTGGCGGGCGTCGAGGGACGCGCGTTTCTTCTCGATTGCGTTTTGTGCCGCTGCACGTTTTTTGGGATCGAGGGTGGTCGTGTCATGTTGTTGGGCGAATAGGCGCTCGCTTGACCGGTATAGGTTGGCAAGGGAGCCACGAGTGCCGCTGATTTCGGCCGTCATGGCTGCGATGCTAGTGGTGGGAGCAATCGAATGAGTCGCTCAACGCCGCTTAGGGCGGATTAAATAGTGGTGGCCGATAGTAACTCGTGGGCTGTGGATGTGCGCAGATGCTAGGCTGAATCGGCCGAGATGCGATGACAGCGAGAGTGGTGGCCGTTGCGTCGGGAGTAGTATGCACGCCGAACCTGCGGGTGCAATGCTACTGCTGCGAGGCAGGCAGGCAGGCAGGTAGATTGATTGCCTGAGATGTAGCTGTGTGTGTTTTTGCGGGTAGGTGGAATCACCATCCGCTAGTTTTACGGTGGGGAACAAGAAGGGAGTCTCGTTGTCCTCGTTTTGTCCCCTTTCAAAGCTCGCTCCCGTCAAAATCAACGCGCCCGTGCTTACGTAATGCGAATAGCAAAAACTCCGCTCTTTATTTACGCACCCTTAGCATAAATGTAAGTGACCATTAAGTTCCTTTCACTCGGCAAAACTTACAAACAGCAGCGCATACGGCACCCAACCATGGCAGTTTGGGAAACAAGCGCTTCCTTTGATTTCGTATTTCGCACTCTGGAATGCGATAGTGTACTTACAGCAATGCGAAGATGACAGCGCTGCAACTTCAGCGTAGTTGCTTTATAACATGCATCCTTGGGTTCAAGTATAGCGTTGGAACATGATTTCTGTTCGAAGACAATTTTAGACACTCGCCCTATGCATGATTGCGTGAATTGAAATTTAGATGGGTGAATTGTTGGAAGAATGTCATGTAGTGAACTGGGAATTTATTGTGTGAACACCTTCGCCGCCATCTGCGGAAATCGAACGGGAGGGATGCGTACCTTCCCATTGCTGACGTGAACCGAGAGCTCGTGCCCACACCAGTTCTAATGATTGCGCTCCAGTCTTGTTCTTATCCAGCATAAGAATACGACCTCCAAGGACGGGAGATTCCCCACCCGAAGCATTTAAGGCCATTGTGAGCGAGCAGTGCCACGTTCTGATGACACTGTGTTGCATATGAATGCGCCTGCAAGGCTTGTTTACATCGCGAGCGAACCGCCTTTGACCGCTAGGAAGACTTACCAATCCAAAGATCCCACCTTGCACCTTTTTGAAATCCTTGATAATGTGGGGGCGGTGATTCGCATAGTATAGAAGCACTTCTTTGCGAAGAGTCAGCTACTTCACATTTATAAACTCAAGGCCATCGAGGCCATCGATTGTATAGCTGCACAGCAGTTGAGAAAAAGCAGCTTAACTGTCTGTCAAAGCATCGACACCCCAGCGGGAGAAGGACGGCGAAGGAAAAAGGGGGGCAAACGCGACTGGAACGATTGCCGTGACATAAACCCGCACCTCACTCCAACTCGGTGGCCACACACTAATTGCTCCAAATTGCAACAGCACAACGCCGTGCGAACGACGTCGGCTTTCGACGAGGACGTCCTTCGAAGCATCATATGCAGCTGCTCAGCTCACAAACGGTCGGCGCACTTCATTAGACTGTTCCGCTTGAATTTGCGCGAATTCCAACTCTTTCCCACGAACAGCGTTAACCAACAGGATTTCATTACCCATCACGAACGCCGTCTCCCCGCACCCTGGAAGACTTCAAACCGCCACCTGTACCCAGCACCTTGGGGACACCTATCCCCATTCCTTGGCTTCGCAGGGGACAGACGCGGGGCTAGCCGTGCAATCTTCCCACGATGGCGGACGATAGCAGCTTGAACAAGAATGCCTCAGTGGGGAGAAAGTTCGGCAAAGGATTTCTCACGGGAAGGCTGCGGTCTCTTTCCTCTCCACCGTCGCCACTTAAAGTTGATGTAGCTGCCGCTCTTTTGGCACAATCCTCAGGTCAAACCCATCCCGCAAGCGCCAGCCCTGCTTCTGGGGATACGATTGCGGACAACAAGTCCTCAGTTCCCAGTAGTCCCGTCACTTCGAGTCCCCTAGGGAGCCCCACCATTGCCTCCAGGAGACGTGGGCGCTCTGGAAGTACAGCAGCCAGTACGAGGAGAAGTACGAGCGGCCCGCCTGGTTGGGGCAGGAATAGACCTGTGCAACCCAGTGCACCGTCGTTTCCGTACGACGAGTTTCTGATGACCGACGCGAAAGCACGGCGGCAGCGAGTTACGCTGATTGCGTTGGAGAGGAGGCGGAAGGCTGAGATAATGGAAAAGGCAAAGGCAAAAACGGCGGCAAGGAGTGGGGGCATGAAGGAAAAGCTATTAGGGGGTACGTACTTCCAGAGAGATGATGCTTTTATGTTCCGAAAGGAGTTGCCCGGGCGAATCTGAAATCATTGACTCATTCCGGCATGTAGTGGTGAGGGGGAATAAAGATGATGGCAGAGACAAGGAGAAGGAAAAGGAAACAAAAAGCGGATTGAAATTCAGTTCCCTACTAAAAGGCGGCAAGAGCAAGCGGTCGAAGATAGGTGGGTCCGTGGATTCGTCCTTTGCGTAGATGGACCTGTCACTCTTTCTGACATTCCTCATTTGCGGTTAAAAAAGAGGATCTCCATCTTTTACAAATGGCGGTCCACGACCTTCGAGTATCCGCTTCCTGTATGATCATCAATAACATCGCCGCGGCGTCGATACAGAAAACGCATCCAGCGCTGGTCAATCGCATTTTCGTGAAAGCTATGGTCAACGGTCTGGAACCGGTGTGCATGATGATGCTGGATAAAGGATTTCCGCCAGACGTCAATGCGCCGATGTATCAGTCGAGTGGGGCTAATTTCAGGGCCCCATCGTATTTCATGCTGGCTGTGGCGCTGAGAATGCATACGGTGGTGTTTCACATGTGCCAGGTGCGGTTGCTTTGCATCGGGAAATTTCGCACCAGTTGAGAAGCGTTTTCATGCTCATGGCTTCCCACCCCTTCTCACACGCTTACAGAACCATCGCGTGAAAGTCAACAGTGACTGGTACGGAATCACACCACTCCACCTAGCCGTCGGCAAGGGATCAATTTCCGTCGTCAATATCCTTCTCGACAACGGCGCCAACCCCTCGCTCGGCCTAGCCGTCCAGGACTACCTCCTTCTCCGCAAACTCAAACACATCGTCATCAAAAACCGCGGAGTTTCCGGCCGGCTTCTAGCCGCTGGCAACAGCGGGACGCTCAACAGCGGAAGCGGAAGCGCCCTGAACGCCATCCCATTGGGCACTGCAGGAGGGGGATTCTACGGCACTCCAGGTACTCCAGGAGGCAGCTTACCTCGGATGAAACGACGCAATTCCAACGCTTCTGGCCGGGGGGTAGAGACGAATCCGAGTCCGACGCTGCTGCCGACCCAGGGCAGCTCGGACTCGCAGACTTCGGTTTTCTCGTTACCGGGGCAGATGACGAGCGGGGTCGAGGTGCAGGAGATATTGCCGCTTGATACGGCGTCGGTGATGCAGGATCAGGAAATGGTGGGGTTGTTGTTGACCAAGTAAGTTTGGATGATATCGAAAAACTATGTTCCGGAACTGCAACGGCTAGTGGCGCAAAAACGCATAACTGCAGCGACAGCTCACGCTTCAATCCTCGTACTCACAAATCCCTCACTTTTCCGTGCACTCCACAGAATGAAACCATCAAAGCTCCCAGCATCCTCCCTCCATCTCCTCGCACTATCCAACCAGGTCTCAACAAATTCCGACCTACCAAAGTGAGCACCCGTCCGACATATGCTGCTCGCCTCGCATCATCACACAGACCCCATCCGAAAACACACCGATCAAACACATCCCGTCCCGGATCTCGCCGGCATCTTTCAGCACGCGATTACTTTATGTCCCACCTTTCGCTGACCCTTGAGGGGCGTCGAATGTGGTTTCCTTACATCTTTTTTGGCCCACCATTAATAGCCGCATCACAACCATCACCACTCCCTATCACGACACCAAAACCTCACATGACCTGCAACGTTCTTCACTGCCACGTCTTATGGTGAAATGGCCTTTGAAACAGCGGCATCGTGTTGCGGTGCTCTTTATTCCCCTACTGTGGCATCCCGGTGGCCGTTAAATCAATCTCCAATTCCCCCCTCCTTTCACACACAACTCTTTTTCCTCGTTTTTGGCTGTCATCCTCCCCTCCCCCAACACACACCACAAATTGTACACTGAAACAATATTTTTCAGTTTTCTATGCGGTCCTTTGTGTCAGTGGAGTTACCGTGTTTTCATAACTTCATGCCCACTCGCGCCCGTGTTCTTCGGATTACAGCACGCACGACTCCTTGACGTACAATTAACACACACGTATGATTAACACCAAAAGTAGAACAGAACGGACCAGTTCACGCCGTAATATCCTTCCTGAGCGCCTGCGCTCGCTTACGCCGTGGTATGGAAGTGCTCCGTACGCATCTGAACTACTTTACGCTACAGCGTTGCAATGCCCAAGCCACGCCTCCACATCCCACCTCCCAACCCAAACATTCACCTCATCCATAAACCGGCTCATCAACGCCCTATCCGCGGCAGGATGGAGGTTATGCAGCGGGATGGGCGGGAGGGTTGATGATGATGTTGAGGTTGACTGGGAGGAGGTGGTGGAGGAGAGGGTTGGCGGGTGGGGGAGAGTGGGTGGTGAGGAGTGGGGGAGGGTTGGTGGGGAGGAGGCAAGGGAAGTGAGAGAGCGGAGGGAGGCGGGGTGGTAGTGGTGGTGCTGGTTATTGCGGTTGGCCTTGCGGCGGCGTTTGGAGGTGGGGGTGTCGCGGGGTTCGAAGATGTCGGTGAGGAGATGGTCGTTTGGAGGTGGGGGTGGGGGTGGGTTGGAGGTGTATTGTTTGCGATTGCGATGGCGAGGGAAAGGTATTGGTGGCGGCGGCGGGGAAGGTTCCACCTCGATATCATAAACCTTGAACGGGGAGTAATGATACTCATCGAAATACCTCCTCAGCACATCCACAAGCATCCGCACCCCCGCATCATCGAGCGCATGGCCAGCCCCGCTCTGACTAGCTTTGATGGCAGACACAATGTCCGCCACCGCGTCCCAATCACGGCTATGTATCGCATCCGGGCCATACATCCTCCGCCCCGTTTTCAAAATCCGGTTCAACGTTCCTGCCGTCCACGCCGTCGTCCAGCGCGGTCTATGCGCGGTCGCTGGGTCGAGGGACGGAGCAGCGGTCGGGCGTCTCGCGGCCGTAATGCGCCGCTTAATCCGTTCCCGTCGTCGTCCTTCTCTGCGAGGGGTACGGACAGAATCACCCGCCGTCCCAGCAGCCGGCGTAATCTTCTTTTGATTCTCCACTCTCCTCACATCCCGATCAATCGCCGCCATCTGCACAATCCACCGCGGGAGCACGGCCCCGGCGCGCAATAACCACTCCAACACCGCCATGTACGTGCCGCGATGGTACGGTCCGAGTAAGGCATGAGCAATCGCGTCGATCGCGCCGTACCGATACAGGAAGAACATACCCCGGGCCTGAGGCGCGCGCGAGGCTTGGTGCGAGGCCCGGCAGGTTGAGGCGAAGGCATGCGGGGAGGGAAGGTAGGCGAAGATGAGGTGGAGGACACGGGCGGGGAAGGGGATGGAGTGGGGGATTGTGCAGATATGCAGTTGGGGGAGAGTTGGCCGGGGTTTTCTCGAGAAGGAGCGGTGGATGGTTCGGGCGGAGCTGTAGATGCCGTGGGAGATACTACGGTGCGGTACGGGTGGGCGGGTGAGTGTACCATTGCGGTGCCGCATGCGGCATTGGAGGGCTTTGGCGGCCGGGATGGTGAATCTGACCGGGTCTTTGATGGATCGAACCGTGCCATTTGCTTCCGACCCCGTCGGCCTGTTGACTACCTCCCGTAAGTGCTGCTGGGAATCATTTGTCCTTGTCCGTCCGACGTCTAGTTCTGCCAAGGTGCCGATGGGAACCTTTCCTAACGATGCCTCCAGATCCCCAATCCCTCTAGATCTGTCCATCACCCGTCGTCTTCTCCTCTTCCTCGGCGTCCTCCGCACCGAACCCCTCCCACCCACAGTCAACTCCACCCCATCAAAGACCAAAAACCGTCCCTTCGTATCTAGAATCCGAGGAAGCCCGAAGCTCAAGGTGGGGCCATCACTACCCGTTGCGCTACTTTCCCATACAGTCCCACCGCTGGTGTCCACTTCATCCTCCCACGCGCTGTCATCGCCCTGATCCACCAATGGGCGTTGTGCAACGCTTTTCCGTATCCCGGCAGAAGCATCCTCCTCATCCTCATCCTCCCCCACCTGCTCCAAATAACGCAAATACAGCCGTCCAAGTGTCTCATAGGGGAGGATACGCAGCGTCGATGGGGTGGTGGAGCGACTGACGCGTTGGACGGTGTGATTGTGCGACGGCACCGGCCGATGTGATGTTGATGGACCGTTGGCGGCAACGACCTGCGTTACGGTTTCCTTCCTGTGATGGAGAGTCGGAACGGACGGGAGGGGTCGTGTGGGCGGAGTGCGATGCCCCAGCATCTTGTGGGTGACGTGCAAGATTGTGAGGGACGGTGAATCTTCACGAACAGGCTCCCGCGACTTGGTCCTGAAGGACTTCTGGATTTTACCTAACTCCATATTCACATATCTGTACGGATGAAAGCCTTCGTGTGCAATGGCACACTGTATACCTACTTCGATGTAATGCTTTCATTTAGGGTAAACTGCCAATTGCGAGGGGTATGGGAAAAAATGGGGTATACATGGCAACGGCCTTCGGTGCCTTCCTCATTTCTTCTCTCTCAAACGCTCATCATTCTCGCTACGCCGTATTTTCCCCTCCTACTTCCAGTCCCACTCTAACGCGACACAACCTCCACACGCGGCTGCTTAGCACCCTCACAGCTCATGCACGCCTCCGCAGCCGCATTAGCAGCATCGATGCGAGCCTCCTCCTTGGTAGCCTGTAGAAGCTCGGCGGAGGCCGGAATGTACTCGTTGGTCATGTTCTGCTTGAAGGATGCGTCGACGACGCCGAGACGTTTGCTGTAGTTGGTTACTTTGTTCCAGTCGCGTTGGACGTTCTGATGTGTGGGTGAGAAAATGTGTGTGTGAGAAGGGTCATGTGCAAAAGTGTAAAGCACCGTTGGGGGATCACGAACACTTGGACATGTTTTTTAACTCACCTTCAAGCTGGCGGAAAAGTACACGAGCGAGCGGTCAAACATCTTCTTGTTGACCTCGTCGCCCAAATTGGGCTTCATGGTGATGTACTCAGCCCACGACTCTTCCGGGCGCAGACGGACGTCGTCGGTGGCACGCTTCACGGCGCGCATGAAGGCGCTGACTTGGGGGCCGTTGTTTTGCAGGAAGGTGTCGTTGGCGATGTACAGCACCGAGCTGATCGTATCGTAAGGAAGTCAATCGGGAATGCCCCTCGCGTGAGTTTCCACCTTCCAGCGCAACATACCAGAAGCAGCAACAGCCAAGCTCGGCCAGCTCATCGATCCTCAACATGGCGACATCGTCCTTGGACCTGCCCTGCGCAACGCTCCATTCCTCCAATTCGACCATCTGAATGTTTTCCAACCCGACCCCCGCGTCAATCACCCCGCGCTTGATGGCGTCCGCTACGTTCATGCCGACTCTCACAGCGGTGTAATCCGCGGGGGCCATGCCGTGGTGGGAGGTCAATTCGTCGATGATGATCTTGCCAAATTCGCTTTTTTTTGGAGATATATGAGACAGGGAAGGACATCGAAATGAAAGGGGGAGATCCTACCCAACGTAGCCGATACGTTTGCCCTTCAGGGACTTGAAATCCTCGGTCACTCCTCCGCGAGACTTGAGGTAGATGACGCCTGTGAAAGGTTCCTATAAAAGGGAAGGGATGCATGGATTAGACATCTACTCGCATGGGTTGCGGAGCCGACCCACTATATATTCATCGAAGATTCGACGTACATCCAAAAGCGTGCCGATGGAAGTAACGTTAAACCCGCGAGCCTTAGCCGCAATGGTATGGATCATCGCCTTGCACCCCATATCGATCTTTCCGCTGCCGATGATTTCTATGCATCAAGGACGATGAGCAATGAACACCGGCTATGCATCCAAAACACACTGATCCAAGAAAACCATCAGAAGTCCATACCGGTAACATCGCTGGGATCACTAGGCTCCAGCAGAGCCACCTTGATGCCCTCGTCGGCAAAGTATCCCTTCTTCTGGGCGAGGTAGAGAGGGATGTGGTACGCGTTGGCGGCCCAATTGAGGAGAACGGTGATTTTATCGGTGGTGGCCATCTTTAGATTTTTATACGGCTGAGAAGACAAAAAGTGGGTTGGTGGATGTTTTTCTGGGGATGTCGGGGGGCAGGCTCCGTATGATGCCTTTATATGCCCCACTTCCCCCATCGTCCCCACTCCTTGTGTCTTTCTTTATTCATGGGGGAATCTCGAGGATACGTGGGGCAAAGTACTGCACTGTTCGTACGCGGGTCAAGTGCCGGAGTCACACTGGTGCAGAGTGAGAGCGGGAATCCCATATTCCATACTTTAAGTTTAGACGATGGACTTCATAGTTGGGTTCAACGGGTTTTTTTTCGCAGACCGGGTGAAGTCATGATGCGGCTTTCCACATCGTCATAGATATCGCAAGATCTATATCGATATGACTTGCCATCATTCGGAACTGTCCAGCCAATAAAATACTGTATCATACAGCAGGGCTAGCAGGGTGACGGTGAACACTGAACACTGCGCGTCTCACCACGGTCTATGCGTCGTGCGGTACGACCGCTGACGCGAACCGTGGTCGCGACCTCCGACGCTCGCCTTCTCTGACGGGCGGTCATTTTTTTGCATATGCGAAATGGGGGCGCTTCGTTTTCCGTACTTCCCACAAACTTTCTCAAACTTATCCAACTATCTAACCTCCAACTTTTCAACCAACCGTGCATCCAAACATGGAAGACGCGGCGGACCTTATTTTGTGTGCGGTTTCCTCCGTGGCTAGTAAGTATCTCATTCGAGCTCTTCTACGTCGCCTGCAATTACTGCGCACTTCCTGCTCTGAATTCGTAGCCGTTTTCTTCGCCTCGCGCGTTGCTGGCAGGCAGTTTCAGCGAGGCGCAGACGAAGCAGGCAACGGGAAATAACAGAAGGTCTTTTCACTACGGAGATCACTCGTGCCAACGGCCGCGTGCTCCCTCGCTAGCGTTAGCCGCGACCGTGGGCACCAATAAGGACGTCCAGGCCGGATGCGTTCATGAAGAAGACTAGTCAGACTCGGCTTTCTGGCTGGCCCCGTTTCCCAACCTAGCGCGCCATTCCCTCGGTGTATTTCATATATGTGAATTGAGATCTTCCCTTCTCCTACTTCTTTCGCTGTTCCGCCGAGTGAGCAACATGCAGCAGAGCAGGGAGCGAGGTCGCTGGGGATGAGCGCAGACCTCCAGCATGCTCCGCCGTCCCAAATGCAACGAGTCCGTGCTCGCGAATCGTCAACTTGTCGACAAATTTTTCTTCGTCATATTCTATTTACGTTCAAAGCCCCGCCGACACTACTTTTAATCACAAAGGGAAAAATCCAACGGTACCCCAAATACTAGTCCCACGGCATCATCGTGCAGCTCAGTTAACCCGGTGTCCGTGCGTTCCTCTGTACTTGACGGAGCAGATCAGTCGGACACCCGCCATAAAGGAAGGGGAGCCAGAGAACAGTGTAGCATGGTAAAGAATGAGTTGGTCAATCCATGTATGAAAGTAAGCCCTGCGTTCACATGGGATAAGGGATGATTGTTTTACGCTTCCTGGCAAGAAAGCTGCCTCAACCACTCCGCCAAGGGGAGAGGGGAAAGGGAAGGAAGGACACCGCTCCGCCGGAAGGGCACGGGGCTGGAGAACAGTTCAGCATAGTAATCATCAGATTGCCTAGTCATTGTCAATCTGCATTGCGTTTCCTAAGTATGCGTTCACCTGTCCACCTCCGGCTTCTCTGACAGGCTGTCACTGTGACACTACGTTGGAGGGCTACTGGTGATGCGCTCTTTTTGTCAACCGCAGCCAGCCATCGCTAACGACAGCCATGCCGGATATTTGATCATGATTATCAATGATCAGAGGCGAAATGGTTCAAGAAATCAGGGATGAACCCTATGTGAAGAATCAGACAATGAAATGGACACAACGTAATTTAGAATTCTTCACCCAAGAAAGACAACATGGCGGAGTGGTTAACGCGGTGCCCTGCTATAAGTTGAAAGGCATTTCCCTCTGGGAGCGCAGGTTCAAATCCTGCTGTTGTCGTTTCATTTTTGCGTTTTTCGCGTTTTTCTACATCAGTTTGCCCCGTCGAGGCGTGTCCAACGCATCTCGTCTGTTATTATTGTCCTTTCGATCTGGGAGCGCTATCTATTACTCTATGACACCTGACATGAGACCGAAAACAGACTCGCCCAAACAGAGCCAATCAGCCATCCTGTTCTTCATATGATGTGGACTTTCGACCTCATACTGGGAATCGGGACCAACAGGCGGAACTGACCGGTACTAACAATACATCGAGAGTTTGCACAGTATATACGACGCAAACTAGCTCGCTCGGGATGCCCGAGGAAATGCACCGTCCCTGCGCATTTCTACCCAAGTTTCGCCGATTTCAGCGTCCAAAGTGAACGAGTCTGATGAGGCCGGATGGGGTTCGTAGTATCCGTGTGGCCGAAACGTCTCGTGTGGTTGTGATGTACATAATCCACAGATTGATGGTGTCCATGTAAGCTCGGGTGGTTCCGGGCGCGACGTCAGCTCCTTGTACGAGTGCTCGTCGGCTCCTGCAAGGGATGAGAGAAAACCAATGGGTAAGCCATTGATTCGGACACAGAGGGAGTATGTGAAGTACCTATGCAGGGCCTTTAGCTCGTTGTGCTTCAGGAATGGATTCGGGCGCTTCATCGGCCTTGCTGCAATCACGGTGCTCAAGACTCGTTCGCTAACATGCTGCCCATTGCTGTCACTCTTGGACGCATCCTTCCGTGGGTTCTGGTGGTTCTCGACGCCCAGCGGAAGTACCATGTCGGCTGTGGGGTGGCAGACGATTCGGTTTGTTAGTGGAGTCAGTCGTGGGAAAATATGATCGTGGGAAAATCGGTCCGTTTGGGAAAGCACAGGCTTACTCGATCGTCCATCCCAGCACATATGCTCCATGTCAGGCAGCGGCGCGACAGTGGCCCAATGTCGTAGGGGACCCCAAGGGAACCGCCTGTCAGGTTGGTGGCCGAGTTTGGCTCGCTTCTGGCGGTCGAGGAGGCGGTCGAGGAGGTTGGGAGCACCGTTTGAGGTAGTTCTCTAGGGTACCAGGTGCAGACGGGGCGGCGGCGACTGGGGAGTTGGCGGGACTTGCGGCGCTAGCGGAGGAGGAGGATGAGGCGGCGGGGTAAACCGGGTTTTGGCCATGGAGCTTCTTGGCCCGGTTGCGGTTCTGCCTCATCCTGTTATCCCTCTTCATTTTGAAGCTGGCGCTTTCCGTCTCCCTCTGCCATCTGAAGTTCTGCATTGATTTGCTGTAGTACCGGATCCGCGCCGTGCACCTCTCCAGAAACCAGTCGGCGGTGGCGCCCAACCCGCGCTCCCTGGTTGGGGGGTTCAAACGGCGGAAGAGGGGCGGCATTGCAGTACGATGTTGCGGATGAGAAAGCATGGCTTGCTTTCTGTGACCCGCGCTGAGAAATTCTTGCTTCCTGAAATATGGTGATATGGAAATATGGTTAGGGACGAGAAGGCTGACCCTCAGTCGGTCGGCTCGGTCGGCCTCAGCCTGAAAGCGTCGGTCGCAAGGTCGGCAAGAGGGCAAAGTCCACCGCCCTTTGCGTTTGAGGGAAACCGAGGGAGGGAGAGAGACCGCGCGTGTCCTACTATTGAAAGCTTACCAGATCTCAGTTCTCGAATGTACTGGAATCCCACGTCCATTAGCTGCTCAGCCTCACTGTTGTTGTTCTTGTAGCAAATGATGTTCTTAGCAATGACTGTCTTGAGCCGTTTGATATGTTCCCGAATCGATCTGTAATGGTAACGGTGATTGCGACTGGATACAAGAGAGAAGATGGAGGATAGTGATCACCGTTGATTAGCGGGTGGTCAATGCGAGGGTGAACATGGGAGACACACACCTCGCAAGCTTGAGAACCGTCTCCACATCTAGCGGCATATGCTCGTCAACATCCATGAGATCAGTGTCAAGGTCGTCATCCGCAGAATCATCCATGAGATCAGTCACGCGGGAGTCCCTTTCATGGTTCACTAATCGCTGGACATCCCCCCGATTCATCCTCATGTTTGCCTCCTGTATGAACCCCATCCGAAAGCTTTTAGGTGTGAAGTTTCGCGAGTCGAGGCCCGACAGCATTGCCGCCCGCGTGATTGTCCGAGCCATGGTTCCAGTGTAGAAGGGCTGCTCGTTCACCCAATCGCCCTTCGCTCGATCCAGCTGACACACCACTGGCCAGTCCAACACCTCTTGCCGCAGGCTGAGATCTCCAGTGGCGAGGATACGTTCCAGCGTGGGCTGCACGAATAGACCTCGCAACAAGAAGAGAGAGAAGAGTAGTGCGCCCAATGACGAGTGGTGCTCTCCGAAGAAGGGGATGGTGTACGTCTTCTTCTTGCTGGGATCGGCGATGGTGGCGGATTTGAGGAACGTGATGTCAAGTGTTCCACCAATTGTGAGAGCTGACGAGGCGGGTGATGCGGGTTCAGGCGCAACAGTCTTACCACAACGCCGCGGATGCTCCCGTAGCACGATCGACTCGGCTGCCAACACCGCTTCCAACGGTGCGACCCATGCCCAGGTGAAGGCTGGGGACGCTTACAACTCGGCTGCTGATACGACGTCCCGCAACATTGACGCCGACAAGGTCAAGGCTGCGGACACTTACAACCCTGCTGCCAACACTGCCGCCGCTCAAAGCTCGAAGCCTGCCAGCTCTGGTGGTATGTACTCATCGCAGATGCCCTGTGAATGTCAAGATGGTATCTTCATCCGGCATCGCCCCAGCCATCGCCCGCAAGCCCGTCACAACCTTCATCCGTGGCCAACCGGTCACAATGCCGCGGAAGTCCTTCTTCGTGGTGCAACAGCAGCCAGTTCAAGCGCACAACCGCGCCCACCAATCGAGCGTCCCCACGAACGGCGCCGTTCACGGATCCACGGCTTCAGGAAATGAACTTGCGCCTCAAGCTGCCGCTGCAGGAGGACAGGCTGGCTCCGCGACAGCCGTCAATCGCCGCGAGTCGTCGGGAGCTCGGCCCCCCCACCAGGGCTCGTCCTCCACAAATTCTTATACATCATCGGTGCCATAAATAAGCCGACGCGAATCGAGCGGCGCATCCAGCGTCGCCACCACCTTCTTCTCGCGCTCAACCCTACATGGCGCGCCGACTTCCTCGAGGTTCTTCAATGCAGCGAAACTCTGTAGTTCGATAGACATTTCTTCAATTTTCCCGCCGCTTTTCGATGACTTGGCGGCGGAGCTTCAGTGCTCGAGCTTGGCACCCGCCGTACGCCATCTAGGTCGTTCGCATCTGTGGCATTGACCTCGGGTCCTGTAGTTGATGTACGTGCACGTGGGGTATGCCCAGTCATCCCGGGCGAGGGGTATAGTTGTCGGAGGCGTTGCGGGGCGTGCGAGGGGGCGAATGCAAGGCACTGGCCTGCTGGAACATGTTCTGTGGAGCCCCCGAGAGGCCAGCGTATTGGTGAGCCCCTGGAGGACCACTCATGCCCATAATCCCTTGCTGCGTTCCTGGCGGAGCCGGCTGCTGCACGTAGTTGAGCGCGGGGAAAGAGGTATAAGGGTTGGGCCATTGTTGCTGCTGGGCGCTCGGTTCCCAAAGCAGCGCTGGCTGCTTGCGAAAACTGATGAAGCGGCGTCGCTGCTGGTGCTGAGCCCATACTCGTGCCAAGGTCTCGTATCATACTCGCCCGCAGTCGCGCCGAGGGCGCTCCGGCGGCACTCTCTTTCACCTGTGAGGACCCGGCTTCACGCAGCGCGGGAAGTACCGGGTTGAGTATGATACGAGACCTTTGGCACGGGTAAGTTGTTCTGAGCCCATAGGTTGTTGTCCAATGGCACGTGTGGAGGAGGAATCGGAGCCTGGCTGTATGGCCCCAAAGGCTGGTGGTTGACGTATCGCCGAGGTGTCTGTTGCCGTATTCCTTGCCCGCCACATCCAGCAGTCAACAACATCCCAACCAACCAACCTTCGCCCCTTCCCAACGGAGCGCTGTCTTGACTGCAAACAAGGGAAGCCTCTGCGATTGCGCGCGCGTCTCTCCACACTTCTCACATACATACTGTAAATTGTCAACTTTGGAAAAGTATGTACGAGACGGACAGCAAGGCAACAATGTCCCAACAGCCCACGGGCGCAGACGGCCAGCGACAGCAGCCGCCACGGCTGAAGCACAGGTAAGCATCGTCATCCCCCTCCGCCCTTACACCACAACGCATCGATGGTTTCCTAACTCACTGACCAAACCCCCCCCCCCCCCCCCGCCATTCCCATGCGAAAGCTAAGATGCTTCATCGTCCGGCACGGCCAGAGCATCGCGAACGTTCAGGGACTGATCGTATCGGACCCAGCTGTCGGATGCCATGACTTTGGATTAAGCGAGGTCGGGGTTGAGCAGGCCCTTGAAGTGGGTTAACTGTGCAGCCAGCAAGGTCCAACTCTCACGAAGAAATAAGTGTCTTGACACTATTGTGAACGTCCCCAGGCAGGCCGCGCCCTCAAGACGCTGCTGACCCAATCGGCCACCCCGGTCACGGCTCTCACAATCCACACCTCCGACTTCCTCCGCACCCTCCAAACGGCCCACCACCTCGCGTCCGAACTCGTTCCCTTCCCCGTAACAGTCACGTCCACCCCGGCCCTCCGCGAACGAGCCTTTGGCGATTATAACCACACCTCGGTGGCCCACTACAATGATGTGTGGGCGCACGACGCCGCGCGTGTGTGTGATGCCCAGACGGGTGTCGAGTCGCCTGAGGACGTGCGGCGGAGAGCGGTGGCGTTTGTGATGCAGGCGGATGAGGATGCGGGGGAGGGGGAGGTGTGTGTTTTTGTCGGGCATGGGGATACATTGCAGGTGAGTTGTGAGTTGTGGGGGGGGGGGGGGGGGATGAAATACAGGGTGGTGTGAGATGTGCTGAGGATGCAGATGGGGTTGATTGAGCTGACGGTTTGCCCCATTGTTCAAGATCTTGCAGACGGCGTTTGAGGGGATCAGTGCGTGGGATCATCGGACGTTGCCGCCGTTGGGGACTGCGGAGGTTAGGGAGTTGCCCTAGATGAAGGGTTGGGATGCAGGTTAGATGGAGAGAGACTGGCTGGCTGGGTAGAGGATCACAGGCGAGCATGAGTCGAGCTGAAGAGACGGTTGCAGAAGGAGGAGGAGGAGGAGAGAAGAGAGTAGCGCGACGACAATGCTGATCAGGAGGATAGATCAAAGAAATGCAGTCCCGGGCGGACGTTTCGGGGCGGATTACCGGTGGCCGCCGACTGCAGAACTGAGCAGATAATAGATGGCGTGTGCATGCACACCACACTTATGTGAGGATGATGCATCCATGAGAATCCTCCCTCTCCACACACCACCAGGGAACGAAGGGGGGCGTCGGGACACCAAAAGATGTAGCAGTGTACGGACTGGCGTTGGGGATGTGCCGTTTCCATGGGCCATCCCGCAATCCCGGTGTGGATCGGGGACATGGGAGTGGGTCGGAGCCAGACTGCCCGAGACCGCGGGAGTGGTGCCCGAAAGGAAGAAATGGGCCGCGGCGCAATCTTGGTTGCTCTCTCTTAATTCTATTCGGCCCAGAGCCCAGTCTGGGGGGAGCGTTTGTCATTGTCTCATTTCCCCCGCGCCATCATCCATCGGGGGCGCCATCGATCTATCGGTTGGCTCATCGAAAGATTGAGAAAACGGGGGACATAGCGGCACTCATAACATTGCCTGATTTGCATCCCATCCGCCCGCCCATCCGCCGCACCGACGCGCCCAGGGCGCCTGGCACCCGGTATACCGCGCGGCTCACCCCCGTCACGAAAGAGTGCACGAACGCAAGGGGTTGAAAGAGGGCGATCCTGTTCCCAGGGCCCCGTCTCTTGCGCGCGCGAGAGAGAGAGAGAGAGTGTCTCCCGCGGGGCGCACCGGCTGGGGCCTGGGGAACAGCGACTGGTACTACTAGTGCTCCTACTGCTCACTCTGGTAAGCGTGACGGCAGAAACAGAGCCGCGCCGTCAACTCACCCTCCCATCTCACCCACTCTCGCTCTCTCAACTCGCTATCTCTGTTCTCGCTCTGTTACTCTGTTACCATATCATAGCTCTTCTTTTCCCATTCATTCCCCCCCCACACTGCGCATACCCACCCGCTCTGGCTCACTCTCTCCCTCGCTCTGGCTCTCTCGCTCGCTCTCGCGCCGGCGTGAAGAGAAGCCGAGCCGCCCAGTTAAAAAAAAGTAAGTTACGGCTAAACCCACCCGTCCACACACCCCCCGCCCTGGGCCTACCACCGCCGGATTCCGTCAACCCGCAACCCTGTCAGGCCCATTGTCCGCCCTCCCATTGTAGCTGACGACCCCGGCTCAACAAGGGTGCGTAGCCACCTACCTATTCATGGTTGCGGGAGGACTTGGCTCGACGGTACCCTACCCAGGCGGAAACAGGCGTACGCTTAACGGTTCGTGCCGGTTAAGCCGCCCGTGCGATCTGGATGTGTGCGGGTTTCCTTTCAGAAATCCAATGTGTGAAAGAGGGTCCAGGAAAAAAGGGATGGGCGGTGTTGATGTGTTGTGTTGCGTGGATGTGTGCGTCTTTTGAATGCGGCTGCAAATGGCATGTCATCTCCGCTGACGTTCGCCACTCATCCCCGCTTCCTCCTTCCCTCTGCACCTTGTGGATTGGATTTCGCAGTAGATACAGCACTCCGGCACCCTCCCTACCTAGCTGGACCCAAAACCCTGTCCAGGCGCTTCCACAACATCCAACGACATCCCTCAATCCCTCGCCACCGGTCTGCATTCGAACGGCAGGTACGACTCCGCAAACCTGCATTCGGCACATGTGGTAGAGACGGGAAAGCTACAACACCACTCACTCCCCTTGCACACCACACAATTTGACAGCGCGAGAGCCGTCGGGGGACATCCCTCCTTTCGTCTCAACTAGAGCATCCCCGAATTCATTGACCACCGACAGCGAAAGCGAGAGACATGTACCGTTCCCCTCGCCATCATCCCATGGACTCAAACCGGCCCAATGAATTCAGCCACCCCACGCCTCCCGACAAACCGACAAAACGCCCACGGGACGAACACGCAGTAGTAGCCGGGCGGCGCACATCGAATGGGGAGGTCTCGACCTCTGCCGCGACCGAGCAGCCGACACTCTACACGCATTCGACCACGTACCCAACGACATCAACCCCCGCAGCGTACACCCACGCAACATTAGAAACCCTCGCCGCGGTCGCGACCTCCCTCTTGGAGTTACGGCATGCGGAGACGCGCGGCCGTCCCAGCACCGCCGGTGTGGTGTCTGAAGCGGTCAAAGCGAAGCCGCCGGTGGTGGTTGTGCAACCGCAGCCGCGCCGGCAGCCATCGACCGATGTGGAGAAGGCCGGGAGGAAGCGCGTGGTCGCGAAGGCTGCGGAAGGGGTGGAGGTAGACGGTCGCCGGGTTGAGAAGGTGGGAAGAGATGTAAGTGTCAAACGCTCGGGAGAATCCGCTGTACACATCCGGCACTCATATACCCTGCCGTCCTCACCTTTCCCCGCAGGCCCAAACCGCATCCAGTTCCTCACAAACCTCACGAACCTCACACACCATCATCACATCTCTGCCCCAAATCCCACCCATATCGCCCCCCCGACGGTCACCCCGACACCACTCGACATCAACATCATCCACGCGCACACAACCGACCTACCCACCACTTTTGAAACCGACCCCCCGCGCCGCGACGGATTCGGAGTGTGGGGAGGTGTTGAGGAGGGTTTTTGAGGATGTCACCGCCGCTGCCGTTCCACACCCTAGCACCACCAAGCAACAACAGCAGCGACAACGGCTAGGGGATCCACGACAGGCGAGGAAGGATGCGGGCCAGGTCTTGCGATCGGCGGCCTCGACAGCACGCTCACTACCATCACAACGACCGCCATCACCACCACCGGGGAATAGCCGTGCGGAGGTAAAAGACTCTCTCTCCTCATGCGTGGACGCGCACACCCACCTATGATGATAACTCTCTTTTTCTGTTGCTCACCACAGACATCCGCATACCCACCCCCGACAACAACCCCACCCCCGCACCCGCACCCGCACCCGAAACGCCGCACCTCCCTGAAAGATCCACGACCGGCGCAGCGGGCGCGGCGGGCGGCGTCACCGTCCCCATCGCAGTCGTCGGCTGTCCCGCATGTAGACGAATCGCGGGACTCGGTCGCATATACCCCCGGTCGTGGTGAACCCGACTCGAGAGGGGTCAAAGGGCCGCGCCGTGTGGTGAGTAACTGAACTGACCCCCCCCCCCCCCCCCAATCTTGCCTCTTACACCCCGCCATAACCACCTCTTGGCTCACATTTTGATGTAGTCGACGGGAGTGAGCAGCCTCCCCCGTCTCCGCCCCGAACTCCGGGCGCGCCTGAAGGCGTTTGATGCGTTTGTGTGGCGGTATGAGTCGCTTTATGGTCAAGTGGTACGTGTTAGCATCCCCCCGCCGTGGATCCTTACCCCTCCCCCCCTGCACATCACACCGGTCATGCATCCGCTTCTCTAAGCTCGATGCAAAGGGGCCCACATCATAACCGAGCCTAACCCTGCGCGACATACCCGTACAGAAATCCGACACGCACCTCAAATCCCAAGCCCCGAACGTCCTGATCACCTACCTGATCTGCCAACGCTCGGCGCACGCACGGAACGGGGGGAGGGCCCCGCCCCCGCCGCCGAGGTTGAGGATGCCGCCGCGCCCGGCGCACAGGGGTGGGAACTCTGCGTCGTCGGTCTCGTCCACGGTGTCGGCAAGGCCGGTGTCGGGGCCAACACATGCGAATGGGAACCCCCGGGGGGCGAGCGCGACGACTGCACAGGGGCGGGATGATGCCAAAACGGCCACGATAACAACCGCGCCGGCCCCGCTCCACCCCCTCGGCGACCTACGCTCCTCCTCCTCCGGGTCGCGATCGGTGTCGGTCCAAGGTCCGATGGAGTATGCCGCGCGTCCGAATCATGAGCATGTATACCCATACTCGGACTGGAAGAATGGCTACCACGATCCGCCGCCTCCCCAACATAGTTTGTCGTGGTCACCACCGCCCGGAGCGACGTATCCCCACCACCAACATCAGACGCAACAACAGTCGCGACAAGCATACCCCTCCGCGACACCCTCGTCCTCCTCACCCGCTGCGGCGGCGTTCTATACAACGTACCCTCCCCCGACGACGTATGAGCAGGACCCGCGGTATACCCAGCATGCGTTTTACCCCCCGCCGATGATGTATGCGGATGGGTACACGCGATACCCCCGAGAGAGCTACGGGTATCCCGCACATCCACAGACACTCTCGACACACCCACCCACACACACCCACCCACATGCACATCCGCCGCCACCGCATGTACACCCCCATCGGCCTGCACCGGATATGTACCCGCCCGCTACATACACACATCCACACTTCCAACACTACCCACCCAATCAACACCCCCGCCGCCCGCACCCCTCCTACCCGTCCCATGACACAACCGCGTACCCCTCAGTCCCCCCGCAAACCCACCTGCAATCGGACGGCACACTGACCAGCGCCGGAACCTGGACGGGCCCGTCCCCGCCACCGGGATACCACGATCCGAGAGTCGACACGCACCCGCCCCCGGACCCGCCCCCGGACAGCAACCGGAAACAGGACCGCCCGACACATGATGGGCAGGACCACCGACGAGATGAATACACCGCCCCCGTGACGATCCCGCCCCACGGCTATCACACCCTGGAATATCACCGCCCGTATCCGTACCCGCACCAGCAGCCCTACGTGCACTACCCGCCGGGGGACCCCGCCGGAATGATGGGGTTTCACCACCCTCGCGGAGGTGTGTAGTGAGGGACGCTTGTGGTGTTTGAGGAAAATATATATATACCCCCTGGTTTCTTTTTGTGGCTGATGCTTCCTTTGGAAATGGAGTAATGGAGTGGGCGTCGTTTGGGAGTTCAGGGGCGTTTTGGGGTTTGATGATGTTCGCGTGGGGATGGTGGACGGTTGGAAGGCGGAAGAGGCCACGGGTTGCGGGTTGATGTTCTGAATTGGGATGCTGCACCCGGCCATTCGCTTGGCTGCTGCTTGTTTCTCGGGCACATGTAAAGCTTCGTCCTTCAAGCTGAGAGCCATTGCATCCAGCATTGACTCGCTGCTCGGGTATCTAAACTTCTAAAGGACATTCACACGGGTGCCCGCTACGCAATCCCCCATCTCTGCCTACCCATCCCCATAAGTACTGTACTGTACTGTACGCCGCTTGCCGCCCCACTAAACAACAACAATCCTCGCCCCAACACCCACACTCGGCACCCCGGCCTCACTCACCAAAAACAGATTATACACCCCCTCGATCGCGGCCTCCCCAGCCCTCACACTCACCCCCAGCGCCCCATTCCCGTACTCGACCACATCCAACGCGACGTATCGTTGATTCTGATCAAACGAGTGCGTCGAGCTCCCCAACGCCATCAGGGCCGCCCCACGGATCGTGCGCGGACGTGGGCCGGTGTATGTTACTGCTGTTGCAGGGTTCGCCCCGTCGGCATCCCGGCGCATCGTGAATGCGATGACGCCCGGGGAGGTGATGACCGGCCGGGTGACGCACCCCGACGGGGATTGGAGGTACGGCGGGGTGAAGATCCGCACGTCGACGCGTTCGCACGCAATATCATGTCCGCCATGATCGATCCCGCCGCCGACAGCGACGCGGCCGTCTTGCAATAGGATGGCCCAGGAGTGGTATGCGCGGACATGTGGGTCGTTGGACCACCCAGGCAGGGTGGTGAGTGTGCCGGTGAAGGGGTTGTAGAGCTGTGGGGGCGGGGATTGGGAGGCGTCGAAGCGGTTCTTCCCGTTCACGAACAGCACGGTGCCGTCGGGGAGGAGAACGGAGGTGGGGTTGTCGCGGCTGAAGGTGCCGTCCGTGGACGTCCAGGTGGACGTGGACGGTGTGAACGCGTCGAGCGTCCAGGGCTGCGACCCCCCGCCGAGGGTGATGAGCGCGCCGGTGGGGCTTTGGAAGGCGGTCGCGTCGTACCCGCCCCCGCTCGGTCGCCCGGCGTTGGTTGGGATCGCGACCCGCTGATCATTGGGGGTGTCCACATCGGTGTTGTAATACACGATGGTGCCCTGCTCGCCCATCATCGCGACATGGCGGGGCCGGTTGTTGAGTGTGATTGGCCGCGGGAGGACGAAGATGTGGGTGTAGTCGCGGATTCCGGGGGTGATGAGGTGGTTTGGGATGTAGCCCAGGTTAGACCAGGCGTTGGTGGTGGGGTGGTACAGCGCGGCGTTGTCGTTGGCATCCGAGTCGCCGTTGCAGCAGCGGGCGAACCCTCCCGTCACAAGAATATCCCCGGACGGAAGAGCGGCTGCCGTAGGATACCTACACACATTAGCAATGTCGGTCAATACGTGTTCGCAGAGCTCGGAACGGTGATACCCCCGCACCCGCGATACTCACCACATAGTCCCAATCGGCGCATCGGGCGTCGTACTATACCCCCCCGTCTTCGGATCATACACCCTCGCATAACTAACCCCAACCTCCATCTCATCACTCATTCCCAAATTCCGATAACTCGCGCCCCCAACCACAAAAACCCGTCCATCCTTCATCGTCACCTGCCCCGAGCAGTACAACGTATCTTCCGCGCCGCGCCGTTGGTCGGGGATCGGCCGCGGGATGGTGAGGGTGGGGTTGCGGTTCGGTGGGGGAGGATTGCGCGCGGCGGCGAGGATGGCGGACGCGGGGATGACGAAGGAGACGCCGTGCTTGCGGGTGCCGAGGGGTTTGACGCAGTTGATGTAGTCGCGGCGATTCCAGCCTACTATATAGATCTTAAAAAAAAAGACACACACACCATTGCATAATGTCGATTAGCACTTTGCGAACGGTGATATGTTGTTAGTGGGATGCGGGGACACCCACCTGTCCATCCTGTAACAACGTCGCATGGATCGGGGTGACAAACCATCCGCCCTGCGGCTTATCCTGTGTGTAGAAATCGCTCGTATCAATCAAGTCGACATTCGGCGACCACGCGGGGGTCACTGGCTCGCAGACGCCCGTTGATGTCGGTGGGGCGACGGGGGTGGTCGTGGTTGCGGCGGTCGCGGTGGTGGTGGTGGTGGTCGGCGGGGAGGGCGGGATGGTTGTGGTGGTGGGTTGGGGACCAGTCACGGCAACGACGGGGTAATTCGCGCCGTTGTTGTTGCCTACGCCGCCCCATGAAACGAAAGCCCCACATCAGCCTAGAGTCGTCACACGTCAGAACGCTCCGACCCCCCCACACCCCCGCAGCTCACCATAGTAAGTCTTCCCATTCGCGGCGCTATACTGGATATAGAATCGCTGGATGCCCGCGGCGGGGTCAACCAACGGCGCGTCGTCGATTGTCCATATCTCTCGGTTGGGGACGTCGGTTGCCGGGCGAGAGTAGGTGGCGGGGATGCGGAGGGGAGGCTGGCGCCATGTTCCCTGCAACGCATCAAGTCAGAGGGGTTGTGATGTGTACATGAGATGTGATGCTATGATGATCCGTACCTGCCCATCACTGTAAATAAGCCAGACATTCGACCCGACACCCGTGGTCAGCACCTCGATCTGGACATTGTGCAAGCGGCCGCCGTCGAACGTGTAGCCAGGGAGGACGGAGACTTGTGCCGCGGCGTGCGCGATCGCTACCATCAGCGTCAGGAGAAGAAGGGAGGGCATCTTTGCGGAATTGACTCCGAAGGATTATAGCAGTGTGCGGGATGGGGGTTGCTGTACACCTGCCGGTGGAAGGCCCGCTCCCTCTTATGGGGAGGGCCTCCCTCATGTCCAAGCCCCGCTTCTCTTCGAAGGCCCCATATCATCCATTCTCGAGAAACGAAAGAAAGGTTGAAAGCCTGAGATGTGATTGCAGATGGCAATCACATAATCGATAATCGATGTTCACTCCATGTTCTCCATATCTGCGGCTTGCTGTTGGTTTTTTGTGCAAGTCTAGACCGCCGTTACGACATGAATAATTTCAAGGCTGGGGCCAAATTTGACGGGATTGCTCTGAGTGTCCGTGGCAAACCGGCGGTTTCCACACCTCTGTGGTTTGGTAAAGCCGTTCTCGGAGGTGCTTGTGGGAAAAAAATCGGATTGTTGGTGACGTTTGAATGAGACGCTCGCACCGAAGGGAAGATGGATTGGAGATAATCGACAAACGAGACAATGGGCGGAGTTTGCGATGTCCGGGAAACCGAACTTACCGTGAGTTCGGGAGGAGGGAGGAAAAGCCACGTCTGTCCTTTTCCCATTCAGTCCAGTCAATCCAGACGGCGTCTCGAAAGAATCGACCAGTGGCAAATGTGGCATCCTGTACTAGTACGCATTGTAGGCATTGATAGCCATCGGTCGCCGGGGCCAACTTTTCGCTATTGACGGTAGTAGGCATAGGGTGGATGGTTCTTCCGGAGGGTCGGACTAGTGATGAGAAGGTGAGTTTTAAAGAGCTTCCACCACTCTCTCTCTCTCCCTCCCGATTCTGTTTGTCGTTCATGTGAAGCGCTGTGGAACGAGTGAGCCTTCAACGCCTTGAAGGTGCTTTGGAGAGCCATTTGCGATACTCCCCCTCCTCCGTCAGCGGCCACAAACGCGTGGATCCTTCGAAGCCTCTTCGGTCTTCCCCACCTACCCCTCCTGCCCTCCCTCCAGATCCAATGCGTCCCTGGTGAGCCTGGGGCAGCAGTGAGGCTTGAGCACAAACGCTGACCGCCGATCCATGACATGTCCACCTATCTACCTTGGCATATGTACTGTTCAGTATGCGGACCAGCTGAAGTGAACCAAATGAAAGAGAAAATGCGGTGGGTCACTGCCCCGCCAAGTACACATGGTTTGTGGAAGGAACTATCGCTGCGCACGTAGGGTTGGGCTTCCCCGCGGTGCATTGCAGTTACTCTAGATTTAGGTTCTGAGGAGCTTAAAAGGCCGAAGAGTGCCACCTCAAGGCCTCTCTTCTTTCCACCACCACCCAACCGGCCCGCCTCCAAATCCCAAGCGATGTGCGCTAAAGCTTTCCCACCCCCCTCAGACTTCTTCGACACAGTCCTGGCCTTTCCCTTCCCACAGATCGCTTACGCAACCTCCAAGCGCATCTCAACCCTCCTCAAAACCCGTGTCATCGAACCCAACCCCGACGAGCTCTTTGACTACGAAGCATTTGCCGCGGCTGGGAAGTGTATAATTGAACCCGCGCAAGGTAATTTATAGCATGCGAGCGACGGGAGAGTGGGTGCCTGTCTGCAACGAGCGAAGCGAGCGGCACGGTCTGGGAGACCGCCTTACGTGAGCGATGGGAGTGCGGGCGGAGCGAGCCCCCATTGCGCCAAAGGCGCAATGCTTCCCCTAACCACGGTCATTGGCGAGCCTCAGCAAGCGTCAGATCTTTTGCGAGCGAAGCGCAATGCCTCCCCTCAACCATCCAGTATCATCCATTGCTTCGCGACCAGTGCTCAACCTCACCGACTTGTAGATGTCTACAGTTACGAAAGGTGCTCGTACCCACAGCCGGAGTGGAGCGAAGACGAGCCGTGGCGCCGCAATGACAATGCAGACGACGACAGCCACAAGTACCGCGCCGCGGCAGCCGGCAACGCAGTCACCACCCAAGTGATCGGATGGAACACCGTCGACTGGAACGACGAACACCTAACCCTCGTAGTTCTCAACCTCACCGACTCCTTCAGCAACGACACAAAACACGTTTTCATCGCAGCCAAGAACGGCGTCGCCGAACGCTTCCTCCTCGCCGTCACTGACTTCTCCCGCAACATGACTGACCGCATCTGGTCGTTCCAGGACGGCCGCTTCACCGCCGACCGCCGTCTGTACACCGACATCCAAACCTCCACCTTTGACAACCTGATCCTCGCCAACAACATGGCCGCAGAAATCAAATCCGACCTCGAACTCTTTTTCGCCTCCTCACAACTCTACAAGCGTTTGAACATCCCCTGGAAACGCGGGGTGCTATTGACCGGCCCCCCCGGCAACGGCAAAACACATTTGATCAAAGCTTTGGTCAACCACTTCAAACAACAACACCCCACCATCGCAATCCTCTACATCAAAACCTTCACCGCAAGCTGCGCACCCGACGACTACGCCATCCGCACCGTGTTCAAACGCGCGCGCGCACGCCCGTGTATCGTCATCTTTGAGGACCTGGATGCCTTGGTCAAACCGGATGTGCGGTCCGCTTTCCTTAACGAATTAGACGGGTTGTCGGCTAATAACGGCGTCGTAGTGGTCGCGAGCACGAACCACCCGGAGGAGTTGGATAGCGCGATCCGGGACCGACCTAGTCGGTTCGATAGACGGTGGGCGTTTGAATTGCCGGGTGAAGTTGAACGACTCTCCTACCTCAAGAAGTGGTTCTCGGCTCGTGAATTCGACACACCGCCCAGTGACGAGGCCATGAAGGAGGTAGCCGGCGCCCTAACTGCGGGGTTCTCGTTCGCGTATTTGAAGGAGTTGGCGTTGGGGACCACGTTGCAGAGTGTGAGGTTGGAGGGTGGCGACGGAGGCGAGGCGGGGAAACAGGGGGCGATGGACAAGTTGTTGATGGAGCAGGCGGGGGTTTTGGGAATGCATGTGAAGAAGGCGAGAGAGGAGGATGCGGGGGGATCGGGAGAGGGGAAGAGTGGGTGGAGGGGCAAGAAGTGGAGGAAGCATGTTGCTGGGCGGTAATGGGGTGGAATCACTGGGCGACGTTTTCCATTGTAGGTAGCATTATGTATCATATCATAGGTCGGACTTGCGAAATGAGACTTTACATTTCTCCGTTTTTTTCTATTCATTGCTGAGACTCCAAAGTTTTGCGGCTGGGGGGTCTTTCTGTCTGTTGATCCACGCGCGAGGGGCTGAACGCGTCGCTGTCACGCTGTTCTGTCACTCTTCCTTCCCACGCGGCGGCTTCCCGTTCGTCCTACGCGTTCCCGATGTTCCTACGCGTTCCGATGTTCAGCCCGCGACGTCCTGTACTGTATAAAACGAGGGTCATGCCACACTTCCCCTCTCGCACATCCATCATTCAGCAGCCACCACCCTCAAACCCCTCGAACCTTCACACCCACTCAAAACGTGCAAGCCATGACATCCTTCCCGGCCGCCGCCCGCCGTCTCATCGCAATCAACATCTTCACAGTCAAGCCCGGCACGCAACCCGAATTCATGGCGCTGTTGAAACAAACTGGCAAGGCGAACCCGCCCGCCGGCTGCCTTTCCATCCAACTTCACGCGGTAAGCATATCAGCCCATGCAATCATATGGGGGGGAGAATTACTGATGTTTTTGTAGTCGGTGGACGGCACCAAAGTCCTCAACCGCAGCGAATGGGCGTCGCTTGAGGCCTTCGAGAAGAGGTTTCAGACGGATGGTAGCAAGGAGGCCTTTGCGAAGATTCGGGAGTTGGTCGAGAGGGTTGAGCAGGAGATGTATTGGTTGGATGAGGCGGATGTTATCGTCCTGTAGAAACGACTTTGCGCAACGTGAACGACATCGAGGCTGTGGTGGTGATCCGATTTTCTTCCTCCTCTCCTGCCCCGCCCTCTAAGACGGTCGAAGAAAATGTGAGCACTGAAGCGAAGTTGGATCGTGTGGAGGTGTATCACAAGATCGAATAGAATCGCTATCCGCCATAGACTTAGCCGTTAGCCAACACGAGGGGATACAGTCGTTAGCAACCTCCCTTAGATGTACAGTAGATCGATAGATCCATAAATCCCATGATACTACGGAGTTGCGCCATGCACCGAAAGCATAAGATTTTGCTTCTGGAGCAAGCCTCTAATGATTGGATGCACTCACTGGGACTTATGCCTCGTGCATCCCGTGTCCAAAGGCCCAAACCGAAAACGCCTGCATCGAAATCTAATCCCCGAATGACGGAGCTCATCTCACATGCACTGAGATGCGGGGTCCACTTACTTTAGGGAAAAGCCTGCAGGTCAACCTCCCGGGATGTGAGCAGGACGACGAGCCTCCGGCCCTGACTGCTCTCGCTCCGGTGGCTGCCGGCGGGGAGATTTCGAGATGGTTTCTATCGCTGATTGGCGATATCGTTGTTCTTTTTCGCCTGCGGGTTGGTATTTTGACCAAAGCGAGCATCGCACTGAGACGGGGTTGATGTCCTCCATACAAGGTATCTCGAATTATGAGTGCCATGAAGAGTGATGTTCTTATGGACGGACGGGATGGACGGACTTTCAGAGTGTCGAATTTCATAACCATGGAGGCAGTCCCACTCAGATGGAGACGCACAGCTAGACCATGGAGATTGCGGCTGGATGCTTCTCGAACAACATATACAGGACATAGAAACCAATGCCCGCGAAAGCACAAGAGGCAAATTCGGAGGGGACTCCAGAAATCGGACGACGCGTGCTTTGTTACACATCGACCACCAAATCCGCACCTACCGCCCGGCCCGACGAGTGTCGCCGGAGCTGGCGTACCTTCTCAAACTCGGCCCTCATCTACGAAACAGCCATGCGCATGTTGCAAATTTTGTTGAGACCATTCCCTGCGGTTCTGACTTTGGCCTTTTCTCGCGCGCCGCCCTCCATTGCGTTGTGGTGGAAGAACTGGCGAGGCACGTTGGAACGACGGTGACGACCGCCACCATCACGACCGGCGCTGGGCACCTCAGCCCCGCGGATCGATCTGGCGATGGACAAGATCCAAAGAGACTTGGCAACGTTTGCCTCCTGCGCGGCCATCACCTCCCGGCAGCGCGCTTCCGTGCCGAGCAACTACGGCACGGCGGTGGATGCGGTGACGAGGCTGCCTTATCGGCCAAGATGCTGGGCGTCGTCGAGTGGGCCTTTCTTGCCCCGGCATTGCAGCGCCTCTTGGCCCAGGCCAACTTGAACCTAGAACGGGCATGTCGGTGCCTCGGTTTGGTGTTAAGAGGGGGCGAGGATCTCCGCGCTCTTGGGAACAAGTTCAGCTCCCTGAGGCAGGAGGTCCTGGTCAATGCCGACGGCGAGGGATCTGCGAAGTACCCTGCGAGGGGATATCCGGGTGCACTCGACAAGTGGCCGAAAAAGTGGAGATACGTAGGAATCCGCGCGGCCCTGCGGAGGACGTTGCCAACAGCGTCCGCGTCGACTGCGCTACCACCGCAGTCCCCAATCCGCGGATCCGAGGGGCACCACCGACGACGACAGGATGGACGTCAACAAGCCCCGCCGACGTCCCCGGCGCGACTCCCGGCACGACAGCAACTCCCGCGACTCGTGCATTCCATGCACCGCCTGGACATTGAGTCCAACAAGATCCGAGGCCCCGGTGAGACGGTGGCCTTTCCATGGGCTTTACACTTTACACTACGTTGGTAATGTCATCGAGTTGCAGACGACGTTGGGTACGTGCAATCTGTTTTCGGCTGAAGGCACAGGAGAATACCAGAAATGGTTCATATCCAGAGTCATCATTCATTCCGACGGCGTCCAACCCCCTAATACGTTTTTCCGAATCCTTTTTTAAAAGCGCCCGTCTTCCGAGTTAGGCGAGGCCTTTGCCTTTTGGGAAGTGCTTTTGAACGCGTTCATGAGCTTGGTAGACTTGGACCACTTCGAGCAGGCCCGCATGGCAGAAGGCCAGGTTGTCGAACCTGTCGCACCGATTGCTGAACAAAGCGAAAACGGAAACGAAGCCACTGAAGCCAGCAACGACGCGGCTCCGTCCGCTCCGCAGCACCCTCCACGACTTCCTCGTCACCTACGAACTCGTGGAGCTGGAGGCGCAACGCAAACCCTTCTTGCGCCCTTCTTCCTCCCAGAAGCCCATACATGCGGAACGCTGTTGGACGTAGTATCATTTACCAAATAGGAGAAGGCGGCGTTCTACATATCTCTTGCGCTGATGGGTGTTCCATGGATGGTGGTGACGCCAAGGACAGAATCGGTCTTTCAAATTCAAATCTACATGATGCTGAGAGAGCTTTTCGACTACGCCGTCAACGTAAACGAGAAGAACTAGGTCCCCTGTGCGTGTATGCCAGGATACCGCCTGGGCATCCCCGATATCGCCGCCAATTGCCGCGGTGCTGCCCTGGACAGCGGCTCTCGTTGAGCAGGATTTCAATCTGGAGATACTGCTCGCTGCGAAGGAGCACCATTTGGAAAAGCTGAACTTCACCCTTGGAAAGCGTAACAAACTTACCACTTCCATCGAGGAGTACAAGGCGAAACAGGCCGCCGCGCCGGCCGATAACTGATCTCCGGAAGCGACAGAGAAAACCAGCCGTGGGACGAACAACTTCTTAGAGGGACTATAGATGTTTAATATACGGAAGTTTGAGAAGAGAAGTGCGGTAGCAGGGAGCGAAGGATATCTTGGCATCACATTCTTCCATCTTATGGGCGCTTGGAGGCTCTCCTATCTGCATTACTATACCGGGGCGGAGTTCAACGACGTGAAATAGAAGCTTCACAACAACAGTCTTTCCAGGCATTATACCTCGATTTTCTCTGCCTTTTTGTGCGCACCGCTCTCCTCGACCTCCCATCGTTACTTTGCTCTCTCCAACGCCCTGCACATATTCGAATTTTTCCGCAACTTTCAGCAACTTTCCGACGCTTGTCCTTCTGCCATCTGGCCAAGATTGCAAACCCCGAGTGGGTGAGGTAGTTGGCGTAGGATTCCAACCAAGCAAGGTTTCGGCATGCTTTCGGGGACGTCGAAACATAAGCTCATGGTCAACCCATCGTTGATTGGAAGGAATCATGCCAAAAAATTGACAGTCGGGTAGCTTGGGGTGATTGAACAACAGCAGCGGGCTCGTCTGGAAGAAGGGCAGTTGTATGGAGGGACGACATACCAATATAGCAAACGACTCGCAATTCGCTCAACATCTGCCTTCGTTCCTTCCTTCTGTCTCGGCTTCTGCATCGGATATGTTAAGGACAGCTGATGGACGCTGAAAGACGCCCTGCATTTACGGGCATCGCGACACTGTCGGACCCGACCTTTCTCGGGAAATTCATGAAGATTTCAGAATCAGGAAAGGGAATGGAAATGCGAACTGCCGGGAAAGCTATCCCAAAAGCTGGATTGCAGTGGACTACGACGGACGGTTGACGGGCCCAAGACATTTTGTCGCCAGGAAGCGCTTTGTCAGATGAACCGCGACGAAAGCGGGGGTTGCCAGAATCGGCACAAGAACACAGGGATATATTGTCAGAGGTCGCCAGAAGGGTAGTCGCGAAAGGAGAGTAAGAATCCAGCAACAAGCCACCCAACGCCCGCAACAAGTACAGATTCGCTCAGTTCCGAAGTAGGAGCCGCAATGTGCTATTGCTTGTGTTGGAAGAACGTGTTGGGCATGACCGCCAATCGCCTTTGCGCCCGAGGTCTCCAATTCACGTTTGTCGTTGACACGCCGGCCTAGCAATCGCAACGACGTTGCCCATCATGCAGGTCATGTACCGAGCCCGCAAATGAACGGAACCACCAGATTTTTGGGTGGCGTATGACGACGGTTTCATGCGGCTGAACCCAGAGGGCGTCATGTTCGGTTCTCTTGGAAACTGGCAATGTCAGCGGGGCTGCTCTGCAATGTGTGAGAGTTCAGTGTCGCGGTTGCTTCCATGGAACTGAGTCCTCCAACCCTTTCGCCAAGAAGCTTGTGAACGGGTTCGAGAACTCAGTTTCATGGAGGGCGGACACATCATTTGCACGACCGCAAGTTGCTGATGCTGCTCGCCCTTTCCAGCACATTCGGCCTGTTGATAAGACGTTTCCTCGAACTCACGCATTGTTGGGTTTCCCACATATCCTCAAAAACCCGAGAAGAAGCCATGAAGTCCCAGATGCGCGGAATCAGTCCTCGCAGCACCACCGGTCTTTCGCAGCACCGGAGCCTGGACATGTGATGGAAGTCAACATCACGGCGGTTTATCTCCTCACCAGGGCATCCTTCGTGTGGTTGTCAAATACTCCAACCGCAGCAGAACCGGCGACGGCGGCTACGCTGGTAACGGAGAAATGCTTACATGGGGACCCGACCTTGTATATGGTGGTCTTGGGGGGAGGACAAGGCCAGGTGGAACGGTATCAACATTTTTCATCCGAAGTCGGAGGTATGTGTGTCGATGAATGCATGATTGCAGCATGGATTTGACATGATATCTTCACAGATTGCAATTCTCATTGTGAATTCAACAAAATCTACCGGCGGTGCGAAACCACCTGTGTGACCAAATGAATGGGATCCTGCGCCAAGGGTCAACGTAGCAAAGCATGTTCTCTATTCGAAGAAGCGATCTTCAACAGCCGCCGAAGTAGGAAAGTTATATGCGCTCCAGCCCACGGTCAACCACCCATTTGGGGCGCATAGGATTCCGTGGACCCCCGCCGATGAGCTTCAAATGGCTGCTGTAAACCCAAAACGACCTGGAAGTCTTTATTATCGAGACCGCTTCACTCAACCGCACTTTATTAGCAAATGTCTCCCTCCGTTTATGTTCACTGCCAAAGTCGGCGCTAACTCAACTGCCGTCAGGGATACTACTTCGTCTGGATGGGAATATGGTTACAATCTGCGATGAACCGGGGCCGGGTTGTCAGGACTTTTTCAATCGTGTAGATGCTGCCTGAGCTGGCTCTGCGCTCGGCAAGGTGCCGATGTACATCAGACATTGCCATGCTTCTTTCTTTGGTTCCCGACGTTTGTCAGCTTGCACTCTTATATAGGAAACATGGAAGACATTCTTGCATACAAGTTGCCTTCATCGGCGACGCCTCAGGCAGAGGTACAATGATGTGGATGGCAGATAACCACCACGGAAAATGCGATGGGGTGAAATCTAGACTACCGGTTATGGGAGAATGCGTCTGGTCTGCGGCCATTGCCAAACACCACCGAACGCACAATCGAGAGGAAATTCTTGGTGCTCAGGACGTCCCGATTGTGCATTCTCATCCGTAGTCGTAGTGGTCGTCTTCCAGGAATCTCAAATGGTGTCCAGTCTTGGTTGATACATTCAGGGTTGGGGCAACCCACCAATCCATGGACGTATTCCATTCTTCCCCTTTGAACTTGCCACGGCCGAGATGACAGCCGCTGTCGGATGTTTTTCTTCACACGGCCGTGGCAGTCGGGGCACACGGACGACGTTTGATACTCATCCAGCAAGTAGCATGGAATGCCGTTTCTCGCAAAGAGTGTGCGGAATCTGTTCCATGATGAGTTAGCATAATAGAATACATAGTAGATACCACCAATCATGGTCACTCACCCCTTGGTCTTCGATGACTCCTGAAAGCGCATCGTTTTCCCAGCATCGCTCCAATCACCCAAGATGACCAAAAAATTCTTTCAATACCGGCGTCGCATGTTCTTAATGAGCTTGCTCTCAGACATTTGCCGCAGTGAGAACGCCTTGAACCTGCGAGCGACGTGAATCTCATCCTGGTAAAACTCATCCAGGGCGGGATCTGGGATATGGATGGATGTCAGCCCATGTATTACTAAATTTGAAGACAGCGCAAAATACATCATACCCGCATCTATGTGATCCACAATGAACGCTGAGACCGCCTTGATGTTCATGGTCTTGTGCGATGGAATATGTGATTCCATCTCAGCGATGCCAGCATTGATCTTTCGCTCTCTCATGTCTCTTCGAAAGTACCGAGACTTTGTCTCGACCGCCCGTTGATTGGATGTGTATCTGGTATGGGGTGGTGCATTGTGAGAACGCTGCAACGGAATGTCGCCGCAATGGGGATGGTGGGCGGAGACGGGGGGCTGGGGGGCGGAGACGGGGGGCTGGGGGGCAGAGACGGGGGGCTGGGGGGCGGAGACGGGGGGCTGGCAGGCGGAGACAGCAGGGCAGTAGTAATCAACTGAAACATACCAAAATGGCCGCTCCTTCTTGATGTCTCGACAGAACAAGAGGTCACGCTTGCCCGGATCAATGCTGACGATGTTTGGAGCCTCCCGTAGTTCGGCGATGTGGTGCTCAAAATACAGCTGCTTGACTTCTTCCTGCATTTGGGCTTTGCTGCGCTTCCGGGCGCGATGGCTGTACTTGAGCCCTGGCTTCTTGAAGTGGATGGTAGCGGAATACCCGTTTGTGCTGATTGACCCATCGAATTTGAGACCAAGCTTCTTTCGATGCTTGAAGACCTTAGGGTTAGGGTTAGGGTTAGGGTTAGGGTTAGGGTTAGGTTAGGGTTACAAGACCCCCTGGGTTGGGTTTTATTATTGGGTTGCCTGGAACCCTAGGGACTTAGGGTTAGGGTTAGGGTTAGGGTTAGGGTTAGGGTTAGGGTTAGGGTTCGGGTTAGGGTTAGGGTTAGGGTTAGGGTTAGGGTTAGGGTTAGGGTTAGGGTTAGGGTTAGGGTTACAGGACTGTTCCCGGTTATGGGTTATTTTTGGCCATCCAAAAAGTGTCAAATAAAGTTGCTAGCAATGTTCAGGGGCATCTTACTGTAATGTGCTTCAAATCTTGGGGCATGTTTTCCACTCAATGCCCCGGGAAAATCTGTTTTTCCGATTTTTTACTATGAAAATATTGCCAAAATGCATTTTCTGAAACTCTGAGTGGATGGATTTCGCTTAAAGTGAGATATGTCTCAGAAAACATCCCCAAAAACATCTAGGAACCTTCATCTACTCTAGTATTCATCAACTCCTGGCACTTTTTGTTTCCAGGCAATATGGGGGTGTTCTCCAGTTGGCGGCGAATGACTCATTTTTGCTATGATCTCGGGGACGGAGGCGGAAGCGAAGTAGAGAAGACAGGGTGAGAGTGATAGGCGACAAGAGATTTTATTGGCAAAACAAGAAACAAGGACTAGAACAGGAGATGAGAAGAACTGGTGTTGATCTGCTGGGGAGGAAGGGAACGGACAAAGAGAGGCCGGCTATTTATAGATAGGCAACCCAGCAGATCAGAGAACTACAACAACAAGAGGGGACTGGGGGGGCATCAGCTATGCTCCTAGAGCGTGCGTGGCGAGCGTAGAGAGCATTGCTACAGCTGCTGGCTATGGGGAAGTAGTGGGGGGTGTGGAGAAGCCGAGGGGGGGATTGGCGAAATGAGAGGAGAGAGGAGGAGTGGCGATATTGCAAGAGGATTGGCAAAATGAGAGGAGAGAGGGGGAGTGGCATTGACATTGACAGGGTAGGGTTAGGGTTAGGGTTAGGGTTAGGGTTAGGGTTAGGGTTAGGGTTACAAGACCCCCTGGGTTGGGTTTTATTATTGGGTTGCCTGGAACCCTAGGGACTTAGAAATTTTCGAGTTTTCTGGCTTTTGGGTGTGTTCTACAGTTCGAATTTTTGACTCTGAGGGAGGTAGTGGCGGGGGGTATTGCGCACCTAGGCAAGTCGGGGAGGACTAGGTGTGCAAGGGCAAGTGATGGGTCATATGGGCGGTGGTGCGGGTACGGGGGGGGGGGGTTGATATAAAGGGGACATATATGTTATATATACGTTATAGGACTTGTGCAAATTGGGATTTTTCTAGTGCCGATCCGGAGTTGGCGTCCTAATTGAAAAGTTGGCCCCATATCATATTCTCTAATTGAAGTACTCTCGGATTGGCAATCCGTGCGGAAACGGCTTCAGAAACTTAGAAAAACGAAATTTTCACGCGACGGGGGGTAAAAAGTTGGAAAATGTGGTGATATCTCAACATCTGGCTGACTATCCAGTGTAGGGCACTTAATGAAAGTTGATTGTAGCCTATGGTTTGCATAGCTGATGTGGTAGCAAATCTTGTGTAACCTTGCTTTTGGCTGAAGAACAGGGCCCCTTTTCAATTCTCAAGTCGTGATCCCCAAGACCTCCTAACAAAAGACACGAGTACGCATGTGCAGGCAAAGGGGTTTGGCCGTGTTCTCCAGTAAACATTTTGTGAATTCCGCTGTGCATCGTAGACTGTTTGTAGGACCCTTGCGGTCTGTTATTTACCAAAACTGTTGAACATTTTCCGGTTAAAGCAGTGTTCTACAGTTTGTCCATGCAGGTTAGAGCACGTGACCTGGGCTTGCTTGCAGGGTACGCAGAGTGAGAGGGTTGGGGTTAGAGATTTCCCAGATCACTTATTAAATTCAGCCAAACTGTCTCTGTCATGGAACATTTAAAATGGTGGAAAGTAGTATTGCATTTATTGATTTAGAGTACATTGGAAAAGCGCACATTCAGAAAAGGGTTTTGGTGTAAAGTTCTCAACGACATTCAACAGTACTAAAGGACTTCCGCAAGCATGTCACGGACTTGGTTCTGTCCAAAAGCCGTACAGCACTCAGGGTACCTGGCGCAGCGGAGACGGAAACGATGCTGACCGCCAATGCTATGAAAAGCTGAGCCTCCACAGTTGGGACATTGAAGCTGATCACGATGCTGATGGAAGAGTTCACGGATATTGCCAATGGGAGCAGCATCAGGCACTTCCCCATCCCCATGACCCCACCAAGCACGAGCAGGATCAATGACGGGTGCAATGCCTTTGAACCATCCGGGATTGAAACCAAAAGAGTTGAGAACATCTCGGAAGCGCTGACAGTCTGTCACAGTAGTCTGTCTATTGCGATCTCCTCTGAATAGAACTCTGGTGGCAGCGTCCATGATGCCATTGATGAGACTGTAGTACTCTTCCACCGGCACAAGCTTCAAGGAGTTTGCGCCCATGTGCTGGAAAATGGTCTCGATCTGGTCCAAATGGAGATTCAAAACCATCTGTTCCGCTGATTCCAACCTGGCGCACTGAACTCGCACTTCAACTCGCATGCCAGTAATGTGGAGCGGGTGACTGTTGAGCCATTGACGTAAACCTCTCAGTGTCTCACTGCGATCCCCAAGGCTGGACTTGGTTTGGGGCATTCGCGAAGACAAAGTCGAAGAGTAGGCTTTGAGCGCATGAACAAGCTTTGGGTAGCAAGTAACCCAAACATTGGCGTGACCCGCAATGTCAAAGCGGGTGGACCCAAATCCCTCACCAAGGATGGTGAGCATGGGAAAGGTGGCGCCAACTCCACGTCCATTGTAGCGAACCAAAGGAATGACCCCATGAGTGTTCAACGTCTGACCAATGTCCCATGTGTTCAGTGCAGCATCGGGATGGTTGCTCACTTCCTGATCAAAGGAATAAGCTGGCAAAGTCGGAATGCGTTGCTTCATTCCATACTGCACAATGCGTACAGAGGGTGACACAGCACCAATGATGTCCTGGAACCCAGACATCAACAGATTTTGCCGCCCAGCAATCAATCGTGAGTGATCCGTGCTTTCCCTCACGATGATCGAATGTTCATTGTGAAGTAACTCAAGAATCCTTGCCTTTGACTCTGGATTGAATGGAATGCTAATGACACAAGGTCTGCTAGCGATCCGCATCCAACCGGCGAAAGCTTCACTGTCCTTGATATGCTGCATCACTCCAGACAGTTCAACCAAGGTGAAGGCACCAAAGAGGGTGGTCAGCTTTGTGGTAGGGAGCGTAAAGGCCATCCAGTCCACATCAAAGTAGCCAGTACTGCGAAAGACCCCAAACTGCTCATCCTGAGGGGCAGGAGAGTGATGGTGTTCCTCATCTGAAGAGCTTGAGCGAGAAGTTGGCAACTCGATGTCCTCACGCCCCTCATCACTATGATGATGAAAGTTGGAGCCGTTTGAACCAGAAATGGACAACTCCACATCCAAACTGCCGATGCTGGATGAGGTCTGGGAGATTTCGACCTGAAGGCTGGTGTTCGACATGGATGAGGTAAGGCTTGACGGCGAAAGGGTGTTGTTGGTGAATGCGGTGAAAGGCATGGTGTTGGCCCTGGTGTTGGTGATGGTATTGGTGTTGGTATTGGCGTAGGTGCTGAAACGTGGTGGTGGTGCGTGCTTTTGGAGGGAGGGAATCTGAACAGCCCTCTCCTTTTATAAAAGTCTGGCCAAAGGCAACCTGGAGCTGTTCTTCAGTTTTTTTCTGCAACCCTCCCCTTTTTTTTTCCTAACTTTTTTTTTCTTCCTTTTTTTTTTCACTAATCCTTTTTTTTCTCGACTTTTTTTTTTCACTAATCCTTGTTTTTTTCCTGACTTTTTTTTTTCCACTAATCCATTTTTTTTCGACTTTTTTTTTTCACTAAAGTTTTTTTTTTTTGACTTTTTTTTTTTCACTAATCTTTGTTTTCTTCCTGACTTTTTTTTCCACTAATCCTTTTTTTTTCGACTTTTTTTTTTCACTAAAGTTTTTTTTTTTTGACTTTTTTTTTTTTCACTAAGGGTTAGGGTTAGGGTTAGGGTTAGGGTTAGGGTTAGGGTTACAGGACTGTTCCCGGT